CAAAGAGCAAGGAAAGATAAAGTGTTGCTGTGAACTTTTATAAGTGAAGCCTCCCTTCACTTCCTCTCTCTCAGACTCGAGCCCAGCAGAGCCGCCCCGTCCTGTCAGCAGGATCCAGGGCTGGTGTCACTGATGCTGAACATGGTGCTTCTCAGAGCAGCAAAACATCCAGGAACATTCGCAAACTCACCTAGGGGTTCGGGAGGTGTGGAGAGTGGGAGATAAATGCAGTCGGCTTATTGAAAGTGCTTTGGGTTTTGTTTTGGAGTCACGCCCTGCAGTGCTCGGGGACTATTCCAGGCTCTGTTCTCTAGAAGGTGTTGGGTGTTGGGTGATCTGCGTATGGCCGAGAGGAAGAAACGTGGTGCTGAGGCCCTAACCTGGGCTTTCTGCATGGAAAATATGTATACTCGTCCTTTGAGCTAACTCCCGGGCACTGAAAGCTTTTCGGGGGGCCGGGAGGGGTTGGAGGACATGGATTCTCCAACATGGGTCTGGGGCACTCCTGGTATTGCTCAGTGCTTGGGGAGCCAATACAGTGACAGGGATCAAACTGGAGTCAGCTGCACATAAGGCAAATGCCTTAACCCCTGCTCTATCTTTCTGACACTTAGGAAACTTCTTCTAGAGCAAGCAGAACACAAAAAGAGCTCTATGAGCCTTTTTCATTACAACAATCACTCACTTTTTTTTTTGATGGGGAGCACTCCTGGCGGTGCTCAGAGGACCATGTGGATGCTGGAGATCCAATCCGCGTCAGCTGTATGCAAGGCAAGCTCCTGCCTTCAGTACTATCTCTCCAGCCCCCCAAATCAAAATGATCTTAATAAGTAAAGACAACTGTTGGGGGCTGGAGCAGTACTATAGCAGATAAGGTACTTGTCTTGCATGCAGCTGACCAGGTTTCATCCCCAGCACGCATATGGTCCCCTGAGCACAGAGCCAGGGATAACCCTGAGTATCGCAGGGTGTGGCTCCCAAACCAAAAAGTCACTTCACTTATCGCTTAAGTAAAAATCACAAAAAGTAAATAAAAATAAATAAATAAAAGCCCGTTTTACAAAAATACAAATGAAAAGAGGGCCTCCTCCAGATCCAGGCCCTTTGTTAGGGCCAGTGCCTCAAAGGCAAAGGATGCACCTTGGAAGCAGGAGAGCTCAGTTCGGTCCCCAGCAGGCCGCCCGCCCCCTCTCTCCCCTGCAAATAACAAAACCAACCAAACAAAAGCAATGATGAAACTTTCAGAACCCGAATCTTGAACAATAGATTTAGCTGAGTGAGCATAAAATGAAAGGTTCCTTGCATGGGATTAGTTCAGTTTACCTGACGGAAGTTTGATGCTCAGCAGGGAAAGCTCCAGTCTTTATGTGGCAGAAGTAAAAACTCCTACAAGGAGTTTCCAGTCCTTGCTTATAAGGGCAGAGGGCCTGCCTTCAAAGCAGGAGACTACCAATTTGCTCCCTGGCACTGATCCACATGCCAAATGGGACTGTAATCCCCAGATCAACAGTGAATTATCTCTCTTCCCCCCTCCCATGCCCCCGCCCCCACTCTGTTTTGGGGCCACACCCAGCGATGTTCAGAGCTTACTCCTGGCTCTGCACTCGGGAATCACTCCTGACTGGGCTCCAGGGATCATAGGGGATGCTGGGGACTTAACCAGCATGGGACTGAGTCACCCATGTGTAAGGCCTGTGTGCTACCCACTGCACTATCTTCCCGGCCCCAATAGTGACTGATCTCTCTTGTACCCTGATCCCAAGTGTGTGTGCACGCACAGCAATTTAAAAAGTGTGCCACCCGGCAGGGAGCACTGCAACGAAGTGTGTGACTCCTATTCAGTGCACCAACAGTAACAACAGGGAAGGGAAGGGGTGGGGGAAGAAGTAGGTAAAATTTGAGGGCCAGAGAGATAGTATAATAGGTACAGCCTACACACAGCCAACCTGGGTTGGATCCCAGGTACCACAGGACTCCCTAACTCTGCCAGGAATGATCCCTAAGAATAAAGTCAGGAGTAAGTCCTGAGCACTGCCACGTGTGGAGAACAAAACCACAAACTGAGCCGCTCTATCCCTGTCCATTGACACCAAGTGGATGACCTTGGAGCAATCGTCCATTTCTGGTTTTGTAAAATTAAGTGATGTCATCTAATATATGTAATTCCTATGTGCAGTAGAACATTCTCTCAGTTTGAGGAGACAAATGCCTGGCTATGTTAGGATATGTATTTTTGTTTTGTTTTATCTGGGAGCCATACCTGGCAGCACTCAGGGCTTACTTCTGCCTCTGCACTCAGGGATCACACCTGGTGGACTGAGGGACCATTTGACATGTCAGGAATTGAACCTGGATTGGTTGCATGCAAGGTAAGTGGTACTTACCGGCTGTACTATTTCTCTGGCCCCAGATGTTAGTATATATTAACAGGTGTTTTGTGGCTTTCTGTTTTTGTTGTTAATGGCTTTTTCGGTCATACCCAGTGATGCTTAGGGGTTCCTCCGGGCTCTGCGCTCAGGAACTGGTGGTGCTTGGATGACAGGAATCAAATGTGGGTCGGCCGTGTGCAAGGCAAAAGCCCTAACCACTGTACTATCACTCCAGCCATTGTGTCATTTTTGACTCTGATTTATTAGGATCATTTTGCAAGAGGTCAGGATGGGCAAAGACAGTGCCTGAGGAGAAAGGTAAGTCTTGGGTAGAAGATGAACTCTGGGTTGCTTATCAATAGAAAGCAAGTTTGGAGGGCCCAGAGGGATAGCACAGTGGGTAGGGCATTTGTGTTGCACGTGGCTGACCCAGGTTTGATCCTTGGCATCCCATATGGTCCCCAAGGCTGCCAGGAGTGATTCCTGGGTGCAGAGCCAGGAGTAAGCCCTGAGTACCACTGTGTGTAGCCAAAAACAAAAGACAGCGAGCAAGTGAGCGAGAGACAGAGAGAGAGAGAGAGAGAGAGAGAGAGAGAGAGAGAAAGAGAAAGAGAAAGAGAATTGCTCAAGTGGTAAGTGCAAGGTTTGGACCTAATGATCACCTAGCACCTCTGGGTGGGGCCCCAATAAATGGTGGTTTAGGCTTAAGAGTTAGAGACAGTATTTTAGGGGGATGGAGAACATATCCAGTGACGGTAGGAGCTGGCTGGAGTGGGGGTGTTTCTGGAGGCTTGGTGCTGGGGACCTCTTTCGTCAGTTGAGCAATCTTCAGGGCCTAAGGACAAAATTGTATTTGGTTTGGGAAGCCATACACCATGGTGCTGGCGGCTACTCCTGGCTTAGTGCTCAGAGCTCCCTCTCTGGAGAGCCTTTGGTGCTGAGGTTTGAACCTGGTCTACCATAGGAAGCAAATGATCTAGAATTTTTTGCATCTCCTGCAGAGCAAAAAAATATTTGCTATTTTTTTGGGCCACACCTGGTCATGCTCAGAAGTTGCTCCTGGCTCTGCACTCAGCAATTCTAACTCATAGCAATGCTTGGGATGAAACCCAGGTCGGCAAGCAGCCTACCCACTGTGCTCTCTCCAGGCCCCTTTTTCTCTCTGTGACCCTTGACCTTTTAATTCATGTGCTACCTCTGGCCTGCACTGATACATAGCCTGTTTGAATCCTGATGAGACTATAAATCAGAAAATTTCTAAAAATGATTTGGGGGCCACGCTGCGATACTTGAGGTCTGCTCCCGGCTCAGTGCTCTGGGATTACTCCTGGTGGTGCTCAGGGGCGCTGCTGCTGCTGCTGATTGAGAAGGAACAGGGCCTTCCCCATGCAAGCATGATCTCAGCCGGTTGAGCTACTTCTTCCGCCCCCAGGGCAAAACTGTTTATCTTGTTGTCTATCTGAGGCTTGAAATTCTGGGGGAGAAAATGAGGCTCATCCGGAATGCCAACTCCAGGGATTTGAAACCCAAGGCCGTGTGGTCCGTCGCTGCAGCCGTTGGGCACCAGGGGGCGCCCGACCGACCAGTCCCGGGGCAGGGGGGTCTGGGTGCACCCGACCACCTCTACCAGGATGAGGCCCAGGGCTGCGGCTGGGGGTGCCAAGGGGGGCAGGGGGCCCGTGCATCTGATACCCCCAGCCTTCACTGGCCTCCCCGTGCTCTCCTCCACTGCTCCCTCCTTCCCAGCGCGGGCCGGGGCTCGGGGGCGCCTGCCTAGGTCCGCGCGCGGGCGGTGGGCACCGCGGGAAGCCCCCTCCGCCCCGACGGCGCGGTCAGGCTGCAGGGGAAGGGGCGGCAGCTGTTCTCCCAGGCGGCCGTGGGGGGCAGCAGAGGGGACAGCGACAGGTGCGGGCGCCCCTCCCGCGGTGGAAATGAAAAGGCGGGATCCGGGGTCTGTTTCCCAGGCTGGAAAGCACCCCCGCCCCCCAGCCAAATCCCCCCGAGAGGCCGGGCCGGCGCCGGGTCTGGAGGAGGAAGCGGCCAGAGACAGTGCGATTTCACGCGGCCTCCGGGCTCGGGTTCCTCGGCCGCCTGAGATGACTTACGGGGTTCCCAGGGATTCCGGGGAAACTGAGGTGGCCAGGCATGCGACACCCACCACCCGTCCCCCCAGTGGAAAACCCCAACCCCCAGGCCCTCCCCCCAAAAACACACACCGAAACAACAACAACAACAGCAGCATTCTCGTTCCGAAGGAAAAAGCCTCCGAGTGACCCAACCGGCTCGGGGAGTTGACTGCTCGGGTGGATGGGCGAGGCCAGCTTTCGGGGGGCGGGCTTCGGCGCGCTCTCCCCACCCCCACTACCTTTCCCCGTCGGAGGCACTCGGGGCGGGTGGGGTCTCAGCCTCGCCGGCGTCCCCGGACGGTCAGGGCTGGGAGCGCCCCCGCCCCGCGCCCCTGCCCCGGCCCGGCGCGCGTGCAGCCGCCCCGCGCCCGAGGGGGCGCGGCCGTGACTCACCCCCTCCCCCTGCGCTGCCTCCTGCGCGCACTCCCGGGCTTGCACCCTCCCCTGCCATCCCGCCCCGACTCCGGCTCCGGCTCCGGTTGCAGTCGCCTGCGCTCCCGGCCGCTGCCGTCGGCGGCTCAGGTGGCTCCGCTTCGATGTCCTAGTCCCGTGGGGGCCTCCCCGCCCGGCCGGCTCCGCTGCGCTCCCCTCGCCCCGCGCCGGAGTCATGAGGGCGTCCCGGGCGCTGCAGGTGCTGGGCTTGCTGCTCAGCGTGGCCCGGGGCTCCGAGGTGGGCACCTCGCAGGCAGGTGAGTGGCGCGGACGGCGCGGCCGGACTCGAGCCCGGGGCGGGGGCGAGCGCTCGGGGTCCCGCGGCCAGGGCTGGCTTGGGCCGGGGGTAGGCGGGGCGGACCGGAGGGGCTGGCCCGGGCTCCCCCGGGTTCCCGTCGCCGTCCGGGCGTCGGGATGGGAGTCCCGGACCTCCCCCCACCGTCTTCGCCTCCCCCCAGCGCATCGCCAGCCCTCGCTTTAAGGTGGCTCGGGTTGGGGCGGGGGCGGGCTACACGTATGAGGGACCCTGCAGGGATCAGAGCTGGGACCTCCCGCCCGCAACCGTGAGATGTTGGAGATGATCCTGGCAGATCTTGGGAGGTGGGGGTTCTCCGTTTGTTCACCAGCCCCCAGCCCCCCTGATTTGAGTAACCTCCAGTTTCGTTGTTTTGACGGCAGGGCGGAGCCGTGGAAGGGTTGGAGGGGGTTGTTGTTTTCTGGTGTTAGAAAAACAGGAGTGGCACCTCCTCTTCCGTGAGTGGGCCTGCCCTCGGGACGATTAACCACAGGGCCAAGTCCAGGTGACATCAGGGTGAGGCCATGGAGAGGCCCCAGGTAGCTTTCGCTCAAAACACTCAAGCTGATTGGCTAGGGACTCGACTAGCCGCTCCTCAACGCAGAGAGCCCCTCCAATTCATATTAGTTGAGCATCTACTATTAATTGAGCATCTACCACACACACACACACACACACACACATACACACACACACACACACATACACACCTAGAACTGGAGGGTGAACTTCCAGCCTCCTCTGTCTTGGGGAGTCCTTCCTTCACTCAGCTTCTCTCTCTCAGGGTCCAGACAGTCAGACTGCTGGACTCATCCTCCTCTCATCCGCATGCCTTTTTTTTTTCCTTCAATTTTTATTAGTGAAACACCATGAGGTACACTTGTAGACTTACAAATTTTTGTGCTTGGGTTTCAGTTACACAACGATCAAATACCCGTCCCTCCACCAATGCCTATTCTTCAACACCACTGATCCCAGTATCCCTCCCCCCATCCCATCCCCATCTCCCCCCCTCCCCTCCTGTCCCACCCTGCCTCTGTGGCAGGGCGCTCCCTTTTGTTCTCTCTCCCTTTGGGTGCTGTGGTTTGCAAAAGAGGCCTTGAGTGGCAATCATGTTTGCTCTCAATCGCATGCCTTTTGCACTCACCCCCCTTCCCGCACCCCCCCACCCCCCTCCGTCCTGCAGGGTGTCCTGGTGCCCCGGGCTGGAGAGGTGCTGCTGAGAGCTGGCAGGGGTGGAATCCTGTGGGTTCCCCTCCTCCCAGCTGGGGCCCCTTGGCCAGGGTGGGAGTGGGAGAACACCTGTGCCTACCCCACAGTTGCTGGGCCTAAATTTAGCCCCTGGGATCTGGCGATGTGTGTGCTGGAGGGGGGGGGGGGTCTGAGGCCTGGAGGGGGAGGGACTGGGAGAGGGCTCTATCTCTGTCCCAATCAGACCCCTGGACTGGTAACCCCAGCCCTGGGGTCCCAGCTCACTGGACACCTTCCCTGAGGGCGGCTGGATGTCGGCATGGTTGGGTCTCTTTACCCTTTATCTGGATGCCGCAGCCTCTGGGCATCCGGCCCGTCTCAGCCCTTCTATAGCCCCTTTGTCCTGGACTGGGTGGGGGTGGGGGATGTGGAGAGGCGGCCTCTGGCCCGGCAGGGGCAGTAGATTCTTGTGCTGACCCACCCCAGGACTCTCCCCCAGAGCACCCCTGGCTGTGCCCCGGCCCTGGGTCCAGCAGGGATGTTTATGAGTCCCTCCCCCCTGCCCTCCTCACCAGGCTGCCTCCCCGAGAGGTGTTCACGTTCGCAGTGTCCCGCCCAAGCCCTTTGCTCCCTGTTTGTGTAACATGGACTTTACCCTTGGGGTGGCAGGACCCGGGACCTCTAACACTGCAGCCTTCCTCGCAGGTGGGATGGCGGGGGCTGCCTGACCCTGGAACTCCAGGGCAGAGCCTGTAGATCCTGCAGAGTTGTGGATGTGTGTGGTGTGGGGCTCAGGAGTGAGTATGCACAAGCAAGCTAGCGTGCGCACACACACACACACATGCACGCGTGCACACACACAAACACCACTTCCCTGTGCACAAAGTCTTGGCTCTTCCCTTATCTGGGGAGAAGGGTTGGCGCCTTGGCTGAGAGGGTGTCCTGCCAGGAAGGGGGTTAGGGTGGGGCTGCCCCAGAAGTGACTAACCTTCCCGGGCTCTTTCTTTTCAGTCTATGGACCCTGGCAGGCGACTCTGGGCGCTCCTGCCTCTTTGTCCTCCGAGGGCCTCATCCGCCTCCTTCATGGGTGCCGATCGGAACGGATGACCTCTACTAAAAGGGTCCGGTGGTCCTTAGAACAGCAAATCTAGGAGAGAGGCTGGGGGCGGCCTTCCGACTCTCCCTTCCTCCCTTGCCATTCCTGCCTGCTCTAAGCTGCCACCCCCTCAGGGAAGGGTGGTTAGGACAGGTGGTGTTAACCCATTAACCATCCCCCCACACACAGTCACTCACTCATCCAGTCACACGCCACAGCCACACACGCACAGTCACACACGTACGCACTGTCACACAGAGTCACATGCACAGTCACACACACACATGTACACATTGTCACACAGAGTCACATGCACAGTCACACACACATGTACACACTGTCACACAGAGTCACATGCACAGTCACACACATACACACAATCACACAGTCACACACACAAGCCACACACATGCACAATCATGCACACACACAATCACTCACAGTCACACACATATACACACAGTCACACACATGCAGTCACACACACTCTGTCCTTTCACTGCGCCAGTGAAAAGCCAGAGTCACATACAGTCACACACATATAGAGTCACGCACACTCACACACACAGCCACACACGTACACACAGTCACACACACATATAGAGTCACACATAAACAGCCATACAACGTACACACAGTCACACACACAGTTACACATACAAGCAGTTACACACACATAAAGTCACATGCAGTCACATATACACGGTTACACAGAATCACACACAGAGACACACATACAGTCACACAATCACAGTCACACACATACACAGTCACACATACACAGTCCCACTTAGTCACACAATCACAGTCACACATACACACAGTCACACACACTCTCTCTTTCTTTGGGTCATTGGATTTTCAGTGCCCCTGTGTCCTCCAAATTTACAAGAAGCCCCAAGACAGACAACTCAATCGTGTACCTTGAGTCGAGGCTCTCCTTAACGTGGGTGAGGATTGTGTGCTACTCCCTGTACGGTGCTTAGGGGAGCATGTGGTGCAGAGCATCAGATCCAGGACTTCTGCTTGTGAAGCCTGCGTGCTTCTCCCCGGCCCCCACGTTGGAAAGCATTTTAAAGTATCTTTTCTGTGGGGCCGAGTGATAGTGTAGTGGGTAGGGCATTTGCCTCGCACACGTCTGACCTGGGTTCGATCCCCAGCATCCCTTATGGTTCTCCCTCCCCCCCCCCCCGCCCCCAGCGCTGCCAGGAGTAATTCCCAAGCAGAGTCAGGAGTAACCCCTGAGCATGGCTATGTATCTCCCCCACCCCCCAAAAATCTCCTCTGACTGTGAGAATGGGCTGCAGCGTTGGAGTCTGACTGTAAGAATGGGTGGAAGAGGTAGGGTGCAGAGTTAGAGTGCTGGAAGGAGACTGTGAGTGGGGCCCACCAGGCTTCCCCAGGTTTTCTGGAAAATACTCCAGGCTGGAAAGTGTGATGCTGGAGGGGGGGGGGGTGGCTTGCAGGAGAAGGGGTTAGGGCGAGGGTAACCAGCTCTTATCTTTCCATTTTCAAGACAAAGCTCACTTTGACACTTCCCGAGGGCCACCAGAGCTCCCCACTCTAGTGAGTTGCTTGTCCGAGCCCAAGGCTTGGGGTGGAGGGGGGCTGCCCAAGACAGGGTGTCTGGGGACAGGGTGGGGCAGCCCCCTCCTCCCAGATAGAATCGCCTCATTGTGGGCTGGACTGTGGCCCCAGGCGCTGCCCCCCTGCCCCCATCCCACCCTCAGTAGACACAATAGGGGCTGTGTGTAGCCCAAAGAGATATTTATTCCAAGCCCTAGAGAGGGGCAGGACGGGGAGAGAAGTAAGGCCCTGACTGGAGGGGGCAGGGGAAGAGGAGGGGAGCCTAGTTGTGATCCTTTTCTAAATTCTTTCTAGAAATCCTACATCCTCCTTGGTTAACCCTTTAATATCCAAGAGAGCACCCGAAAGAGGGACTTGGGAAGCCCCAAGGACAAAGAAGAGCCTTTTCCCAGCATCCCATATGGTCCCCTGAGCACCGCCAGGAGTAATTCCTGAGTGCAGAGTCAGGAGGAACCCCTGTGCAAAGCCGGGTGTGACCCAAAAAGCAAAAAAAAAAAAAAAAAAGAAAGAAAAGAAAAAAACTTTCTCACCTTCTGGTTCAGGGGGCTGCAGAGGGGACCGGGGGAGCGGGGACATTGCGGCTCTCACCCTCATCAGCCTTGGTGTCGGCTGTGGGGAGGCTGCAGCCTTTCCCACCTGAGGATGTCACTGCAGGAGAGCAAGCCAAAGGGGGTCGGGCACCTGCCTCGCATGACGCGGATTTGGGTTCAATCCCCAACATCCATAAGGTCCCTTGAACATGGAGCCCGGCCTACGCTCTGAGCATAGCCGGGTGTGGCCCACCCAAAACCTCACCAAACCAAAGGGGGCGGGGGTGTGGGGCGCCGCGCTATAACCCCCTCCCTCTGTGCAGTGTGTCCCGGCACTCTGAACGGGCTGAGCGTGACGGGCGATGCGGACAACCAGTACCAGACGCTGCACAAGCTCTACGAGAGGTGTGAGGTGGTGATGGGGAACCTGGAGATCGTGCTCACCGGACATAATGCCGACCTCTCCTTCCTGCAGGTGTGTGAGCCCCACTCCTTCCCTAACCTGCGTCCCGGAGCAGAGCGGCCCACGGACGCCTGCTTCCCTGCCTCATGGCTCCCCTCTCTCGGGGAGCAGCAACCCGAAATCCCAAACACGTGTGTGTGTGTGTGTGTGTGTGTGTGTGTGTGTGTTCGCGTGTGCGCGTGGGGGCAGGGATGGATGGGAAGGGGTTGTCAGTGACTGGAGTCTGGGACCTGTGATCTGTTCTCTGGTCTGAGAAACACAAAGGTCTCAAGACTAGGGTTTAACATAGAGACCAGACCAAGAAGCACCTGGATAAGTGGGAAAGGGATGAAGCCTGAGGTGCTCTAAGCAGGAAAGGGTAGAGGGAGTCACACCCACACCGGTGGGGTCGGGTCGGCGCTTGGGACTGAACCTGGGGCTCCTGGATGCGAAGCCTGTGCCCTGTGAGTCATCGCCCCAGACCCAGAGGCTAGATTATTTTTTTGGGGGGTGGGTGGGTTAGGGGTACACCCGGCAGTGCTTCAGGGCTTACTCTTTGCTCTGTACTCAGAGATTACTCCTGGCTGGCCTCTGGGGGAACCATCTGGGGTGCCAGGGATAAAATCCTGGTCAGCCACATGCCAGGCAAGCACCCTACGTGCTCTCCTGTCCCTCCAGCCCCATGAAACTAGAATTTTTTTTTTTTTCTTTTTGGGTCACACCTGGCGATGCACAGGGGTTACTCCTGGCTCTGCACTCAGGAGTTACTCCTGGCGGTGCTCAGGGGACCCTATGGGATGCTGGGAATCGAACCCGGGTCCGTCGCGTGCAAGGCAAACGCCCTACCCGCTGTGCTATTGCTCCAGCCCCTGAAACTAGAATTTCTTGATCATTTCTGCTGCCTGTCTTCACTCCCAGAAGGGACACAGAAGCTGCAGGGATAGTACAGGGTTAGCACTTGCCTTGCATACGGCCAGCACTGTTTCGTTCCCTGAGCACCACTGGGTGTGGCCTAAAACCAACCCCACCCCCCCAAAAAAAAAGAAGGGACACACAAAAAAAAATAGTAGTGTAATACTTGTAATACTCTTTTTTTTTGGGGGGTCACACCCAGCAATGCACAGGGCTTACTCCTGGCTCTGCACTCAGGAATTACCCCTGGCGGTGCTCAGAGGACCATATGGGACCATGCTGGGAATCGATCCCGGGTTGGCTGCGTGCAAGGCAAACGCCCTACCCGCTGTGCTATTGCTTCAGCCCAGTACTTGTAATACTCTCTACTCCCTTCTCCAAATAGCAATTAGAATTAGAGAAGATTGGGGAGGTCCCTTGGGAGGGAAGGGGCATTGAGACACTTTGTTTGACCTGTTTCCCCCCTCACTGGCACGACTGCTCCTTCCAGTGGATCCGAGAGGTGACCGGCTATGTCCTCGTGGCCATGAATGAGTTCTCCACACTCCCACTGCCCAACCTCCGAGTAGTGAGGGGCACCCAGGTCTACGACGGCAAGTTTGCCATCTTCGTCATGTTGAACTATAACACCAACTCCAGCCATGCTCTGCGCCAGCTCCGCTTCACTCAGCTGACAGGTGAGTTCCCGGTGATTCCCCTGGTCTTGCTGCAGGTGGACACCAGACACCATCTGTGCCAGACTGTTCTTCGCACCCCCTTATGAGGTAGCCGCCCCCTTGCCCACTGTGTGGTGAAGGTCCTCAAATCTTCTGTCCTGCTGGGGCCAGAATTGTTTGAGGTCCAGTGGCAGGGGGCTGGGGGTGCATCTCAGTGATACAGATGTGTGTGCCTGAAGCCCTGGGTTCACGCACCCCCCAAAAAGAGAGCTACAAAGCCCAGTGCACCTGCATGCCCCTCTTTCCCTGGGACTGGGAGTGATTCCTTCTCTCCTACCCCCATCGCCTACAAGCGGGAGGAATTTGGGGGCTCTGTTCCATCTGGCACCTTCTCCTTAGCGCAGTGGGTTGGAAAGCACGCAGGTAGGCCCGGGGGTGGGGGTGGGGGGCGGTGCCGATCCTCTCTCCTTTCCCTTCCCCTCCCCCACTGGCTGAACCGGATCTGGACAGGTGTCTGAGGAGACCTGAGTTTTTTTGCCCCTGGCTCCTCCCTCTGACGGGAAGGCCTTTCTCTGCCTGCGCCTTCACTGGACAAAGCCTTCTGCCTTGCTCCCTGATCCTGAGTCTTGAGAATCCATTTGGACTCGTGTGGAGGGAAGGAAGAGGAGCCTGCACCCCATCCTTTCTCTTTCCTATCTCAGAGATCCTGTCGGGGGGCGTTTACATTGAGAAGAATGAAAAACTGTGTCACATGGATACCATCGACTGGCGGGACATTGTGAGGGACCGAGATGCCGAGATAGTGGTGAAGGACAATGGAAAGAGCTGTGAGTGGCTGTGACCCAGACTGCTCCCCTGTCCCCACCGAGCCAGAGGGACTCCTTCCTCCCCATCATGTTATCCCTGCTGCGAACCTGCCTCTCCACTGCAGCCACACCTCAGGCCCCAGGCTCAAGGAGCCTGACAGGAGGGGCAGGTCGATGCCTCAGAGCCCAAATATGTGTCAGGAAAAGGGGCACAAGATCACTGTGCTCTGTGGGGAGTGAGATTTTTTTTTTAATTTTTGGGTCACACCCAGCAATGCACAGAGGTTACTCCTGGCTCTGCACTCAGGAATTACTCCTGGCGGTGCTCAGGGGACCATATGGGATGCTGGGAATCGAACCCGGGTTGGCCGTGTGCAAGGCAAACCCCCTACCAGCTGTGCTGTGCTGTCGCTCCAACCTTTGGGAGTGAGATTTTTGTTGTTTTGCAAGACACACACAGGGCAGTGCTCAGGGCTTCTCCTGACTGCGCTCAGGGATCACTCCTGGCAGTGCTCAGGGAATCATATGTGGTGCCAGGGATCAAACCCGGGTCAGCTTCATGCGAGGCAAGTGCCCTCCCCGCTGTATTATCACTCCAGCAGCCCAGGCGTGAGGCCTTTGGGCATGTTTCTCCTTGTGCCACCACATCCTGCCTTCCCGTCAGAAGCTTCCTCTTTCTTATGACAATCTGCTGTTCCCTGTCCCCTCACGCGCACAGATTCCTGCCATCCGGCTCCTAATACCCAGGAGGAACCAGGCTCCCGGGTGGGGATGGAGGCCAAGACTGGCATTTGGCCCAGACCCTCCCCTTCAGCTGCCCCGTGGGAGGTGGAGGCGTCGTCCCGCCCCTTGTTGACAGGTTCACTTGAGCCCAGCCCTGTCCTGCCGGGGCAAAGAGGGCCACTACCCCAGCTCTTCACTTCCTGCCCTGGGGTGCCTGTGTGCTGACGCCATACCTCGGGGAGCCAATCAAACCTCTCTGATGGCCCCTCTGTTGTTTTCCTTCCCCATCAGGTTCCCCCTGTCATGAGGCCTGCAAAGGACGGTGCTGGGGCCCCGGACCAGAAGACTGCCAGACATGTGGGTGACGTTCCCCCGAAGCCTCCCGCTTCTCCCACTCTCTTAGCGCCCAGCCTGGCTCGGCATGAGAGGCAGGGCTGAGCCTGCGAGGGAGGAAGGGCACTCAGGGGCCACAGGACCCCATCCCGGGGCCTGACTGCCATTCTTTCTCTCCCTGCCAGTGACGAAGACCATCTGTGCGCCTCAGTGCAATGGTCACTGCTTCGGGCCCAACCCCAACCAGTGTTGTCATGATGAGTGTGCAGGGGGCTGCTCGGGCCCCCAGGACACAGACTGCTTTGTACGTATTATGGCCGTTTTGATGGGTTCGGAAATGGGGGGGTGTGGGTTCCGGGGAGGGAACTTGGGGGGGTTACAAATAAGACGGGAGTGTTCACATTTCCTATGTTTCGAGGCCTGTCGACTCTTCAATGACAGTGGAGCCTGTGTGCGCCAGTGTCCCCAGCCCCTCGTCTACAACAAGCTGACTTTCCAGCTGGAGCCAAACCCGCACACCAAGTATCAGTACGGAGGCGTCTGCGTCGCCAGCTGTCCCCGTGAGTAATCCAAGGGAAGGAGCCATGGCACTAGAGCCAAGATTACAGACAAAGGGGAGGACACAGAAGGGATTAAGTCTGATGGTGAACAGGGAGCACAGAGGGCAAACAGGCATGTTCGTTTAACCACCAAGCGCGTGACCCATACGTCCTGTGTCCCGTCTGTTTCTTCGCTCTTTCTAGCAGTTGCTTGTAGCTCTGCTGTTTAGAGCATAGAAACTTTCTTTTTCATTTTTTAATTTAATTTTTTAAAATTTTTATTAGTGAAACACCATGAGGTACAGTTGTAGACTTGCAATTTTTTGTGCTTGGGTTTCAGTTATACAATGATCAAGTACCCATCCCTCCACCAGTGCCCATTTTCCACCACCACGGATTCCAGTATCCCTCCCACCCCCCATCCCCTCATCCCACCCTGCCTCTGTGGCAGGGCATTCCCTTTTGTTCTCTCTCTCCTTTTGGGTGCTGAAGTTTGCAAGAGAGGCATTGAGTGGCAGTCATGTTCGGTCTATAGTCTACTTTCAGCATGCATCTCCCATCCTGCGTGGATCCTCCCAACACCCTTTATTTGGTGCTCCCTTCTCTATCTGAGCTGCCTTTTCCCCTAGCATGTGCAGCTGGCCTCCAAGCCATGGAGAAAACCTCCTGGTACTAATCTCAGCTATTCTTGGGTGTTGGTCTCCTATTTTGTTACTTTATGTTCCCCAGGTGAATGCAATCTTTCTGGAGCATAGAAACTTTCTAGTATGTAGGGCCACTTGGAAGGAACCTTCAGTGGGGCTGGAGAGAAATCACACCCTTGCCCAGATCTGACCTGGGGATCGATCCCTGGCACCCCATAGGGTCCCCCGAGACCACCAGGAGTGATCCTGGAGTCCAGAGCCAGGAGTAAGCCCTGAGCACAGCTGGGTGTGGCCCAGAAACCAAAGAAAAAGGAAAAAAGGAACCTTCAATAGGTCGGGGCCAGTCCTGCACATGGCAGATAGAACAGAGGCCCGGGGCTCAGGTGGAGGCAGGCAGTGCTCAATTGGCATTTTCCTTGCTCCTAGATAACTTTGTCGTGGATCAGACATCTTGTGTCAGAGCCTGTCCTCCTGACAAGATGGAAGTGGATAAAAATGGACTCAAGATCTGTGAACCGTGTGGGGGTCTGTGCCCCAAAGGTGAGAAGGAGCTGGGGAGGGAAGATGATCGGGGATGTGCTTTCCTGTGAGGCTTCTCAGGAATCGCTCACTGAACTTCTTTTTTCTTTTGCGTTTGCAGCCTGTGAGGGTACAGGCGCTGGGAGCCGCTACCAGACTGTGGACTCAAGCAACATTGACAGATTTGTGAACTGCACCAAGATCCTGGGCAACCTGGACTTTCTTATCACTGGCCTCAATGGGTTAGAGAATTTGCTTTCCAGCCCTGATCTGCTTCCCCAGTCTTCCCCTCAGTTCATGGCACTGGCTAAAACCCTTTATATCAGAGTTCACCGAGCTACCTGTAACACTGTAGCACTGTCCTCCCGTTGTTCATGGATTTGCTCTAGCACACCAGAAGCGTCTCCATTGTGAGACTTGTTACGGTTTTTGGCATATCAAATACACCACGGGGAGCTTGCCAGCCTCTGCCGTTGGGTAGGATACTCTCAGTAGCTTGCTGGGCTCTCCGAGAGGGACGGAGGAATCGAACCCAGGTTGGCCATGTGCAAGGCAAATGCCCTACCCGCTGTGCTATCGCTCCAGGCCCTGGTATGTTTATATAAACTTTTGTAAACATTATTTTGTTGTTAATTTGCTCCTGATCTGGTGACTGGGGGACCCAGACCACCTTCTGTTTTCTTTAAACTTTGGGGGCTTTTATTTTCATTCTTTAAGTTCTTCTTTACTTTTTTTTGGAGAGGGGACAATAAAAAAACAAAGTTTTTGTTTTGGCAGTGTCTGAGTATTAAACCCAGGGCCTCACCTATGCTGGGAAAGTGCTCTACCACTGAGCTATATCCCAGCCCCTAACCTAAGGTCTTATTTTTTGTTTATTTTTGTTTTTGCACCTGGAATTGCTCAGGGCTTACTCCTGACGCTGCGCTGAAGAATCACTCCGGATGGGCTCAGAGGACCATTAAGGGGCGGAGGATCAAATCCAATCAGCCACTTGTTTTTTTGTTTTGTTTTGTTTTTGATTTTGGGGTCACATCCAGCAATGCTCAGGGGTTGCTCCTGGCTTTGCACTCAGGAATTACTCCTGGCGGTGCTCAGGGGACCATATGGGATGCTGGGAATCGAACCCAGTTCAGCCGCATGCAATGCAAATGCCCTACCCCCTGTGCTGTCAGCCCAGCCGCTGGATTTTAACCTCTTTCTACTGTTCTCTTCAGAGACCCCTGGCACAAGATCCCTCCCCTGGACCCTGAGAAGCTCAGTGTCTTCCGCACAGTTCGAGAGATCACAGGTGAGTGGGAAGGGAGGCTGCCCAGCCTGAGAAAATTAGATGAACCACAAGCGTAGCGTAGGGTAGAACTATTGGAGAAAATGATGCGTCAGCCACCAGGGCGGGATGGCGAGAACCTGAGGGAGAAGGCTGCCTGCTCATGTCCCTCCCCAACCCTCCAACCCCACAGGCTACCTGAACATCCAGTCTTGGCCTCCCCACATGTACAACTTCAGTGTCTTTTCCAACTTGACCACCATCGGGGGCAGAAGCCTCTACAAGTGAGTAAAGCCGCTGAGGTCCTTGCTTCTCAGGCCACTGAATTCTGCTTCTCAGGCTTCCTTCCTTCTCGGGGTGAAACGCAAGTAGCGTCCCCTCTTACACGCCAAAGGGTTTGTAAGCTTGAGGCGGAGAAGGCAAACAGTGCCCAGAGTGGGAGAGAGATGGACACCAAGGAGGGCACTTGCCTTGCACTGAAGCCAACCCGGGGTCAATCCCCAGCATTCCATATGGTTCCTCCAGACCACCAGGAGTGATCCCTGAGCACTGCTTCCTGTGGCTCCCAAGCTAAAATAAAAAATAAGTGTGCTAAATGCAATGATTAGGGAACGGTTAGCTTCTTTTTCTTTCTTTTTGTCCCTCTTTTTGGGTCACACCCAGCGATGCACAGGGGTTACTCCTGGCTTTGCACTCAGGAGTTACTCCTGGTGGTGCTCAGGGGACCATATGGGAAGCTGGGAATCGAACCCGGGTCGGCCGCGTGCAAGGCAAACGCCCTACCCGCTGTGCTATCTCTCCAGCCCCAGGGAAAGGTCCGTTTGCCTTCCCTTTCATCTCTGTTTCTCCTCCTTAGCCGGGGCTTCTCGTTGTTGATCATGAAGAACTTGAATGTCACATCTCTGGGCCTTCGCTCTCTGAAAGAGATCAGTGCTGGGCGCATCTACATAAGTGCCAATCGACAGCTGTGCTACCACTATAATCTCAACTGGACCCGGCTGCTGCGGGGGCCTCCGGAGGAGAGATTAGACATCAAGCATAACCGGCCCCGCAAAGAATGCGGTGAGGACCAGCGCCGGTGGGCAGTGGAGAGGGTCAGGGAGGACATGGGTGTGCAGCCCCTGGAAGTGGAGATGGAATGGGTGATGGGACCAAGGAGATGGTGAAGACCAGCAGCTGCGATGAGGAAGAAGTCAGGAGAGGGCACGACCAGAAACTCCTGACCACGCCTCCTGACCCACCCCTTTCTTTGCAGTGGCAGAGGGCAAAGTGTGTGACCCACTGTGTTCTGGGGGATGCTGGGGCCCGGGCCCTAGTCAGTGCCTGTCGTGTCAAAACTACAGCCGAGGAGGCATCTGTGTGACCCACTGCAACTTTCTAAATGGGTACAGTGTGGGGAGAGAGGGTGCTGAGGGGCTGGGCCCTGGGATGGAGCTAGTCAGTGGGCAACTGTGAGTCTTTCGGGAACTTTCGGCTCTGCCTCGGAGGGGGATGAGGAAGAGAGTCTGACTGGGAGGTGCTCAGGACCTGGTCAGGACTTGGCGGTGACCACCCTCCCCTCCACTGCCCCCCCCACCCCCCACTGCAGGGAGCCTCGTGAGTTTGCCCAGGAAGATGAATGCTTCTCGTGCCACCCAGAATGCCAGCCCATGGAGGGCACCACCACATGCAATGGCTCGGTACAGTAGCGGCACCCACATCTCTGACGAAGAAAGGGTGGGGGAGGAGGCCAGATGCTGCAAGTGTTTGGGTGGAAGGATGCTAGAGGCTGGCCTGGGCCTTGCTGGGAGGTCTGGAATTGACCATGGGGCCCATCTCCCTGTTCTTTTCTTTCCTGCCCAGGGCTCTGATGCCTGTGCCCAGTGTGTCCACTTTCGAGACGGGCCTCACTGTGTGAGCAGCTGCCCCTACGGAGTCCTGGGCGCCAAGGGTCCCATCTACAAGTATGCAGATGCTCAGAACGAGTGTCGGCCCTGCCACGAGAACTGCACTCAGGGGTCAGTGAAGGGGACTTAAGAAAAGGGGACCCAGGAGGGGGATGGGCACAGAAATAGGCGGATGGCAGAGAGCCAGAGGAAAAGCAGAAAGAAACTGATTTGTGAATCAGTTTCAGGAGCCAGAGCGATAGTCCAGAGGGTAAGGCACTTGCCTCCCATGCAGCTGACTTGGATTCCATCCCCAGCACTGCACGTGGTCCCCTGAGCACTGCAGGGGTGATGCCTTAAGCCAGGAATAAGCCATGAACACCCATTTGGGGCCAAGTGTGGTCCAATAAAAAAAGAATCGATCCCCAAACCTGGGGATATGGTCTAGTGGAAGAGCATTTAGTGATCTCTGAGCACTGAACTGGGAGTTGTCCCTGAGCACTGACAAATCTGACCAGAACTAAAACAATAATAATAATAATAATAATAGTAATAATAAAAATCCATTACCAGCTATGTAGTAAATGGCTAAAGAAAGGGAAACTTCAATAATGGCATAGCACCATTTTGGGAACCTAGAAAAAGATATTAGCACAGGGAAGTTTTACAAAGTCCCGAGTCCAGGCTAGGAAGATGGCTCAGGTGGTAGAGCACATTCCTGCGTGCACAAAGTCTGGGTTCAATCCCAGGAACCACGTGCCTCTCCCAGGCCTGCACCCCAGCACTGCCAGGTGTGACTCTTGATGCTCTCCCGTACTGCCGGCCTGATCAGGCATTGCTGAGCCTCAGTTGCTGCGAGTGACCCCTCAACATAGAGGGGAACGCAGGGCTGGTGAGCTAGTTAAGCGGACTCCAGGATGGGATGCCAGGGGAGGGTCCAGGGGCTGTTGGAATGGAACCTTCATGGGGATATCCCAGGCTCCCGTGTAAGGTGACAACTTTGTCCTCTAGGTGTAAAGGACCAGAGCTCCAGGACTGCCTGGGTCAAGCCTCAGGGATCATCAGGTAAGAAGGATTGAGACTTAAGGAATGAGTATTTGGGGGGCTGGAGAGATAGCACAGCGGGTAGGGCGTTTGCCTTGCATGCGGCCAACCCGGGTTCGATTCCCAGCATCCCATATGGTCCCCCGAGCACCGCCAGGAGTAATTCCTGAGTGCAGAGCCAGGAGTAACCTCTGAGCATCTCTGAGTGTGACCCAAAATAAGCAAAAAAAAGCAAAAAAAAGAAATCAGTATTTGGAGACAAACTTTGGAGAGGCTGAATCTGAGTTTTCCTTCATTCTGGAGAGATCGGTCATTCTCAAAGTGGTGTGGTCTAGTCACTCTGGTAATAGATAGTCACTGTTGCTGGATTTGGGGACATAGATAGTTACTGTGGCTGGACTTGAGGACATAAGAATCCAGTTTTCTGGGTGCCACAGAGATAAAGTACAGCGGATTGGGTGTTTGCCTTGCACGTGGATGACCCCAAGTTCTATCCCCAGCACCACATATAGTCCCTTGAGGCCTGCCAGGAGTAAGCCCTGAACACCTCTGGATGTGGCCTTAAACCATCATAAAATAAATAAAAAGTATGCTTGAGACTTACGGTAGGGAACTTGCCTTGCCCGTTGCTGGCTGACCCAGGTTCGATCTGCAGCATCTTATATGGTCCCACAAGGAACACCAAGAGTAATTCCTAAGTGCAGAGCAAGGAGTTACTCCTGGGCATCACTGGGTGAAACCCCCCCCAGAAAATACACTTTTGGGGCTCACAGAGAGAACAGTGGGAAAGGTGTTTACTTCATATGCAGCCAACCTAGGTTCCATCCCCGTTACCATATACAATTTCCTGAGCATTGCCAAGAGTGATCCCTGAGGACAGAAGTAAGCCCTTAACCCTGGGTGTGTCTCCCCCCCAAATTAAAGATTATCTGTAAACATGAATATTAACTTTTTGCCCCAGATCTGCACCATCACCATGCCTTTAGCACACTATAGGTGACATCTAGAAGGGAGTTGTGGACCCAAGATAATGCTGGGCTTTTTTTTATAGCAAAACCCATCTGGCAATGGCTTTAACGGTGGTGATTGGATTAGCCGTGATTTTCTTGATCCTGGGCGGCACTTTCCTCTATTGGCGAGGGCGCCGGATTCAGAACAAGAGGGCTATGAGACGCTACCTGGAACGGGGTGAGGTGAGTGTTTACCTTGAAAGGTACCCCATGGTCTTCAACCTTCCTATACCTGCAGACAGGTAAAATAGGAGAACTATGTCATGCACCGCTGAGGCAAAAATAAAATAAACTGATTTCAAATAAGAATACATACAAATTGAGAGAGCCAGGTTACTTGCCTTTCAAGTGACTGAACTGAGTCCTAGTTTGGTCTCCCACACTCCGTATGGTCCTTTGACCCATCCCTGAGCACTGGTGGATGTGGTCCAAAAAAAGATTTTTATATCAATGTTTATTATAGGACTGCTACATGATGCAGGCATGCATACCACGGGTTAAGCAGCAATAAGTATTTTGTGAGCTAGAAGAAAGTTCTGTGACAGATATCGGTCCACACACTGGCAGTTGAAAAATACTGCCTGTGCCTCTTTATAAGTCTTCTCCTTCCCTGAGGTCTGATCTGTGTTTCAAAGGATCCATTAGAAAGGAGCCTGGCCATGTCTGGAGAGGTGGTGGTGGTGGGGGGGGGCGTTTCCTTGCACGCTACAGATCTAAGTTCCATTCCCAGCATCCCATATGGTTCCCTGAGCCTGCCGGGAGTGATTTCTAAGTTCAGAGCTAGGAGTAACCCTTGAGCACTGGCAGGTGTGGCCCAAAATACAAAGCAAAGTAGCCTGAGCAGAAGCAGGGGAGACATGCACTGCACTTGGAGTTCTGATTTTGTCAATTATTTGCCTCGTAACTTTGAGGAAGTTACTTTTCTTCCCTGAGCGTTGGCCCTTGCATGAGTCCAGAGGAGACAGTAACTTGCGTCCTACTAAAGTTACTATGGGGTGGCTGTAGGCTGAAAGGTGAGGATGTATAGAAAGTGCTTTGGAAAGTATAGAGATCTGTATCAAAGTACCCAGGGGATGACATTAACAACCTGTGCCTCCCCCTTGTTCTCACTAAAGGAAAAGAGTTCTATCTCGTGAACTCCAATAACTTCCTCAGGGCCAGAGAGAGTATAGCCGGCAGGGCACTTGCCTTGCATGTAGCTGACCTGGATCGATCCCTGGTATCCCATATGGTCCCCCAAGCACCACCATGAGTGATTCCTGAGTTCAGAGCCAGGAGTAACCCCTGAGCATCACTGGGTGTGGCCCAAAACCAAACCCAAACAAACTTCCTCAATATTCAGGTTCTGTTACTTCCCCATATGCCAGCAGCACTTTCTAAGACTAGACAACTTCTCTTCCTCTTCCCACTTTTTGGGTTCTGTTTCTCTGTACCCATCTAGGCCGAGCAGGAGGGAGGGGCACACAAAGCAGGCTTTTCTGCTGACTTCCTTCCCCTCTGCTCTGCAGAGCATAGAGCCTCTGGATCCCAGTGAGAAAGCTAACAAAGTCTTGGCCAGAATCTTCAAAGAGACAGAGTTGAGGAAGCTGAAAGTCCTTGGTTCAGGCGTCTTTGGAACTGTGCACAAAGTGAGTAGCACAGCAGAAATTGGGAAGTGGGGGGCAGGAACTAGGGATGATGGGGGTGGGGGGAGAGGAAATCATTCCAGGAAAGCACTAGCCCTGGGGGAAAGACTGATTCCTGTCTCCTATTTCCCAGGGAGTGTGGATCCCTGAGGGGGAATCAATCAAGATTCCAGTGTGCATTAAAGTCATTGAAGATAAGAGTGGACGGCAAAGTTTCCAAGCTGTGACTGATGTAAGTGAAAGAGGGGAGAGGTGGACACATGTTAGATCAGACTCTGGGTGGGGGGGGGTCATTTGTATTAGCAGCGACTATGTTGATGTACTTGAATCAAGGACATCAGGTAGAGATAGATGGAGAGATAGATAAGAGATAGCTTGCCGTGCTGGAGATAGTACAGCAGGTAGAGCACTTGCCTTGCACACAGCCAGTCCAGGTTCCATCCCTGGCATTCCGTGTGGTACCCCAAGTACCACCAGGAGTGATAGAGTGATTCCTGAGTGCAGAGCCAGGAGTAACTCCTGAGCACTGCCAGGTGAGGCCTCCCCCAAAAAAGAGAGAGATAACTTACATTTCTTTTCTTTTTTGGGGGGGTGATGCACAGGGGTTACACCTGGCTTTGCACTCAGGAATTACTCCTGGTGGTGCTCAGGGGACCATATGGGATGCTGGGAATCAAACCCGGGTTGGCTGTGTGTAAAGCAAACGCCCTAACCACCGTACTATCGATCCAGCCCCGATAACTTACATTTCTGACCTGGATTCTATCCCTGACACCTCATATGGTCCCCCAAACCCCAAGCGAGGAGAGATCCCTGAACACATAGCCAGGAGTAAACCCAGAATACAGCTGGTGGTGGCCCAAAAAAACAAACAAAACCAAAAAAGGAAATGAAATACTTGGGGTTGCCCTGGTCTGGAGATGTGTGACCTCTTTGTTCTCTGGGTAACCTCTCTTTTGTCTCTTAGCACATGCTGGCCATTGGCAGCCTCGACCATGCCCACATCGTTCGGCTGCTGGGGCTGTGCCCAGGGTCATCTCTTCAGCTAGTCACTCAATACTTGCCTCTGGGCTCTCTGCTGGATCACGTGCGACAACATGGGGCGGCCCTGGGGCCGCAGCTTCTACTTAACTGGGGTGTGCAGATTGCCAAGGTGAGAGGAGCTGGGGGCATTGTTGGGGGGGGCTTCAAGGATGTGACTGCCTGGCTGGGGTCTGCTGGGAGGGGGTGGGGCTGCTGAAATCCAGAGTTTTGGATGCTTCTGCGGGCTCACGTCAGCAGCATATATACTAAAATTGAGGTGCTTCTGACTCTCAATGATTGACCCTCCAACCTTGAGACTCATTCTTCCTCTGCAGGGAATGTACTACCTCGAGGAGCACGGGATGGTACACAGGAACCTGGCAGCCCGCAATGTGCTCCTCAAGTCACCCAGCCAGGTTCAGGTGGCAGATTTTGGGGTGGCTGACCTGCTACCCCCCGATGATAAGCAGCTGCTTCACAGTGAGGCCAAGGTGAGGTGATGGGGAGGGCTGAGTCAGGAAGTTGTCAGGAATGGCAGTGACGCCTGTGGGGAGGGAGCACTCAGGTCTCTATCAGGAAGATGCAGATTCTGCGTGTGGAGAAACCTGGAGATACCAGAAACAGACCTCCAGAGATTGATAGGGCCGGGGACATGGCCCAGCAGCAAGGCACATGCCTGCCTGCATGCAGCCTGGGTTCAGTCAACCCACATGGCCAAAATAAGAAAGAAAAAGGAAAGAATTTATGATAGAGCTGAAGAGATAGCGCACTGGGGAGGGCACTTGGCTTGTATATGGCTGACCCGGGTTTGATCCCCAGCATCCCATGTGGTCCCCTGAACACCATTAGGAGTGATTCCTGAGCGTAGAGCCAGGAGTAATCCCTGAGCACGGCCAGGTGCGACCCAAAAAGAAAATAGAAAATTCAGAAAAAGAAAAGAATGACAGAGAGCTTGAAGTTTAGGGAATGTGAACACAAATTTGTGAAAATGAACTAATAACACTTTTGTCTTCAATCCTCCAGACTCCAATTAAGTGGATGGCCCTCGAGAGTATTCACTTTGGGAAATACACACACCAGAGCGATGTCTGGAGCTACGGTCAGTCTCTCTGGAGGCCCTTCACGCCATCAGTGGCTCAGTTGTTTGAGTTGCTCTAAAAGACCCTTCTGATTGAGTTAGTTATGTTTTTAGTGGAGCAAGATAGTTTTTATTGATCAAAACTTATTTAGAAAGATGTGACAGGAGAGAAAGACAGGAAATGTGAGTTCAAAAGAGAACATGGGCTTCTCCCAAGTGAGGAGGAAAAAGCAAGCAAAGATCCCTAGAGACAAACAAGCAAGACATGTATTCAAGGGGGAACACAGGGTTGAAGGACAAGCTCTAAGGCCCTTTCTAGAATGTGTCAACCCTTTAAGCCTTGTGTTAGGTCAAGTTATTCCTACCTATCATCTTCGTACCTACTTTGCCCACCAGGTATCTTCCTCTACTTCTAGGTGTGACAGTGTGGGAGCTGATGACTTTTGGGGCCGAGCCCTATGCGGGACTGCGACTGGCTGAAGTACCAGATCTGCTGGAGAAGGGCGAGAGGCTGGCACAGCCACAGATCTGTACCATTGATGTTTACATGGTTATGGTCAAGTGTGAGTGTCCCGCCCATCCCCACCATTTCCTGATTTCCCTCCCAATGGCACTCTCCCTTGACCACATGGCGTCTGCATCTGACCTCCAGGTTGGATGATCGACGAGAACATTCGCCCGACTTTTAAAGAACTAGCAAATGAGTTCACCAGGATGGCCCGAGACCCACCCCGGTATCTGGTCATAAAGGTGAGGAGGGAGAGGGTGTGAAGGACATTTGGAGAAAAGGAAACTTGGCTGAGATTAGGATCTAACCTCACCATCACCTGTGTGTTCCCTGCCCCCTCTAGAGGGAGAGTGGGCCTGGAATTCCCCCTGGAGCAGAGCCTCCTGCTCTGACAAACAAGGAACTGGAGGAAGTAGAGCTGGAGCAGGAACTAGACCTCGACCTGGATTTGGAGGCAGAGGAGGACAACCTGGTGACCACACTAGGTTCTGCCCTCAGCCTCCCAGTTGGAACGCTTAATCGTCCCCGGGGGGTGAGTCCTTTTGCAGTTGCCCAAGGTTTGTCTTATCTTCAGCGCTTTTTACCCAGAATCCCCTCAACCCGCGGATACCCAGATTGAGTACCAAAGGCCTCCAGGCTGACTTGATGTCTCCTTTACCTAAATTTCTGTCCTTTTTTTCCATTCTAGAATCAGAGTCTTTTAAGTCCATCATCGGGGTATATGCCAATGAACCAGAGTAATCTAGGGGATTCTTGCCAGGTAAGGTTTGTCGGAGAGGCTGGGTGGGAGAGTTGTGGGAGTCAACTAAAGAAACCACTGAGGCTTGGGTTGGAGCCATAGTACAACATAGGGCACTTGCCTTGCACGTGGCCAACCCAGAGTCAATCCCCGGCTCCCCATACTGCCCCTGAACCCACCAGGAGTGATCCCTGAGCACTGAGTCAGAAGTAAACCCTGAACACTATCGGGTGTGGCCCTAAAACCCCAACCCCCCCCGCAAAAATAAAGTGGAAATCATAGAGGTTTAATCAGAGTCCTACATCCAAAAGACAGCTCTAAACATGTTTCTTCTGAATGTTTTTCAAAATGTTTTTTTACTGGAACTCAGTTCAATCTCTGTGTATGATCTTCCTCCTTAGGAGTCTGTAGGTTCTGGGGGTAGTGAACAGTGCCCCCGGCCAGCATCTCTGCACCCTATACCACGGGGTCGCCTGACATCAGAGTCATCGGAGGGCCACGTGACAGGCTCTGAGGCTGAGCTCCCGGAGAAAGTGTCAATGTGTCGGAGTCGGAGCCGGAGTCCCAGGTCACGGGGAGACAGTGCCTACCATTCCCAGCGCCACAGCCTGCTCACTCCTGTCACCCCACTGTCCCCACCGGGGTTAGAGGAAGAGGATGTCAACGGTTATGTCATGCCAGATGCACATCTTAAAGGTGCTGACTCTCCCGGGGCCTTTCTCGTCTTTCTCTAATCCTGTCTCCAGACTCCCCTGAATCCATTTGTGATCTCCAATCCGCTTCCTCTACTCCCGTTTTCCTAACTTTTCCCCCACTCCCCACAGCCTATCACCATGAGTTCATATTCTTATCCTCTTCTCTCAACCCCCAGGGACCCCATCCTCCCGGGAAGGCACCCTTTCTTCAGTGGGTCTCAGTTCTGTCCTGGGAACTGAAGAGGAAGATGAAGACGAGGAGTATGAATACATGAACCGCAGGAGAAGGGGGAGCGCCCCTCATCAAGAGCGACCGAGTTCCCTCGAAGAGCTGGGTTACGAGTACATGGATGTGGGATCAGAACTTAGCGCTTCCCTTGGCAGCACCCAGAGCTGCCCACTCCACCCAGGGCCCATCACGCCCACCGCCGGCACCACTCCAGACGAGGATTATGAATACATGAATCGGCGGCGTGGTGGAGGGGCTCCTGGGGCAGATTATGCAGCCATGGGCGGCTGCCCAGTGGATGAGCAAGGGTATGAAGAGATGAGAGCTTTCCAGGGGCCTGGACATCCTGCTCCTCATGTCCACTACACCCGCCTCAAAACTCTACGGAGTCTAGAAGCTACCGACTCTGCCTTTGATAACCCCGATTACTGGCACAGCAGGCTTTTCCCAAAGGCAAATGCCCAGAGAATATAACCTCTGCTCCCCGAGTGCCTCAGGGAGCTTCTGACGGCAGCTAGTGCCTCTCAAGGGCACCCCTCTTCTCTCTGATCCCTCACCCTGACAGGCCAGGCCCCTGCCCCCAGTTCCTTTAACCTTTGCAGGCTCTTACACACTCTTTGACACGAAACACTGGCGGTCCGTAGACAGCCGTGCACTTTCTTCTCTTTCCAGACCCAGGAAAGAAGGGTTTCATCCCCTGATTTTGTGTGCTTCCACACTCCATTCCTCAGGAGAAATCCCTGGAGATATGAAGGATTCCTCCCCATTTCCTTTTCTCTCCGGCTCTGACTTGTTAAGACCAGTCTCAGTAGTGTGTCTTTCTTTCCCGTCCCACTCCCAAGGAAGAGGGAAGGGCAGAAACCTGGCAGAGGAAAGTAAATTTGTGTTTCGTGACTCTCAAGCCTTCTAGAGAAAGTGGGGTTAAAGTCTTGTGTACTAGGGCTGGAATGATAGTACAGTGGGTAGGACACGGTTTTGTATGTGGCCGGCCCGGGTTCAATCCCCAGCACCACAACCCCTGGATCCTGTCAGGAGTGATCCCTTAGCACAGAGCCAGGAGTAAGCCCCATGCACTGCGAGGTGTGGCCCAAAAACCAAACAAACAAATTCAAAAGGATGGAGTAAAGAGGTTAAGAGAAGATACTGCTTACTATTATTAATGGAGCATTTAGTAGGCTAAACTTGACCATTATCTCACTCAAGCCTTACAGTTCCCTGGGCGAGGTACTATCTCATTTTACAAATTAGAAAACTGAGCCTTAAAGAGATTAAGTAAGTTAAATGGCAGGTCAGATCAGGATTTAAAATCTTCCAATATAGGGACTGGAGTGATAGGACAGCAGGGAAGGGCGTTTGCCTTGCACACGGCCAACCAGGATTTGATTCCCAGCATCCCATATGGTCCCCCAAGCACCACCAGGAGTAATTCCTGAGTACATGAGCCAGGAGTAATCCCTGAGCATCGCTGGGTGAATCAAAAAGAAAAAATCTTCCAATATATATTGGGGCTGGAGCAATAGTACAGTGGGGAGGGCACTTGCCTTGCACTGGCCAGCCAGGGTTCAATTCCTTGCACTTCAAATGGTCCCCTAGCACTACCAGGAGTAAGTCCTAAGTACAAAGCCAGGAATAATCCCTGACCTTCAGTGGGTGTGGCCCCACTCAAGAAAGTCTTCCAGTATATGTGCTCTTCCTGAAAGATTTCATGAAATACTGATATAAGTCAGAGTTCTTGTACAGGGCATTGAATTGTTTTTGCACTGACTCAAGTCTAAACCCCACACCACATCCTCCTCCTATACCCAGCTTATCTCAATAAGTGTATGTGGGAAGGGGGAGGGGAGTGGGATTGTCAGAAGGAAAAAGAACTGGACATAATTGTGTGAAATATCCTATACAATCTGTAAATAATCTACTTCCTTCTTACCCAAGGGACAGACTTACTAACTAGGATCCCAAGAGCCACTTTTGGAAGCTTTCCACATCTGCTAGTGGAATGCTTCCAGTTAGGGCAGAAATTAGACCTAACTTGGGGCTAGAGTACTGTGGGTAGGCATTTGCCTTGCACTGGGCCCACCCAGGTTCAAATCGCCCAGCTCCCCATGGTCCCCTGAGCCAGCCAGGCGTGATCCCTGAACAGAGCCAGGAATAAGCTCTGAGCACCGCCAGGTGTGGCCCCAAAACAAACAAAAAAATTAGACTCAACTTGGGACCTCTGTCCCCTTGGCTTATCTGTTTTATCACTGAGGTTTTTGTTGTTTTTTTATACGTATGAATAAAAGTACCAAAGTCTCTTCGGCTTTCTGTCTTTCAAAGGGAAACCTCTGGTCGGATAAATCAGCCCATTTCGGGGCTATAGCACAGCAGGTAGGGTGTTTGCCTTGCACACGGCCAACCTGGGTTCGATTCCCAGCATCCCATATGGTCCCCTGAGCACCGCCAGGAGTGACTCCTGAGTGCATGAGCCAGGAGGAACCCCTGCGCATCGCCAGGTGTGACCCAAGAAGAAAAAAAAAATTAAATCAGCCCATTTCTCTGCTCCTCAGCCACAGCTAGCGACCGCGGCGAGCTGCAGTTCCTCGGCGGCTGCCTCCGGCTCCACGTCTGCCTCGAAGACGAGCGGAGCGCTCAGCCCTTTTCATTTTAGTTTTTCTTACTTCTACAGGGCAACCCACAGCAGGACGGATTCCAACCCAGACAGGGTCGGGGCGATCGGGAAAAGCCTGACATTTGGGCTCCATCCAGAGGGGGAGTTCTGGAACTGTCATCGGGTTCGAAGTCTCGCTTCTCTTCAGAGGCTCTCCCGGTCTATTGTTGGAACAATGGTGCCATCTGCAGTGGGAATCCCGCCTCTCGATCGGGAGGTCCTAAGCGGAGCCCGCCCCGGGAGCGCGGCTGTCCCCTGCACCTTCGGGCCCCGTCCACGCCCGTGGTGCCCCTCCCCGCCCGCCCAGCGCCCCCCCCCCCCCCCCCCCCCGCACCGGCCGAGCCGGTCGGACCGAGCCCGGAGGAGCCAGGGAAGGGCGCGCCCAGCCTCCCGCGCTAAGCGGAGTCACCGCGTACGTGCCGCCACTCCCTCCACCTGAGCCTCCGCCCGCAACCCCGGGCTCGGCCGCCGCCCCGCCCTCCCCCCCTCCGCGCGCCCCGGTCCCTTTACACGGGTCCCCGCTCTGACTCCCCGCGAACGCGGCCTCCCGGGAGAGAGAGACCACGCTTCCCAGACCCAGCGCAGCCAACGGCTCCGCCTTCCCGCCGGAGCCTGACCCTTCCCAGCGTGCCCGGCGACTCCGGCGTGCGAGGCCCAGCGGAGGGCAAGGCCCCGAGCCTGGCGTAAGGTGCGCGCGGGGCAGGCTGGGAGTTGTAGTTCGCGGCCGCGCGAGGGCGGCTACGGGCCGGCGGCGCGGAGGACTCGTTCTCCCAGCGTCCCTTGCGCCGCAGCCCGCGCGGTCGCACCTTCTCGCTCCCTCGCCCGCCCGCCCGCTGCCTGGCTCGCTCGCGCTCTCCTCGCGGATCCGAGAGGCTCTGGTCGCACAGCCTGCGGCTGGGCAGGGACAGCCGAGCGGCGGCTCCGGGAGGACGAGGCTGCAGCGGCGGCGGCGGGAAGATGTCGGGCGAGGACGAGCAGCAGGAGCAGACGATCGCCGAGGACCTGGTCGTGACCAAGTATAAGATGGGGGGCGACATCGCCAACCGTAAGTGCGGCCTCGGGGGTCCGGGAACCGGCGCCGAGAGGGAGCGGCACGGGGGGTCCGCTGCTGCCGGGCTCCGAGGGGCCTGCTGGAGCCGCGGGGCCAGGCGGAGGGAGCTCCCGAGGCCCCTGCGCCAGTCCACCCTGGGGTGGTGGTTGGGGGGGTGGCGTATGGGGACAGACGACTGTCGCGCCGGGCACCTGGGCGGTCGGGCCCGGACTCTGGAGTGTGTGCAAGCGCTGGCCGCCGGCACCCGGCGGGGAGCGGCGAGCGCGGACCCCCAGGCCGTCGGTCCGGAGGCACGGGGCACCTCTGGCCCCTTCCTTTTCCGCCTCTGATGCTGGCCGGGGAGGGGGAGCAAGCCCCCCCGGCTGTTCCCGAGCCCGGCGCCCCCGAGTCCGGAGGCCGGCGGCACGTGTTGCCCGGTCCCCGTGCGGACGGCGGGGCTCCCTCCTTCCGCCGCTGCCCCTGACACCGCTGCCCCACCACGTGCTCCGCGGGAGACTTTGGTTCCTGTGCTCGGCCCGGCCCCGAGGGCGGCCCCCTTCTGTTCTCGGCCCGGCCCCGGGGACCGTTGGAGGGCGCCCCTGGAGACCCGGCCTGTCTGGAAGTTATTACTCCTCCACTCCTCCAGAGCGCCTTCATTAATCTCCCGGTGGCGTGGTTTTTAGGGACATGACAATCCCGGGAGTGCCTTGAGGGCCTCACCCCCACCCCACCTCGGCAGACTTGTGCACAGCCGAAGACCCGAACGACCTTCTTCCCCCACCCCCACCCCGCTCGGAACCGGGACTGTGTTTGCACGGTCTCAGCAGCTGCCAGTGCTCCGGGCAGATGTCTCCTTTTCTCTTTCTTCTTTCCAGTCCACCTTCCCATTTTCACAAACCCAGTCGTGCTGAGAATGCTTGTCTTGGAAGTTTTGAAATGATTTTGATAGTTGGGAAAGGTTGTATTTAGGGTCTCTTTGGTCCGATGACTTCACACTGAAGTTTTTTTTTTGTTTTTTTTTTTGTATTTTCAAAGGATCACCAAAATTTAGCTGCCAAAAATTGAAGCTGCAGATCAGGCTGGGCCAGTCAACAGAATAGCAACTGCCTTATAGCACAGTAGGATAGCCTTATGCTATAGTGCTTCCAATTCGGATACTTTTTAGTGCTTGATATTAGTGGTTTGGGGGGGGGGGACTTGAAACTGCAAATAGTACAGGGGTTAAGGGCTTGCCTTGGGCTGACCCTGTTTTATCCCAAGTACTGCATATGGTCCCTGGAGCACCAAGAGGGTGTCCCCACAATGGAAGACTTTGTTTCCTCTGCCGTTTAGAACTTAGAAGGCACTTACGACAGCCACTTTTGAAACTTTGGGGCAACGTCTTTGAGATCCTTTTGAATCCATGCTATGAACCTTCTAAGGCTCAGGGACCCTAGATCAAGTCCTCTTGGCTTGCTTCTAAGGAAGAGTTTACATAAGTCAAGGTTACTAACACCTAATTGGGGTGTCTGAGAAGGGAGGGAGGGAGGTAGCATTTAACAATGCATCTGCTTCGCGTCAGCAATTCATGTCTACTTTCGTGTTGTCCCAGACGCCTATTAACTTCTTGTCTGCTTTGCCTGTACGTGGGATACTTTGGCAAGAACCCCTTGAAGTTAATAACTGTCTTGCCATGCAACAGGTCCCCCATTTGGAAGGGCACCCTTGCCTAGGGAGCTGTTGTGTGTGCCTAGTTGTTAGGTGTACGGGAGGGGAGTGTTGACCTTTTGCAGTTTAGGAAAGAAATGTAGGAGCTTAGAGATTATAGCTAGGGACCTTTGAAGAGGCGGACAGGTTCCCTCTATCAGCCTTGGGGCAGTGGCCCTAGGGAATATTAGAAATTCATCTATTAGGTAATATCTGACTGTCAACTCAGACTGACAGCACAGCGGAGCTGATGCAATGCATTTCTGTTCGCAGGGGTACTTCGTTCCTTGGTGGAAGCGTCCAGCTCAGGTGTGTCAGTACTGAGCCTGTGTGAGAAAGGTGATGCCATGATTATGGAGGAGACGGGGAAAATTTTCAAGAAAGAAAAGGAAATGAAAAAAGGTATGGCTGGTGCTGTAGCTCAGGTGGGAGGTAGAGCATTTGCCTTGTGAATGGAAAGCTCTGGGTTTGTTTCCCAGGATCCCATGGCCCTGATTGGGGCTCCCACGCATAAACCACCACAACAAAAAAAAAATACAAAATTATGTAACGGGGCAGAAAGATTTTAATTTTAAAGGTCTGCAGAGACAGTTTAGCAGGGAAAGATCTTGCCTTACATGAAGCTTACCCAGGTTTAATCCAAGCACCACTAGGAATAATTAGCCCTGAGCACAGCGAGGTGTGGCTGAAATAAACCAAAATCAAACCACCACCACCAGCAACAACAATAAAAAAAACGGGAGGATGCTGAAATAGTACAGCCTTAGAGGCAGCTGATCTGAGCTCCATCTCTGGGACCACCTATGGTGCCCCAGAGTAAAATAGTTCCTAAAGACTCCTAATAATTTCCCAGGTGTGGCCCTTCTTCCTATTTATTGAAATTAGGAGCTCCCACCTAGGCTTTGGTTGAGGTAATTTGGAATGAGGAATGACAAGTGGAATACCAACACTTTTCTATTAAATCTGAACGTAAGGACCTGAAGAAAAATTGTCCATTTTCCTCTGAGGGACAACAGAACTCTGGGAAAAAGCAAGGCTAGTGACAGGATACGCCTAATGATCCTCTCTTTACAGGTATTGCCTTTCCCACCAGCATTTCAGTAAATAATTGCGTATGTCACTTCTCCCCTTTGAAGAGTGACCAGGACTATATCCTCAAGGAAGGTGACTTGGTAAAAATGTAAGCTGAAACCTTTCAGAGCACTTGTCTTTTTTCTAAGTGGTTATGCGTTGCCAGTTCCTGATGCTATACTCCGCTTGCCTTTCAGTGATCTGGGGGTCCATGTGGATGGCTTCATTGCTAATGTGGCTCATACTTTTGTGGTTGGCATAGTTCAGGTAAGCGCCCTCTTCGAATTCTAGCAAATCTTTGGTCATCTCTTCAGGGCATGTCACTGTTTAGGTCTTAATCCTGCCTCTACTGTCACAGGAATTTGGGGACAATCTCTAAAGCAAAGATTCCCAAATGTATTATGTTTACTGCCCCTTTCCAGGAAAAAAAAATTAGTAATTTCCCAGAAATCTACTTCCTTGGCACTCAAACAAAAAGTACTCTCCCCAGTTGCGTCCAAGGATAGTAGGTGGGTCCCTGTTCCACTCCTTTGGTTACAGTGTCCCACACGGGGGCTATCTCCCTACTTCTGGATCCCTACTTCTGGATCATCAGAGGCTTCTTCTCCCCCCCCCCCCCCCCCCCCACTTTTTGGGTCACACCCGGCGATGCACAGGGGTTACTCCTGGCTCTGCACTCAGGTATTACTGCTGGCAGTGCTCAGGGGACTATATGAGATGCTGGGGATCGAACCCGGGTCAGCCGCGTGCAGGCCAAATGTTCTACCCACTGTACTATCGCTCTAGTCCTCATCAGAGGTGTTTTTAACTTTCTGCTCCTGACCCCTTTTTGTCGGAGAAATTTTTACATGACCCCAGGTGCATAAGTATATAAAATAGATTAGTTAAACATTTACTGGTGATCATAAATTTATCTTGAAGCGAATTTTTTAAAAAATTACACAATCCCTATGTGGGGGTTGTGGTCCATAGTTTAAGAAGCAAGACAAAAGAAATGAGAGGATTTTCGCTCCCCTTCGTTGGCTAGCCTTGTATAATGGACAGAAGGGTATCAGCTGAATGGGCAGCTAAGCTAAGGAACTTCCCAGGAAGGCATTAACTATGTTACCTTATATACAGGGAACCCAAGTAACAGGGCGGAAAGCAGATGTCATCAAGGCAGCTCACCTCTGTGCTGAGGCTGCCCTGCGCCTGGTCAAACCTGGAAACCAGGTGAGTCATTCATTTGAAACTCCCAAACTTGATAGAGCCAAAGTACATGGGGCTTCCACATGTGCGCTGCACTGACAGCACCTCCCACAGCTCCCTGGTAAGGTCGGATTGCTAAAGAAACGGGCAGGAACTAGAAAAAGCTTCAGGCTCGGCAGCAGTTAACTGAGTGTCGAACAATTTCAATCATGTTACATTCTCCCCCCCTTCCTTTTTCCCCCTGGGCCATCACACTTTTTTATTTTCTGTTACATCACCATGAATTGCAAAAATTAAGCATGATTCAGTTTCAGGTGTACAATGTTGTTTTGGGGTCACTCCTGACAGTGTTCAGGGGACCATATGAGATGTTGGCATTCAAACCCAAGTCAGCTATGTCCAAGGAAAATGCCTTAGCTGCTATACTAACTCTCTAGCGCCACAGGCATACAACGTTTTAACACCAATTCCTTCACCAGTCTTCACACCCCTCACCTATACGGTCCCTTCTTGATGGCGCGTATAGAGATTATTCCAGGTAGAGGGGTTTGGGTCATACTCTGCTACTGCCAGCTTGATGCTCAGGGGTTGTTCCCTGCAGTGATGGGGATGCACGTAAGACACATTATCCCTCCTTGACACCAAGGGATCAAATCCAGGTCAGCCACATGCATGGCAGCAGCCTACCCTCTGTGCTTCTCTAGCCCCATAGTATTCAACTAAAAAAACTTCAAACTAGGGCCAGAGAGAGTACAGCAGGTAGGGCACTTGCCTTGCATATGCCAACCTGAGTTCAGATTCTGACACCTCATACATTTCCCGAAGTATAATCAGGTGTGACTGAAAAACAAACACGGGCCAGAGTGAGACTTCTGTGGGTAAGACACTTGCTTTGCACACAGCCAACCTGGTTCAGTCTTTGGTACCATATAGAGTATTCGATATGCCAGACACAGTAACAACAAAGTCTCCAATGGAGACGTTACTGGGCCCACTCGAGCAAATCGACGATCAACGGGAGGGCCTTTACCTTTACCTTTTATAGTCCCCTGAGCCTGATCAAGAGTGAGGAGAGAGCACTGCCTAGAGTGGCCCAAAACCCAAAAATAAGTAAATAAAAACTTACAAAAACATGACCAGGGATGTAGTAGCTCAAAGGTACATTTACATTTATGAGGCCCTGGGTTTAACCCCATAAGGTGGAGGGAATGAAAACGAAAAAAGAAAGAAAACAAGGCCAGAGCATAGATTATTTGCCTTGTACGGCTGACCCAGGAGTAATTCCTGAGTGCAGGCCAGGAGTAACTCCTCAGTATCATCCATGGGGCGGGAGACACACAACCACATAACAACAACCCCCCCCCCCCCCCCCAAACAGATGGCAAAGGACCTGGAAATTCTTTACCTTGCTAGACAATAATAGAAGCCCATGGATGATAAATTTCCACAGAAACTCAGACCATTTAGAGTGTTAGATTATCAGTTGGAAACATTTCTGAACTGACTTCAGAGACCTGAATATGGGGAGAGGGTCCACTCCCAGTGGTACTGGGGGTTGAACCCAGACTTCCCACAAAGTATGTGTTCTGTTTTTCTTGTTGTTTTAGGGGTTTTTTTGCAGGCGCTGTGTGGCCACACGCAGGTGCTCAGGGGCTAGTCCCTCCTCTGTGCTCAGGACTTACTCCTGGCAGAACATGAGGGACCATGTGCAGTCCTGGAGATTGAAACAGGGTTAGCTACATCAAGGCAAACATCTTAACTCTTGTACTATCTCAGTGGCACCAGTACTCAGCCTGTTAAACTGCCTCTCTGAACCCTAGAGATTGGAATATTGTCTTTTTTTTTTTTATTTTGGTGGGGCACACCTGGCAGTGCTCAGGGATTACTCCTGCTGGGCTCAGGTGACCATATGAGGTGCTGTTGTCTTTTTTTCAGAGCTATCTTCTTCTTTGCACTTTAATGATTTGCCTCATTCTGATGCTGCTTAATTGCATCGGTTTTAGTTTCTTTATAATGATACCTACTCATCATAAAGCTATAATAGTGCCTAACACATAGTAAACACGTGTACTGTCCTTTTTTTTCGCCCGTTTTTGTGGGACAGGGATCAAACCCCGGGTCTCATAATATACAAAGCATGTTTTGCCACTGAGCTACATTTCTTGTTCCAGAATTACTTCTCTTCACGGAAGTAGTGTTATGTCATGGGTTATTTTATAGCTATGAAATGAAATTCTGTCTAGATTCATTTTTGCCATACTTTTCTGTTTAAAAACCAACTCTGTAGGGGCCTGAGAGACAGAAACAAGGGTGAAGGTGTTAACCTTGCATGTAGCCAATCCTGATTTGATTTCCCACCACGTAATGGTCCTGTGTACTCCAGGATATGATTGAAAAGCCAAAAGTATATAAACGACTTCAGGGGTGGGAGAAATAGTGCAGGCACTAGAGCTTTAGCTGAAGCCCCAGCTTGTTCCTCACACCACATGGTCCCAACACTACTAGTACCTCAGTCTCAGGTCTGTTCCTATTGGGGTAATCCGTGTACAGTCATTTTCGTGGGTGAATAATTGGCTGTAGTTACTCACTTTTTATGGCAAAAACCTTGGGTGAGGATCAAATCGTGTTTGAAAGTGGTAAGAAGGTGAAAGTAAGAGTTCGTTTCCCCTTCTTAACAGGTCAAAATGCCAGGTGATAATGGAATAAGCAGTATACTTACTTTTTTCTTTTGGGTCATGTCATGCTCAGCTACTGGCGTGGTGTTTGGATCGGGAACTATACGGTACCTGGGATTGAACCTGCCCTTTGAGCTCTCTCACTGGTCCCAAACCGAATTTACATCAGGTTCTTTCAGTTTAACATGTTTAACGTGAAGTAAATAGGGGCTCGGGGAGATAGCACAGCAGGTAGTGCATTTACCGTGCACACAGCCCACCCACTGGATCCCCGGTACCTCATATGGTCCCTCAATCACTGCCAGGAGTGATCCCTGAGCACAGAGCCAAGAGTAAGTCCTGAGCACAGCTGGGTGTCACCCCAAAAAACATGGATTTCGGAGCAATAGTACAGCAGGTACAGAATATGCCTTACACAAAGTTGAGCTGAGTTTGATCCCCGGCATCCGTTATGGCCCCCCAACTACCGCTAGGATTTATCCCCAAGTGCAGAGCCAGGCATAAGTTTTGAGCACTGCTGGATGAGGCCCCGAAACCAAACAAAAATAACATGGGGTGAATAATCTTTGTGTTTCAGTTCCTTTCTAGGTCGGGAGCTATAGATTTTTTTTCTTTTTGGGTCACACTCAGTGATGTTCAGGGGTTACTACTGGCTCTACACTCAGAAATTAGTCCTGGTGGTGCTCGGGGGACCGTATGGGATGCTGGGAATTGAACCTGGTTTGACTGCATGCAAGCAAATGCCCTGTCCACTGTACTATCGCTCGGGCCCCTCTAGATCAAAATCTAGATATGCCTTATTCACCTTCTAGAAGTGTCAGATTAGACTGTCTTTGTGAAAATGCTTTGTAAAATGTTTTACGAACTGTCGTGATCTGGGCTGAATAACAAACCTGTGACAATCACTGCATTGGAGAATACTAGAACTCTCACCTTTTATTTGATCTTGTGCTCTAGAACACACAAGTTACAGAAGCCTGGAACAAAGTTGCCCACTCATTTAATTGCACGCCAATTGAAGGTGAGACTTCACGTAACTGGTTGCGGGTCTAAGTGTGAGTACGGTTTAGTAGATTGACACTTTCTGCCTTGGTGACCCATTGTGATTCTAAGATAGTTTGAAGCAAAACTCCTCACTGCTCCGGATTGCTGTAAGGCAATGCCACAGGCATCTGCAAATCCCCCGCCTTTTCTCTCTCATCGATTGCCCCATTATATTTTACTGAGGGTGTGTGGGGGGTAGTAGGTGGCTGGTACTATAGGCGGTGTCCCATCTGCAGGTATGCTGTCACACCAATTGAAGCAGCATGTCATTGATGGAGAGAAAACCATTATCCAGAATCCCACAGACCAGCAGAAGTAGGTGCCAGTCACATCCCTTTGTCTTCCACCATTTCACCGCTCAAGAACTTTCTCTTCCTAATTTAATCTTTTCTGCCTTCTACATCAAACCCCAGGATTGCTTGTTCTTTTTCGTTTTTGCCTCAGGTGGGGTGGGTGGGGTCCATACCTGGCTCTGCACTCAGAGGCTACTCCCAGCTTAGGGGACCATGAGATGCTAGGTTTAGAACGGGGGTTGGCTGCCTGCAAGACAAATGTCTTGGGGCTGGAGTGATAGCACAGCGGGTAGAGCGTTTGCCTTGCACACGGCCGACCCGGGTTCGATTCCCAGCATCCCATGTGGTCCTGAGCACCATCAGGAGTAATTCCTGAGTACAGAGCCAGGAGTAAACCCCTGAGCATTGCCAGGTGTGACCCGAAAAAAAAAAAAAAAAGACAAGTGCCTTACCCCCTGCAGTGTCTTTCCAGCCCACTACTCTTCCATTTGATTCCCTTTCTGATCCTTTTAGGAAGGACCACGAAAAAGCTGAATTTGAGGTACATGAAGTATATGCTGTGGATGTCCTTGTCAGCTCAGGAGAAGGGAAGGTGAGAACAACCGCAAGCAGGGGTAGCTGTGGATAATTCCCAGTAATGCCAGACTAAAAGAGCCAACTTACTCCTCTAGGCCAAGGATGCAGGACAGAGGACCACCATTTACAAACGAGATCCTTCTAAGCAGTATGGCTTGAAAATGAAAACTTCACGTGCCTTCTTCAGTGAGGTCGAAAGGCGTTTTGATGCCATGCCGTTTACTTTAAGGTACTGCTGCACCAGAGACCGAGAACAGGTTGTCTGACTCAGCCCCAGAACACCCCTTCTTGCCTCCTGCCTGTACTTGCATTTCGAGCCCAGTGCACCCGTTCACCCTCCCTCTTTTACTCTTGCTGAAAGTAACCGGGAAGAGTACTCGTAAGCATCGTTTACTGGGGCCAGAGCCATGGTACAGCGGGGAGGGCCATTGTACAGCAGGTACGGCATTTGCCTTGCACGGAGGCGGGCTGGATTTGATCCCATATGGTCCCTTGAGCATTGCCAGGAGTAAACCCGAGTGTAGCTGGGTATGACGAGGGGGTGAGTGTGGGGAAGCATGATTTACTTCTACCTGTGGATAAGCAAGAACAAAATAACAAGGCTTGTTTGGGAGTTAGGGCAACATGAATGTCTTCCCTTACTCAGAGCATTTGAAGATGAGAAGAAGGCCCGGATGGGTGTGGTCGAGTGCGCCAAGCACGAACTGCTGCAACCGTTTAATGTTCTCTATGAGAAGGAGGGTGAGTTCTAAAGGGTTTTACTCTAGGGGTCCAGAGAGAGAAAGCAAGAAGCCTTCTTTCTCCATACAGCCTACAGAAAACAGCCTGACAAGGGCACATTATTGCTTTTTCCCCACAGGTGAATTTGTTGCCCAGTTTAAATTTACAGTTCTGCTCATGCCTAATGGCCCTATGCGGATAACCAGTGGCCCTTTTGAGCCGGACCTTTATAAGTCTGAGATGGAGGTCCAGGATGTAGAGCTAAAGGTGAGTGACGGGTGGAAAGTGGGGAACCTCTGGCACCCGGCCTGGGCGTGAGAAGCGGTTTCAGCCATCCTGAAAAGAGCTGGTGGCAAACATCCTTTGTTTTCCCTCCTAATGTGATTTTCTTCTGTCGCTTAGGCTCTCCTCCAGAGTTCTGCAAGTCGGAAAACCCAGAAAAAGAAAAAAAAGAAGGTTTGTGGTGGTCATCCTCCTTGGGGGGCGGTGGTGGTGAATGGGATCTCTCTGTATTCCACGGTTCAGGATCATGCTAGGGAAGAGTGTCCATATTACACCCCCCGCCCCTCTTTACTCAGCCCTGACCCCTAATTTCACCAGACACTACCCCAGCTAGTTGGAAACTGACCAGCCTTCTCCCCTTCCTTTCCTTGGATCTAGGCCTCTAAGACTGCAGAGAATGCCACCAGTGGGGAGACATTAGAGGAAAATGAAGCTGGGGACTGAGGTGGGTCCCATCTCCCCAGCTTGCTGCTCCTGCCTCATCCCTTCCCACCATGCCCCAGGCTCTGTGACGTACAGTTCGTCTTCTCCACCCAGGACCAGCCAGCAGAGCAGGGGTTCCCCTACCCCATCCCGGTCCCCCACCCAGCCCCTTCCAACAACAACCAGCTCCAACTGACTCTGGTCTTGGGAGGCCAGGCTTCCCAACCACCGAAGACTACTTTAACTAGAAAAAGAGAAATTGCTTAATAAAATCAGGAGTCAAAATCCATCGTCTTCAAGCCCCTCTTTCTAGCCTTTTTCTACTACTCTCTGCTTGGTCAAGGTCTGTGGCCCGACAACAGAACAGGCTAAGGTAGCCACCACCGCTAAAAACTCCGCTGAGATTTTTTATACCACTCCAATATCAGCATTTTCCCATCACTTGGGGCTACATCTTTCCCACTCAAGTATTTTTATCTGGCCTCAAAATAGAGAGGAGCTCTTCAGATTGTTTTTATTCATTTGCAGCAGATTCCTACTCTGGTCAGGGCCCTCCCATTTTTAGGAGCCAGAGCCTGCAATTACCTAGGAATTCTCATCAAATGGATCTTCTTCATTTGTAAATCTTTTTAGTCCTTTTTGTTCTGCAGAACCTTTTTCTAAAAAAAAAAAAAACAAAAAAAAAATTCCACAGAGCGGTAAGGAACTAATCCATCTCAACTGTATCGATTTCTTTGGAGTCATTGAGGTCTTCCCTTGCTCCATCTTCCAAGCCTGAGTTGGAAGCTCAACTGTGGTTTTGTTCCCTGTTTGAAATATTTTGACTTCCCTCCCTTGAAAGAAAGACCAGGAACCAGAGGAAAAGACTGACTGAAGGAGACAACTCCTGGCTTTCTGAAGCTGTGGACTTGGATTGGATGAATTGCTAGGAGTTTGGAGAGAAAGGCAACGAATTTCATTACCTCTGGCATGTTATCCCAGGGAACTAGGGCTCCCACTAACTTAAGAGGTTTTTAAACACATTGAAAATGACATGACATTAAAATAAATTTGGATTTGCTCATAATCCTGTGCCTTTTTCTGCTGCTCTTTATGGTGGTAGGGAGGGTATCAGTGGGTATAGTTATCCCTCAGAACCCACCCCCCCCCCCCCCCCGTTAAATTTTTGTTCGATTTCCTGAAGTTGTAAATGTAGGCTGGCTGTTCAAGGACCATAAATCTACATCGTAAAATATAAGATGCTGTTCAGGTGTATACCTCGATTTAGTAAGCCAGTAAAAAAGTCTTTAGTAGTTCTTTGGCAATATGGTTATTTAGTGTTTATTTGGTACCTCGGAGACATTTTTGGTGACTGGTCAAAAAATTTCTTGACATACTTGGAGTTGTTGAGGGGTTATTCGTGGCTCTGTGCTCAGGGGTTGGTCCTGGTGTACACAGGACAATTTGCGGGCTGGGGATCAAACCCCAGGATAAAATTGCAAGGCAAAGCACCTTATCCCATGTTCTCTGGTCCTGAAAAATGTTACATTAGAAAGTTTGAGATTTTGCTGACCTGCATATAGTTTCTGAAGAGTTGGCAAGGAATAGGACCATAGAATTCTGCTTGGTTTCTATATTTGTTTTCAAAACTTGGGTTCTTTATTGCGGGGGACGTTTGCCACACCCATTGATGGAGGAGGGTTTACTGCTGGTGGTGCTCAAGAGACCATATCAGATGTGAGGAATCGAACCTGGGTTGGCTGTGTGCAAGGAAAGTGCCTTAACTGTTGTACCATAATATCTCTAGCCCCAAAACTTGTTACTTTTTGGGGGGGGGTTACACCTGGCAATGCACAGGGATTACTCTGGGCTCTGCACTCAGGAACTATCCCTGGCAGTGCTCAGGGGACCATATGGGATGCTGGAAATCGAACCCGGGTTGGCTGTGTGCAAGGCAAACGCCCTACCGGTTGTGCTATTGCTCCGGCCCCAAAACTTGTTACATTTTAATGGTTATAGTACTATTTAAGCACCAAAGATGAGTTCCCTAAATTTTAAGACCCTTATTTATCCAGAGTTAAAAGGGAGAAATACAGGACCAGAAATGGTATGGGGTTAAGACACTTGCCTTGCCTGTCATCAATTCAACTTCAAACCCATATAGTACGCCTTCACTTTTGGGAGAAGCCTAACCCCACCCAAGTGCAAAATGCATAAATAGGGGCTGGAAGATAGTGCAGGGGTTAAGATACAGGCTCATCCTGGTTTGATTTGGCACCACATATGGTCCACCGAGCACTGCCAGGAGTACAGCAGGACAAGCCCCTGGGACCCTAGCACTGTCAGGTGTGGCCTCACCCCACCCCCAGAAAACATTAAAAAGATAATATTTTCAAAGTACCTTTTTGGGTAAAAACCAAGTGATGGATTTCCTCTTTTTTTTTTTTTCCCTTTTTTTGCTTTTTGGATCACACCTGGCGATGCACAGGGGTTACTCCTGGCTCATGCACTCAGGAATTACTCCTGGTGGTGCTCAGGGGACCATATGGGATGCTGGGAATCGAACTCGGGTCGGCCTCGTCCAAGGCAAACGCCCTACCTGCTGTGCTATTGCTCCAGCCCTGATGGATTTCCTCTTTCCCAGAGAAAAGACTTGCAGTGCTAGTTTGGACCCAAGTTTCACACATGAAAATCAAAGTGTTCCAGTTTTTTGAGTTCTCACCCAGACAAAAGCCTTAAAGAGCTCCTTCAATTTAGTATTATTTTTGTTTTTAGGTCACACTGCTCAGGGATCAGTCCTGGTGGAGTTCAGGTGACCGTATGTGTTGATTGGGCGTAGGGAATTGAACCTGGGTCAACTGCATGCAAGCTGTGCCCTTTCTAGCATTGCTTAAAGGGAGGGTAAAGTAAAGATGGTGGTTAAGGGTTATCATTTTTACTTTCCTGTATCTAAATCTCTATATCTTGTTTTTTGGGTTCTTTTGATCCAGTCATACTGGATGTTAGTTTTTTTCTTATTCTTTTTGGGCCATATTTGGTGATGCTCAGGGGTTATTCCTGCACTCATGAATCACTCCTAGCGGATCACTGGGAACCATTAAGGGCATCAGGGATCCAAAAAGTTCTGCCTTGTGCAAGCCAAATGTCCTACTCTCTGTACTGTATTATAATTGTTCCAGCCCCTGGGAAGTCATTTCTTAATACCTAAGTCTTTTGTGTGTGTGTGTGTTGGTTTGGGGGGTCACCCTGGAGCTGCTCAGGAGTTACTACTGGTTCTGCACTCAGGAATTACTTTACTCCTGGCTGTGCTGGGTGGACTATATGGGATGCCTGCGATTGAGCCCAGGTCAGCAGTTTGCAAGGCAAATGTCCTACCTGCTGTACTATCGCTCTGGCCCTATAACTAATAGTTTTGCCATTTAGGAATTAGCCAATCTTGCTTACACTCTTGTGGACTGGGTTGATCTTTACAGAGAACGAGAATAAAGTGCACTGTGGACAGGAATCAGATACTCAGCCACAACCTCTGTAGAGCAGGTCCTTTGTTGGCTAAGAAAAAGCTTTGATCTAGAAAACAACGATTAAGGCTATTTTTTGTAGTATAACAACTTTCTAGACCCATCACTCAAAAAAGTTTTGGGGGGTTGGGGACTTGGTTTTTGAGCCACACCTGGAGACGCCCGGGTTACTCCAGGCCGTGCTCAGGAGACCATATGGGATGGATGCTCAGGGAACCATATGGGGTGCCAGGGATGGAATGGCAACGGCCCCGTGTAAGAGAAACTCCCTACCCGCTGTACTATCGCTCTGGCCTCTATCTCATCACTCTGCATCCATCCATCTCCTGAGATCTTAAGACCTTTGCAAGTTCCAATACTGCATCTACGAGCAGCAACTTTAGAAAATAAGACGAGGCTCAAAGGGCTGCAGGGTATTTTGGGGAGCCCAGGGCTGAAATCCTTAGCACCGCAGGGTCTGTCAGCATCATCGGGTGTGGCGTGCCTTCCTCCTCCCCCTTCCCAAATAAAACAAACCAGTAAGACAAATACGGGATTTTTGAATAATCCACACCTATCCATAGCAAAATGGAGGACTTCACCAAGAAACTGCAACTCCCATGAAGCAATGAGAGTAAAGAGGGAAGTCCGTACCTCCTGCTCATCTGCAGGTCTTGTTCCTAGATCCGAAATGTGTGCTCCGGTTAAAATACAATAACGCCCTCATAAAAAAAAAAACAGGGAAGGATAATTTGTTACTCCAACTCGCCGCCAAAGCCCTGCGTCCTAAGAGAAGTCCCTACAGCTCACGGAAGCCGCCTCGGAGAAGGTCCCAGAGCCCCGCCCCCGAGGGCAGGGTGGGAGAGCGGAAGTGACGACACCGAGAGCGCCATTAAATAGCCATAGGCGGCCCCCTCGCGTTCTCTCGGCCGTAGCGCCATCTTCTCGGGTGAGTGTTCGGGCCCTCGGCGTTCGCGGTGCGCGTACCATCCACTGACATCTGATGCCTACGCTTAACATCAGTACCGCAAACTAACCGTAGCCTTTCGTTGTCTTTCCCCGTAGCGGCCTCCGCACCATGAGAGCTAAGGTAAGCTTGCCCTGCTAGAGAACGAGAAGCTCCTTACGGGCAGAAAGGAGGGAGTTCCCGGCGCGGAAGTCCGCCATGGCTTCCGAGCCTCTAGGTGTTCGCGGCTGCCCAAACGGCTCGTGAGAGAGGCGCAGCAACAACGGAGGGGTGGGAAGTCAAGGCCGTGGGAAGTGCTCGGGAGAAGCGCGTCTGCGGCATTGGGTATCGGAGTTGTAGGTCCGAGTCGAGTCCGTTTAGATGGCGATTGCAATGACCAGTGCTTTGTGCGGGGATTACGGCTCTTAGTCCCAAACATTAGAATTGTGGAGCTGGTGGGGGTGGAGGTGCAGTAGGGCCCTTAGCCGTTCGTAAGTTTGTTGCTAATACTGTTTAATTCCCTGTCCATTGTGATCTTTTTCAGTGGAGGAAGAAGCGAATGCGCAGGTAATGGGGAGACTTGGCCGTCGGGGGAGAAGGGAGATGGGACGTGCGCAGACAGAATTTGGGAGGAGCGGTCGCTTGCGACTCCGAACTGAGCGTTTCAAATGCCGAGTCGCAGTTTGCGTCGCACGCCGCCCGATTGGTGCACGTGAAAGTTGCAGTCGGGCTTAGGGGGGCGTATTCCTGGGTTTGCTTTACAGGCTGAAGCGCAAAAGAAGAAAGATGAGGCAGAGGTCCAAGTAAACTGCGATCTGGTGCACCGTGGAGGCCGCAGGAGCAGAAGCAAAGAATGGCCGAGGCCTGGGACACTGGTAGAATCTACTAACACCGTGCTCTCCCGGAATTCATCTCGCTGGATCTGGAACATCTGGTCTCCGCCACCACCATTGAGGGCGCTCCAATTTAGTCCCCTTTCGGCCCTTTGCCCCGGACCTAACATCCTGGACTATTTCTGTTCTTGACTGGCTGAATGTAACGTGTGCACAATAAATCTTGGCTGAAGATAAATAATCTCAGTTGTGGTTTTCATCTTGGATTAGGTGTGGGGATCCCATTGGCACCCATCCCCGTGCCGGTGAAGACTGTCCCCCAGCTCCACAGAGTGGTCTGACTAAGTGGTCCCCGGGCATCCGAAGGGGTGTGGAACTGGTGGGCGTGGGCAGGGTCGTCGCCCCGCGCGGTGCGGCGCGGATGAGGGTTCCGCCCCTCGGCCCCCTCGCTCGCTTCCGCTCTCCCGCGCCTCGGCCGTAAGCGGTTGGGGCTGGTTGCCATGGTGACGCGCAATGCCTGGCGGGAACTTCCTGCGTCCCGCCGCGTACTTCGCGCACCATCGAGTCTAGTTCCGGGTCCGGTGGCTAGAGCGCCGTTTCTTCCGCAGGAAACGGAAAGGCGCCAGGGTAGGCGGCTCTTTGTCGAAGCTAGAGGACCGGCAGGCGGCAGCAGCAACTACGGCGGCGGCGGCAGGTGAGGGAGGCGGGAGACTTAGGTGGAGGCCGCGCCCGAGGGGAGGAGTCGGGGCCGGCCCAGCGGCTGGGCTCCGCCGGACGACGCGAGGCCCCCCAGAAACGCCGGCTCCTCTGCCCCCGGGCCGAGCCGCTTTTCTGCCTGACCCCGCTCCGCGACCAAACGCCAGCTCCGTGACGTCACAGCCCTGCCCATCCCCTCCGCTTGATGTCACCTGGAGTCCCGCTCCTTTCACTTCGTGTGCCCGCTAGTGTCCTCTCACCTGCTCGTGGCCGGGCCCCGTGGGCCGCGCGCAAGCCTGCCAGAGCGAGACGACTTGCCGCGGGAAACTCTCCGGACTTTCCCGGCCAACTCTGGGCTGTCCCGAAGCGTCACAATCACCGCCCCCAAGTCGACTCTCCCACCCCCCGCTGTCAGTCGCTGCCCTCGCGCGCCCGCCTTCCCGTTCGCCGCGGCGTTCGGCTGACTCGAGCCCACGTTCTCCATCCCGAGGCCGAGCGGCCCCTCCGCCCTCGCCCCCTCAGGACGGGGCCGACCCCCAGGCCCGCGGCCGCGCCGACCCGGCGCTCGCCCTTCCTCGCACGGGCCACTTGGCTCGTCCTCGGGCCGCCCAAGTTCGGTGCCTCAGAGCGGGGAGCCCGGGAGCGCCCCGAGTTCTTGCCCCTTTACCAGACCTCTCTCTTGTCACGGTCGCCCCGTCGGCCCGTTCGTGACCCCCTCCCCACTCAGGTCTCCCTTTTTCTCCTGTTCAGAACCCAGCAGTGATGTGGAGGTGGAGACCCACCGGAGCCCCGGACTTCACCTGAGCTACCTCAGGTATCAAACAATCCTGGGACAGTTGGGTGGGGAGGACGAGCTGACGGTCCGCGGCGGTGGGACTTGTCCCTCGGGCCAGCCGGGGCTCGATGGCATTTCTTTTTCACCGGTTCATTTCCCTCTTCCCGAAAATGTGTATCTTTTTTTTCCAACCACTTTTCCCCTCTTGGTCGTTTCTCTCGATTTTCCGGGATTATCCCTCTCTGAGGAAGAGAACCCTGTTCTCCGGTCTGCTCTGTTCACCTCCGGGAGGTCTGAAGGCAAAGTCAAGGCAATAAAGCGATCCTGGGGAGAGCCAGACCGAAGAGAATCGATTCCCATGCACTCCGAGGGAAACACAGTGAGGCTTTCCTGTTTGAACGGCAGAGGGAGCCCGAACTCCGCCTGGGAAAGGTTTAGGGGCTCAGACACGTGGTGGCAGGAACTCCGGGCCTGTTGGGGGAGGAGAGCCAGAGCAGGGAGGGCTAGAACCAGTGCGGTGGACTGACATTCCGTGGGCCCTCTTGGGAAAGAGAAGACTTAAAAGCTTTAACGAAGTCTATAAATAAATAGGATCTTTACAGGGCGAGGAATGGTGTGGTTTGAAGTCAGTCAGTAGGCTTGTCCCACGGAGGAGCAGGACTAGGGTCTAGAATGGGGAAAGGAAGAGCATCGTAAAACGCATTTACTCTTGCTTTGACCTTCCCACAAATTATTTTGTCTTCTGGGACAGATTCCAGCGCTAGCACTCTTCCTCTGAAGTAAGGGGCAGGGGTAGGGGCTGGGGGCTGACCTCGCTGGGTTGAGGGTGGAGTGAGCTAGGAGGGAATACTAAGAGATAACAGGTTTAGGAAGGTCCGTAAGCTGGTGACAGGCTTCAGGCTCGACTCAGAAGCTCCTGTAGATTTGTCCATCCGAGAGTCCACACCTGAAATTCCCTAGAAGAGGAGTTAAGGGAAGTTGAGTCACCTGTCTTCCATGAGCCATAGCCCTGGTAGCACACCAGCTTATTTTTTTTTTTTTTGACTTTTTGGGTCCGGCGATGCTCAGGGGTTTTTCCTGGCTCGGCACTCAGGAATTACTCCTGGTGGTGCTCAGGGGACCATATGGGATGCCAGTGATCGAACCCGGGTCGGCCGCGTGCAAGGCAAATGCTCTAGCCACTATACTGTCAGTGGTCCCCCCATCCGCCATTCTTGTCCATTATTGCCAGTCTCCTTTTAACCTCGTTAGATGTTAACCGCAGTTTCCATTTCACTTCCACAAGTTTCCTAAGGCCAGTTGAAATAAAATCCCACACTATTCTCTCCCTGCCCCCTCCTTGGCCCATTATCATCAGTGAGATGAGGTGACTTCACCCCAGCTCCCTCCTTCTCTGGCCAGGCAAGTGTGAATCATTCTGACCCACACCAGGTGCACGAGGACCTGGGCGGGACCTTCTGATCAGCCAGCCAGTCCCTGCTGAATTCTCACCCCTTAGACTCTCCAACCCCAAAGCCATTGCTCTGCCTCTTGCTGGACTGCCTGCTCTGTAGTCGGGAAGAGTGTGGCCTCTGGAAGACTTCTGTTTGACACAGTTCTCCTCTTTCCTAGCAGTCACCAAGGGTGGCAAGAAAAAGAAGAAAGCCCTGATTTGGGGGGGACCAGGATGCCAGACCGGGACAACTATGCGAACGGCACTGGGAACAGCGGTGGAGGCCCCGGAGGTGGTGGCAGCGAGGAGGCCAGTGGGGCAGGGGCAGGCAGTGGCGGGGCCAGCTCAGATGCCATATGTAGAGACTTCCTGAGGAACGTGTGCAAGCGAGGCAAGCGTTGCCGCTATCGTCATCCAGACATGAGCGAGGTGTCCAACTTGGGAGTGAGCAAAAATGAGTTCATCTTCTGCCATGACTTCCAGAACAAGGAGTGTAGCCGCCCAAACTGCCGATTCATCCACGGCTCCAAGGAGGACGAAGATGGCTATAAGAAGACGGGAGAGCTTCCCCCTCGGCTAAGGCAGAAGGTGGCAGCTGGCCTAGGCCTTTCACCAGCTGACCTCCCCAACGGCAAGGAGGAGGTTCCTATCTGCCGGGACTTTCTCAAGGGTGACTGCCAGAGAGGAGCCAAGTGCAAGTTCCGTCATCTGCAGCGGGATTTTGAGTTTGATGCTCGCGGTGGAGGCGGCACTGGTGGTGGGGGCTCCGTGGGCCCAGTTCCCCCAGGACGACGTCATGATCTCTATGATATCTACGACCTCCCTGACAGGGGCTTTGAGGACCATGAGCCAGGCCCCAAGCGTCGGCGAGGTGGGTGCTGCCCCCCAGATGGCCCCCATTTTGAGTCATATGAATATAGCTTGGCTCCACCTCGCGGAGTGGAGTGTAGACTGCTAGAGGAGGAGAATGCCATGCTCAGGAAGCGAGTAGAGGAGCTCAAGAAGCAGGTCAGCAACCTGCTGGCTACCAATGAGGTCCTGCTGGAACAGAATGCCCAGTTCCGAAATCAGGCCAAGGTCATGACCCTGAGCTCTACTGCACCAGCAACTGAGCAGACTCTGGCCCCCACTGTGGGCACTGTCGCCACTTTTAACCATGGCATTGCCCAGACTCACACTACTCTCAGTAGCCAGGCTCTACAGCCTCGCCCCGTGTCCCAGCAGGAACTGGTGGCCCCTGCTGGAGCTCCAGCTGCTCCCCCAGCAAATGCTGCCCCTCCTGCTGCTCCACCACCCCCACCCCCACACTTGAACCCAGAGATCACACCACTGTCAGCTGCTCTGGCTCAGACAATTGCCCAGGGAATGGCACCCCCACCTGTCTCCATGGCTCCTGTGGCTGTGTCTGTGGCCCCGGTGGCCCCTGTGGCGGTCTCCATGGCCCAACCCTTGGCAGGTATCACAATGAGCCACACCACCACTCCCATGGTGACTTACCCCATCGCTTCCCAGAGCATGCGTATCACAGCCATGCCACACTGATGGGGCTCACGGACATTCCCCTGGTATTGTCTCCCAGGGTTAGGATCAAGGGTCCTTACCCTCTCTCCTAGCTCTCCAGGCTCTGTCTGAAGGGCTCATTCAAGAACTAGGACAAGAGACTACAAGGAGTTTGCTTCTGAGAAGGAGCTGAGCAGGTGTTTTGTCCACTTCCCTTTTATGAGGGTCCTCTTGTCCATCTTCTTCAAGCCCTACACAAGAAGGGGCTTGTGTAGGCGACTGAAGCCAGCAGAGAGGAAGGACTGACTGAGGGGCCCCGTGTCCCCTGATGGGAAGTTGGGGACACCCCTGTCTTGTCCCACTTCTGCACAGCCCAGGTTTCAGCACTGACCTGGAAGAAAAAATATTCAGCCCAGAGGGAAAGCCAGAAAAGATTGGGAAGCAGGTGACCAGGAAAGAAGGCCTGATAGGAACCTTCAGACAATTTTGGGCCTAGTTGAGTTGGACAATACAGGAACTACTCCTGGGCCCCTGGGAAGGCGGGGACCATAGTGCTCCAGCCCCAAAGATGAGGGGAACACTCATTACCTTGGTTTGGCCTGGAAATCCATAGGGCAGGGCCCACCACTTTCCAAAGAAATAAAAGAACAATTATTTTTAACAAATGGAGGCAGTTGCTTAGCTATTGTGTGGAATATGGGAACAGTAACTAGACCTCATGCCAAAACGGGATAAAGACCTAGCTCTCAAAATGGGTAAGGATGGCTAGAGACCAGTGAAAAGGGAATCAGAACCCAGGAAAAAACAAAATGGAGTTTTGGGGAAGGCACTTTGTGGGTAACAAAATTATAGTCACCTAATCTAGTTTAAAAATAGTCCCATCTGTTTCTGATTTCTATCTGCATGTACTATTCCCAGGTTGCCTTAGTAACCAGGGCTCTTAGGGTCATTTAGGGGGGCAGGTACTAAGGAAGGGTGTGTGTGCTGGGAAGTGAGAATGGGATATGTATTAAAAGATCGTCCCCTTATTCAAACAGCTGAGCAGGTGGCATTTTGCTCTCTGAGTGTTGATGGCAGTGTCCCTCCTAACCCATCCCTTTCTCAGTTACCAATGCCTTAAGCCTTCAGGGCATGGGAGCTGCTGGGAGAAGGAGAGTTCTTCTCGGGACACAAGCACAAGGTTTACCTCTTACATCCTTCCTTCATATAGGACCAGTTTTAAGTCAAGTCATTAAGGCCAGAAACCTCAGTCATCGGTCCTCAGTTCTTCCTCAGCTCATGGCTGATGTACACGAAATAACTCAGGTGTCTAGTCTAATGGGGGTGGAGAAAGTGATCCTGAGTGTGTGTGTGTGTGTGTGTGTGTGTGTGTTTGTTCCCCATCATATCTCCAGCGACCTCTTCCTCTTTTACTTGGTTGATATTCAGGCCAACACCTGGGGTGGGAGATAGTGGACTGGTCATTTGAGTGAGCGAATGAGTGTATGTATTCCTCCCATCATATCTCCAGATCTCTCTTGCTCTCTACCTGATCGATACTCAAGCCAGCACCTGGAGTGGGAGATTGTGGGTCGGTAATTAGAGAGAGGTCTCCCCCATCATATCTCCAGCTACCTCTTGCTCCCTTTCCTGATTGATACTCAGACCACCACCCTGGAGTAGGAGATTGTGGGCTGGTCATAAGAGTGAGAGAAAGTGTATGTGTGTGTGTGTGTGTGTGTGTGTGTGTGTGTGTATGTGTGTGTGGTTCCCCCATTATATCTCCAGCTACCTCTTTTTCTCTTACCTGATTGATACTCAGGCCAACACCTGGGGTGGGAGATAGTGGGCTGGTCATTAAGACTGGTCATTAAAAAACAAAAAGGGCGTAAAGTTTAAAAGGGAAAAGCACTGAAATACTGTTTGTGGATTTTACAAACCACACATTGACAAGCTTATGTTGATTTTCTGGCTCAATTCTAGATTAAAGATTGGATTACAAACATTACCAACTTGATTGTAAATAAGCAATATAAATTAATTCAAGCCAAAACCTAACTTTCCTTTTTGCCAAATATGTCTGACGAGGTGGATTTGGGGAACCAGATCTATATATTACATATGTTCTTGATTAATATGCTCCAGCTCGAAACCACCAGGCATGGCCTGGAAGTTGTAGTATGTTTTAGCAAGAGGCTATTAGAGGGGCCAGCAAGATAACACAGCAGGTAAGGCACTTGCCTTTTACGTAGCTAACCTGGGCTCAACACCTGGTACCCCATCTATTCCTCTGATCCCGCTAGGAGTGATCCCTGGGCACAGGGCCAGAAGTAAGCCCTGAGCGCCACCAGGTGTGGCCCAAAAACAAAGGTATTAGAACATACAGGATTTGGACTTTGGCTAAGTGATTTGGAGTCAGTGGGACTTCATGTTGAATTGGGTACTATTAAGGAAAACAGGATAGTTTATCTTATCTAGAAAAGGCAGAATAGCTTAAAGCTGAAGCTATTTACTCTGTGATTGGTCAGAAACGGCAAGCATTCAGCTGGGAGAGGGGGTTCGCTATTCTGTAGTTCCCGCAGATTTTTCTTTCCTCTTAAAATTGTGAAATGATTGTGGTTTTTGCCCCACTTAATAACAGTCACCGAGTGACTCTGCTATGATTGCTTTGTGAGATTGTCACCGCCCGAAGAGCATCATTTCCTAGCTGTGTTAACCCCTAACTCCTAGCAACACCGAAGCCTGGCTGTGTCAGGACAGTTCCCAGATATGAGGAGCAGCTTGCTCATTTCTTTTTCGCTGCAGATAAGAGAATAATTAACAGTCAATTAATAGTAGAGTTTGATGGAGTCAAAACAGCATTTGTGCATATTTTTTAAAGGATAAAATATGCAAATCTGTGTTAACAGAGACAAAATGTAACTTGGTTGACTAATCCCTCTCCCCCTAAAATATTGCTTGTGTTTGTCTGAGGGAAAAAATGCAGAATCTACATGAGTACAACACAGGACTTTCAATTAGTTACAAAATGGGGGCTGTATGGAGAAATAGTACAACAGGTAGGGTGTTTGCCCTACACACAACAGGCCCACATGATCCCCTAGCCGTCCAGGAATGATCCTAAGCATTATTGGGTGTATGTGTCCTTACACCCCACCCCTGAGCACTGTTGGGTGTGGTCCCCCACCCCACCCTCAAATAAAGGACCAGGGAGAAGAGGAGGTAGGACATTCCTCTTGTACACGGCTGACCCAGGTTTGATTCCTAGCACCACATGGTCCCCTGAGCACACTGGGTGTGGCCCAGAAGCCAAAACAACAAAACACCAGGGCTGGAGAGAACATAGGGACCCCTACAAGGTCTCATTCCTTGACTGCAGCTCACTCAGTTTCCATCCCCAACCTCGTGTATGGCTCCCTGAGCAACACCAAGAATGATCCCTGAGGGCCAGAGCGATAGCACAGTGGCTAGGGCGTTTGCCATGCACGCGGCTGACCTGGGTTTGATCCCCGGCATCCCGTATGGTCCCCCAAGCACCACCAGAAGTAATTCCTGAGTGCAGAGCCAAGAATAACCCCTGAGCATCTCTGGGTGTGACCCAAAAAGCAAAAAAATAAAAATGAAATCCCTGAGCATCACTGGGCGTGGTCCAAAAACAAAAAATAGTTACAAAACATAAAATTTATAAAAATTCAAATTTTGGGTCCCAGGTGCTGGTTCATAGGTCTGGAGTGTGTGTTTTGCATGGAGGAAGAGGCCTGGTTCAGTTCCTGGGCTGCATGGTCCTCCAAGTACCTCCAAGAGCAACCCCAGCACCACTCTGGAAGGGGCCCTCAGCACCTAACTCCTAAGCCAGAGGACAAAAAAAATACCGAAATAGATGGTACTTAAGAGAGGATCCACTGAAACAGCAAAACTGCAATATTTAGAATGTATGGGCCAGGAAGATGGTTCAAAGGGCTTCAGGTTTGTTTGCTGAAGGCCTGGGTTTAATCCCTCATATCACATGGTCCCTTGAACACCTCCAGGTGTGGCCACAAAACAAAGCAATGCTTGGCTACGGTTCTGTTACTCATTTTTACTTGGCAGGGGTGGCGGTTGGTTTCATTCTGTGACACTCAAGTCTTACTCCTGGCTCTGTACTCAGGGGTCACTCTTGGTGCTCAGGGGACCATATGTGATGTGAGGGATCAAACCACTGTTGACCACATACAAGGAAAGTGCTTTATCCCCTGTACTATATCTCTAGCCCCTAATTGTCATTTTTAAAGATAGCAATTGACAAATCAGTGGAGTAGTTGGAGGTAAAGATTAAAGGGAAATCTAATTTCTTCAAATATTGGAAGGACTACTCAGTGCATGAAAGTCTTACAGATGAGGCCAGAGGGATAGGACAGTAGTTGGAGTGCTTGTGTCATATGTGGCAGACCCAGATTTGAGTCCTTAGCACTCCGTATGGTCCCCCGAGCCTACAAGGAGTGATTCCTACGTATCATTGGATATGCCCAAAAGCAAAACAGAAAAGAAAATTCTTTTTTTTTTTTTCTTTTTGGGTCACACCCGGCCGCTCAGGGGTTTCTCCTGGCTCAGCACTCAGGAATTACTCCTGGCAGTGCTCAGGGAACCATATGGAATGCCAGGGATTGAACCTGGGTTGGCTGCATGCAAGGCAAATGCCCTACCCGGTGTACTATTGCTCTGACCCCAAAAGAAAATTCTTGCATAGGAAATAATTGGGGTTCTAGAAAAATAGTTAACAGTTAACATTTACTAGATACCTAATATAAGCCCAAGGCACTGTACTAAGTACAGTACATGACGGTCACGGTCACAGTCCTCCCATTGTTCATCAATTTGCTCGAGCGGGCCCAGTAACGTCTCCATCGTGAGACTTGTTGTTACTGTGTGTGGCATATCGAATATGTCACGGGGAGCTTGCCAGGCTCTGCCCTGCAGGCGAGATACTCTCGGCAGCTTGCCGGGCTCTCCGAGAGGGGCGGAGGACTCAAACTCGGGTCGGCCATATTGGCTGCGTGCAAGGCAAATGCCCTACCGCTGTGCTATCGCTCCAGCTCAAGTACAGTACATACAATTTCTTATTTATACGATGGGTATTATTATTTTTTTTTTCTTTTTGGGTCACACATGGCGATGCACAGGGGTTACTCCTGGCTCCTGCACTCAGGAATTACTCCTGGAGGTGCTCAGGGGACCATATGGGATGCTGGGAATTGAACCTGGGTCAGCCGCGTGCAAGGCAAACGCCATACCCACTGTACTATCACTCCAGCCCCACGAGGGGTATTATTTTGCAAAGAATAAATCACCCATTTTCCACAACTTAACAGGAATGGAGTCAGGAGTCTGTTCACACATTCTGATCCAGATTTTGTATAACAAGAGTTCTTTTGTTTTTATTTTTTATTTTGTTTTGTTTCGGTGCCACACCTAAGGATGCTCAGGATTTACTCCTGGCTCTACACTCAGAAATTACTCCTGCTTGTGGTGCTCAGGGGACCATATGGGATATCAAGGATCAAACCCAGGTTGGCTATTGCTCCAGCTCCCTTTTCATTTTTTTTTTAAAATCTTTATTTTTACCCCCTTTCATTTTGGAGAGTGGGCTGGGACAAGATTATCACATCCAACCCTCTGCCTCCTCATTGAAGGAATTGTAATTGACATAAATGCAGATTGAAAATAGAGGAAATCTCCAGTCTCCTTCAGTCCCCCTTTAACCAATTGGGCCATTCATCTTTTTTATTTTTTTCCCTGTTACCCACTTACTGCATGTCACCACCAGGTGGCACCTGGGCAACAGAATTGTCAATGAGCAGGGACCCACCCTGTTTACTTGTTCTGGTGCCTGCATTGCAGCTGCTGATCCTGTGGCTTCAATGTCCCAGCTCTGAAGAGCCTTCCCAGAGGATAAGGTTTCACCCTCCACACACCATCTTTAGGAGGGTCCGTTGATTTCTGTGAGGTGAGAAAAGGGAGAAGTTTGGAAAGAAACGTCCTAGATCACCCTTTCGGTTCCCTGGTACAAGAAAGCCGCCTCCACCTACTCCTGTGCTTAGCAAATTGCGGTTTACAAAGGTTGTCCTCTCAGGAGGTTACCAGTTTTCCTGCAACAGTTCTGCTTCAGCTGTCAAGCCAGCAGATCTTTCTCATGTCCTCTAAACTCCTCGAGCTCCCTTTATACTTGTAAACATTTTATATTCTGGATAACACAGAAGATAAAAAGAAAATTGTTCCTTGAGTCTGGAGGTGTAGCTCAGTGGGTCACTAAGCTTTGCATATGTGAGGCTCAACTTTATTTTTTTAGGTGGGGATTTTGGCAGTTCAGCAATTCTCAGCCAACTTGGCCAGCGGTTTAATGCAAGGGCCCATAGATGAAATGCCACAAGGGTCTTGCAGTGCCTGAGATTGCCTGAACCACCCCCATGGTGCCAGGACTACGGGGCTAGCCAGTGGTGCTCCACTATTACATTTGGCAGACCCATGGGGACCATATGGTGCCAGGGATTGAACCAGAGTTGGCCACATCAAGGTATATACCTTTAGCCACTGTACTGTCTCAAGGCTCTAGGTTTGGTACCCGGCACCTCCAAAAAAGAAAAATAATTGTTTCTTTAAGCAGAGGAGATAGGTGTTGGGAATATAGGTTCCAAGTTCAGTCCCCAGCACAGCGCTGGGGTGACTCTTTGGGTCCTAGCAGTACTGTAGTCAAGGGCTCTGCATTAAATTGTCTATCCAAATGGTCAATCGTTCAAGTATTCCCTGAGCACTGCTTGGGAGCTCACCCCGCTAAAAGAGAAAATAAGAAAATAGTTCTGCAATTGGAATGAAGCAATCTAGGACACTGCACCAGAGAAATAGAGAAAGGGAAGTGAGAAAATTTCAGATTAAGGAAGGCTGGTTAGGGATGGCTTTTATTTTTTGGATTTGGGCCACACCCCCACACCCAGTAGGGCAGGGCTTATGCTTGGTGCTGCTGGAGGCTAGGTTTGGTGCTGGGTTGGAAGAAACCTAGAACTCCAGTATGTAAAGCATGTACTCTAGCTCTTTGAGTTATCTCTTCAGTCCTGCATAGGGGTTGGTTTTAAGCAGCTCTGATGAAATACAACCTGATATAATCTATGCCCTGAAGAACTAGATATAATTTACCAGCTCTTGATCTAGTCTCTTCCTGTCAACCCTAGTTCCCCTTCTTTATCAGAGAGAGACTAACACAGTCCCATATATACAGATCATAAAGTAATACTCTACCTTAACCCCTCCTCCTGGTGGTATAGTTTCTAAGTCTCTGAACAGCGCCTCTGTAAGTCCAATTTCCAGTAATAATCAGTAGTCAACAAGGTCCTTGGTCTTTTCCCTTTCTATATCTACAGTATAATGCATTAGTTCTACCCCTGTATTTCAAATCCTAACTCATCAAATGAATTAGGAATGCCTCTCAATCATTTTGGTTTGTTGTTTTAGCGGCCTGGCAGCCTATCACTTTTTTCTTTTTGGGTCACACTCACTGATGCTCAGAGGTAACTCCTGGCTGTGCATTCAGGAGTTACTTCTAAAGGTGTTTGGAGGACTGAACCTGAATCTGCTGCATGCAAGGCAAGTGTCCTACCTACTGTACTATCTCTCTAGCCCCAGTTTACTAGTTTTTAAGGCCGTGGCAGCAAGTACTCAGGCATTCTTGGCTCAGTGCTTAGGGCACTATATGGTGCTGGAGATCAAATCTGGACCTCTTGCATGCAAGGCATGTGCACTAGCTCTTTGAGCTGTCTCCCTGTTCCAGTCTAGCAGTTCTTCAGGGTCACAAAGTTCTTGGAGGGGTTGGAGTGGCTCGGGTACTTTCCTTGCATGTGGCTGACCCGGATTTGTTCCATAGCAGCCCATATGGTCCTCTGAGGAAACCTGAAGTGATCCCTGAACTCAGAGCCAGGAGTGAGCCCCAAGTACTACCCCCCCAAGTGGCCTCCTGAAACAAAGCAACAACCCCCCATACACACACACACACACACACACACACACACACACACACGAGAGAGACAGGAAAAGAGATAAGAAACAGACCATTCCTGCTTTTGAAGCTAGTTCAGTCTTTTTTTTTTTTTTGAGGCAGCAGGGATCAGATTTGGGGCCTCACACCCAAGTGGCTATATCCCTGGCCTCTTCAGAACCAATTTAAGTTAATCGGCCATGATGGAGATTTCCAAAAAGAAATAAAACTTTATTTCCTGTTTGCTGTTTTTCTCTTCCCTTAAAGCCTACGTTATTTCTATTTTCATGTGTAATTCTTAGATTCTCACATTTTCTCTAGTCTCTGTTACAGCACAAAGTGGAGGGCTGGGGACAGGAAAGAGAGGCTGTCATCAAATACTTTCGATCCAAATAGGGTAACTTCCTTTCCTTCTGTGAGAACAGCCAGGGGTAAAAAAAGAGATGCGGAATGTGCCTGGAATATTAAAACGAGGGAAAGTTGACAAATGAATATGTAGGAATTGCTGCCAAATTCTGCCAAACTGTACGAATGGAGTATAAGGAAATCCTGACCCTCCGCAACTCTTCCAACTTCCCAGCTACTCCAGCTCGCGCCAACGCGCGAGTAATTGGCGGCGCGATTCTGCATGACGTCACACACCCGGCACTCCAATCCACGTGGGGGAGCTCCTGGGCCCGCCTCTCCCCGTAAATGGAAAGCCACGCCTCTTTGTTGTGGCCAATCAGCTGCCGCCCTTCGGCCTCTCTTCTCCTTTTCCCGCCATCCCGGCCCGCCCCTCCTGGCTCGATGGTCCAATCCGGGAGAGGAGTGCCTCTTTCCAGCCCGTGTGCTTCCCGGTGAAATGAGAGGAGGCGTTTCGATCGCTTGGCTCCACCTTGGCGTGCAGCGCGGGCCAACCCGAACTGTCGGAGGGAGGGGGCGTGGCTTGGAGTTCCCGCCCCCGTCCTGGGGTTTACGGTTTGCAGGGGGGCGCTGGTCTCAAGACCCGGCCACCAGCAGTCCGGTCTCCGGCTAGGGCGGGGCCCCTCGAAGCTGGCACCATGGAGCGCCCTCCCGGAGACGGCTCCGGCCCCAGCCCCGCCGACCAGCCCTCGGCTCCCTCCGACCCTCCGGACCTGCCCCCCTCGGCTCGCACAGAGCCGGAGCCCACTTCTGAAGACCAGCCTGCCGGCCCCAGCGCGGCGGGGGAGGCCCTGACGGTGTTGGCTTCCTTCGGGAGGCGGTTGCTGGTGCTGGTGCCCGTGTACCTGGCCGGGGCAGCAGGACTCAGCGTGGGTTTCGTGCTCTTTGGCCTCGCCCTCTACCTGGGCTGGCGCCGGGTTCGAGACGCGAAAGAACGGAGTCTCCGCGCGGCGCGGCTGCTGCTGGACGACGAGGAGCGGCTGACGGCGAAAACACTTTATCTGAGCCAGCGCGAGCTGCCTGCCTGGGTGAGCGACCACCCTCGGCCCGCAGGGCGGCAGGGCCCCCCCCTTCCAGTCCCTGCGTTCGCGAGGCGCTCGCTCCTTGTCCCCGAAGCCAGCCCAGCACGCTGGGACCCGGGACCCCCCGCCCCTCCCCCTCCCGCTACTTGTCCCGCTAGCCGTCCTCCCGGCGGGACGCGCCACCCTCGGGGCCGGCTCTCCCCTCCGCCCTCTCCCCTGCTTCTGCCTGTCCGCACGCCCCGCGCCTTCCACGAATCGGGACTTGCTCTGCGCTCGGGCCAGAGCTGTAGTGGCAGCTGGGGAGCGCGTCTCAGCCGCGGAGCTCCCCGCGCCCCTCCTCGCCGCCGCCGCCGCCCGCGCCCGGCTAGCGAGCATCCCGTGCGCGGTGCCGCCCCGGGCCTCCCCCGTCTCCCCTGCGCTCAAGACTTGAACCTTTTGGGAAAACCTAGGCAAGGCCACAAAGTTCTCCCTTTCCGGCCCCGACCCCGGATACCTGCGGAGACCGCGCCCCGGGTCACTCCCCAGCCGAGCCCCTGCACCTGCACCGCGCCCCAGGCTTCCAGCTCGGGGCAGCCGGGCCGCAGCGCAGCGCAGCGCAGCGGAGCGGAGGCGGCCGCGGGCCGCGCGGGGGAACTGGGGGCGGGGGGCCCGGCTGCTGCAGTGCCCGCTACCCCGCTCGGCCGCGCCCCGGCCCCACCCTTTTCCGGACTGTGCGCGGTGCCTGCTCGCTTGGGGCTGGGACCGAGACCCTTATTTCTCTGCCCCGTCTCTTGTGGGGAGGCCTCCCTGCCCCATGCCTTGTCTTGGTCGCGGGCAGAGCCCGTTACAGGGTCCCACCCTTCCTGTTCCTGGCCGAGGTGCCCGCCTGCCCGCAGGATGACAGAGAGATGAAGCAAAGTTGATTCGAGGCGCGCACAGCCGTGGTCCCCAGACCCTAGGTGGAGACCAGCAGGAGAAACGGCCCCGGGGGAAGTGTGACCCGGCCAGCAGCTGTCTCGGTCCCGTTCCTTGGGTGGAAACTGATCTTTCAGGGCGCAGATTTACTTTTCCCCTCCGCCCCCACCCCAATACATAGCCCAGGTGGGCCGCTTTTCCACAGTAGGCATCACACTTAGAGAAAGAAAAACCAGGGCCAGGTCCGGAAGGGCTGTTCTCCCTGTTCCTGCGGTTCTTCTTTGCTTTCTTAGCCAGGGGAGGAGGGGAGGTTGGAAAGGAGCCCCGACTCCGAATGCATCCGAATGCGGGGATTCCTTCTAGTCGGATTGGCAGGACCTCCTTTGCCAGAAGGAATGTGCCCTTCTCCCCTGGCTGCTCTCTGGCCCAGCTGCTGCCATCATTTCGATCCTTGAGCTGTTCACAAAGCAACTTTGTGTGGCCAGTGCTGTCAGCTTCCTTTGTTAGAAGCCACAGTGCGCCCTGGACAGGAAGGGGCGATATCTGGGGCATCCCAGACTCTGCGGGAGAGAAGCTCCGTCACTTCTGTGTTTCTGGAACTGTGGGCACCCACTCCACATCATGGTAGGCGCCAGGGGCTGGGGCGTGCGTGCTCACCCCTCTCTGCCTTCCCCACCCGCAGGTTAGCTTCCCGGATGTGGAGAAGGCTGAGTGGCTGAATAAGGTGAGGGTGGAGTGTCTTCAGTTTTTTTTTTTTTTCATGAGGGAGAATGAAAAGGGGTTTGTTTCTCCCGACAGAGTCCTCCCCCTTCAATTCTTTTTTCTTCTGGTTGTTTGAGCCACACCCAATTGTGCTCACCCAAAGGGTGCTGGGGGGGGGGTTGCCCAAAGAGCTGGGAATCATACCCAGGGCTCCCCCTTCTCAAAGCTGTCTCCCTTTGTAGCTCTAGCCCCAGGGAGGATACGGAAAGGACTGGCCTTTAGCGGGGAGGTTGGGCTCTGCCATGACCAGGAACTTCCTCTCCTCCCAGATTGTGGCCCAGGTGTGGCCCTTCGTGGGCCAGTATTTGGAGAAGCTTTTGGCTGAAACCGTGGCACCTGCTGTTCGAGGATCTAACCCCCATCTGCAGACATTTACATTTACAAGAGTGGAGCTGGGTGAAAAGGTGTGTGTGTGTCTGTGTGTGTGTGTGTGTGTGTATCTGTGTCTGTGTCTGTATCTGTGTGTGTTTAAGGGAGAATGCTGAAAGGGAGCAGATGGGACAGGGAAGGTGGGTGGCAGAGCGGGCTGAGATGCTCCTCCCCTCTCAAGAATTTCTCTTTCTCTCCAGCCCTTGCGGATCCTAGGGGTCAAGGTTCACACAGGTCAGAGCAAAAAACAGATCCTGCTGGACTTGAACATCAGGTACCACTCAGCCCGCTTCCCCTCCCGCAGGATCCTGGTTGCACTGACTACTTCCCCCACTCTCCGCATTTCAGCCTGGCTCTCATCCTCTCTTCCCTTTCTCACCAACCCCTAGCTATGTCGGTGATATCCAGATTGATGTGGAAGTGAAGAAATATTTCTGCAAAGCGGGACTTAAGGGCATGCAGGTGGGACGGATGTCAGGGGTCCCCCATAGTAGGAGTCATTCCACTGAGTTTCCTTTTATTTGTTGGTCTTTTTTTGTGGGGGGGGGGGCACACTGAATAATGTTTACTACTACTTCTGTGTTCTGGAGCTGCTCCTGGTGGAGGTGGGGGACCCTATGGTGTTGGGGATCATACACAGCGGGCACTCAGCCCATCGAAGCAGGTCCCCAGCCCTTAAGATTCGCTGCACATTGGGAAGTGGCAGCTAGAGAAGGGGAGCTGGGAGGGGGAAGCCTTTCATCTTCTCTTTTCGCCCTAGCTACATGGGGTGTTGCGGGTGATTCTTGAGCCACTCATTGGGGACGTTCCTATTGTGGGAGCCGTGTCCATGTTCTTTATCAGACGCCCGGTAAGGAGCATGAAGGGGACGGAATGGGCTCGGGGAGAACGGGATCAGGGGAGGAGCAGTCAGCTCTGGGGGATGGTGGAGGGAAGTGACGAGCACTTAGGGGTCTGGCAGCTCTTGGTTGGGCATGACATGGCCATCTTACAGTCTGTCGTAATCCCCCTGCTCTTTCCTTCTAGAGTCTCGACATCAACTGGACAGGGATGACCAACTTGCTAGATATCCCAGGACTCAGGTATCAAGACTAGCACCTGGGGGCTGGAGTGATAGCACGGTGGGTAGGGTGGTTTGCCTTGCATGTGGCCGACCTGGGTTCGATTTCCAGCATTCCATATGGTCCCCAAGCACCGCCAGGAGTGATTCCTGAGTGCAGAGCCAGGAGTAACCTCTGTGCATTGCTGGGTGTGACCCAAAAAGAAAAAAAAAAGGAATTAGCACCTGCCTAGTGTTCTTTCCTGGCCGGGGGCTTCAGGGATATAAAGCAATAAGATGCCATGAGTAGGGCACTTGCCTGGCACATGACTGACCTGGCTTCAGTCCCTGGCACCCCATAATGTCCCCTGAGTACTGCTAGGAGTGATCCTTGAGCACAGAGCCAGGAGCAAGGCCTGAGCGCTGCTGGGTGTGGCTCAGAAACAAAACAATCAGAAAATAGAAATGACTTCCCTCTAGCTTTGGGTTGTGGGAAACACAGTTGGAATTTGGGGGGGGGCAGCTCACCTCTTTAGGCCACACCCAGTGGTGCTGAGGGCTCTGTGCTCAGCGATCACTTCTGGGGTGTTCGGGGGACCAGACGTGGTGCGAGGGACCCAACCTGGGTTGGCTGCTTGCAAAGCAAGCCCTCTCCCCACTGTATTATCTCCCTGGCCGGCTCATGTCCCTTTTTCCCTCCTCCACTCAGCTCCCTCTCTGACACCATGATCATGGACTCCATCGCTGCCTTCCTTGTGTTGCCCAACCGATTATTGGTGCCTCTTGTGCCCGACCTTCAAGATGTGGCCCAGTTACGTTCCCCTCTTCCCAGGGTATGACTCCTGCCCCGTGAGATGGCGCCTTCTCTCAGCAGCCCCGGGTAGGGGCCTTCAGTGTCTCACTCTTTGATTTCCTGTCGCCAGGGCATTATCCGGATTCACTTGCTAGCTGCTCAAGGGCTGAGTTCCAAGGACAAGTACGTGAAGGGCCTGATCGAGGGCAAGTCCGACCCCTACGCCATTGTGCGAGTAGGCACCCAGACATTCTGCAGCCGTGTCATCGATGAGGATCTTAACCCTCAGTGGGGAGAGACATATGAGGTGGGTTGCTGAGGAGCAGGGCTGTGTACAGTAGGAAGGGAGAGAAGATGCTGACAGCATGATCTGGTCGCTCGGTGTTCCTCAGGTGATAGTCCATGAGGTCCCCGGGCAGGAGATTGAGGTGGAGGTGTTTGACAAAGACCCGGACAAAGACGACTTTCTTGGCAGGTGAGAGTTTTGCCTGCGGCATTGGGCTGATAGTAACAGGGCTTGCTTTGCATGTGGTCATTTCTGGCTCAATCCCCAGCATCATGTGGTCCCCTGAGCACAGAGCCATACCCCCCAGCACCACCAGGGATGACCCCTATCCCACCCCTGTCCACTTCCTGCTCCAAGTGATTCTATGTTAGTATTCGAAAGCCCTGGTGCAACCAAAGTCCCAGAGGTGATGCTATGACTTTTCTGAACTTGGAAATCGGCATCATTTTCCCTCCAAGTCTCTCTACCCTTTGCCCTCCCCATCCCATGCATTTGTGTGTGTGTGTACCTGAGCCTTGCATGAATCTCGACTACCTAAATATTCCCTGCATAGAAGGAGAAGGGACTGTGAGATCTGCCCTGTATTGGGCGGCGGGTGAGTGCGTGCGCGCCACTGGCCTCCTGCTCCTTCCTGTCATTCCCTCCCTCTTCTCCAGAATGAAGCTGGATGTTGGGAAGGTGTTAGAGGCTGGAGTTCTGGATGACGTAAGTTGAGAGGAGAGGAAGGGGGGACGGAGGGCTCACCCACCGGGCAGACAGGAGTTGCTGCTGCCGTGGCAGGGGAGAGGCTGGGCTCTAGTCTGAACCACGCTTCACTTTGTCCTCCCTCTCGTTCCAGTGGTTTCCTCTCCAGGGTGGGCAAGGCCAAGTTCACCTAAGGCTAGAATGGCTGTCGCTTTTGCCCAGTGCAGAGAAATTGGAGCAGGTAACTGACGTGGGAAATAGGAAGGTGGCAGGGGATCAGCCAGTAGCTGGAAATCATGGGGTTTGGGTCTGACTGCATTCGCTGCCCACCCACCAGGTTCTCCAGTGGAATCGTGGCGTCTCCTCCCGACCCGAGCCCCCGTCAGCTGCCATCTTAGTTGTCTATCTGGACAGAGCCCAGGATCTTCCTGTGAGTGTGGCTTTCAGTGGGTGGGTGCGCAGGAGAGCCTGGGTGCAGCACTCCACGTCCTCCCCAGCCCTGCCTGCTCTGCTCTAGGGGCAGCAGCAGAGAATGGAGGGGCTCTGGGCTGAACCATCGCACAGCCGGGAGGGCACTGGTCTTGCATGCATCCGACCCGCGTTTGATCCCCGGCACCCCCTATGGTCCTGCAAGCACCACCAGGAGTGATTCCTGAGAGAATCACTCAGAGAGCCAGAAGCAACCCCTTGAGCATCACCAGAACCAGAACCAACCATCACCAGAACCAACCACAGAGCCAGAAGCAACCCCTTGAGCATCACCCGGGGTGGCCCCGAGACAAACAGAAGGGCTCTGAGAAGGGGACTTGAGCCACCCCAGGGCAAAAATTTAGATGAGCGTCCTCCTCCCTTCAACAAAACGAAACCCCGTTCTGAATTGTACCCCCACAGCTGAAGAAGGGGAGCAAGGAACCCAATCCCATGGTGCAGCTGTCGGTTCAGGATGTGACCCGGGAGAGCAAGGTGAGGGGCAGGATACCCCTTGGGTGCGGAGCAGGGGACAAGATGGTGCTCAGGGCACCACCCAGGGTTCGAGTAGTGCTGAGGCACCGCCCTGATTCCACCCCACGTCTCCAGGCTGTGTACAATACCAGCAGCCCAGTGTGGGAGGAGGCCTTCCGGTTCTTCCTGCAGGACCCTCAAAGCCAGGAGCTTGATGTCCAGGTAAGACGACCACCATTCCGGCCCCTCCTTTATACGGTTGCCTTTTCCAGATCTCTGCTGTTTCTTTCCTTCATCTTTTTTGCTCTCCATTTTATTTTTTCCCCTCTATATTTGCAGTTGGAATTTTAGTTTGGCAGCTACACTTGGTGGTGGTCAGGGGCTATTTCTGGCTCCATGCTCGGGGTTTCTCCCAGTGGTATTCAGGGACCTGGCAGTGCTGGGGATCAAACTTGGGCCTCCCACTCGCAAAGCTTCCACTCTAGTCTGTTGAACTGTCTCTGGCCCATCAATTCAATTTATTTTTTTTTCCTTTTGGGTTTTTGGGCCACACCTGGCTTACTCCTACTTACTTACTCCTACCGGGGAATCACTCTTGGGAGACCTCAGGGGACCATAAAGGGAGTCAGGCATTGAATCCAGTATATCAGATCCAATCTCCAACTCCTTGATAAAAATTTTATTGTTATTGTTGGGTTTTTTGGGACCCTATGGTGTTGGGGATTTATTCAAGGCTTTGGTTCTGGGCCATACCTATAATGCTCAGGAGTTACTCCTGGCTCTGCATTGTAGTGCTGGAAGAGTGTGCGTGGGATCAAATGCTGGTTGACCTTGTGCAAGGCAGAGTCCCTACCCACTTGTACTATGCTCCGGTCCCTATTATTTTTTAAGAAGATGGGGTCAGAGATCTATAGGAGTTAAGGCACTTGCCTCACAGGAGGCTGACCTCCGTTCAGTCCCAGACACCACATATGGTCTCAAAGCAGTGCTAGGAGTCATCCTAGCACCGCCAGGTGTGGCCCCAGACACCCTCCCCCTCAAAAGAGCAAAAAGACCAAGGAGATGGCGCCAAGGTGTGGGGTGCACACTTTGGGTATGAGATCCCCAGCTTTGATTCCCAGCCCTGCATGGTCCCCTGAGCACCACCAGGAAAAGAACCCAAAACTTGCTGGGAGCAGCCCTGCAGCACTGCTGGCTGTGGGCCAAAAAGGAAAAAAGAGAAACAAAAAGAACCTGTTGATGTTAGATACCTGGTGTTTATTTTCTTTGTTATGTTTGGGCAGGACTATTCCTGCTTCTCTGTTGCTCAGGGGCTGGAACCAAGCATTCTTATACATGGCATGTGCTCTAGCCCTCTGACAGTCTCCTGACCCCAAAATACCTGAAATGTAAAAGGTCAGACAGAAGAGCATAAAGCAATCTACTGGGGCTGGATGCATAGGACAGTGGATAAGGCACTTCCTTGCTTGTGACTGGCCAGGGTTCGCTCCCCAGCATCCCATATGGTTCCCCAGGCATTGCCAGGACTAAGTCCTGAGTGCCGAGCAGGAGTAATCCCTGAGCATTGCTGGGTAGGCGACTCCAAGGCAAGCAAATAACCAGACTCTACTTTCTTAAATCTTACTAGCTGCTGTATAGAAAACCATCCAAGAATGATTAAATGTTAACTGAGTAGTGTGGAGATAAAAATATCCTTAGGAGCCTGAGAGTAGTGCAGTGGGTAAGGCACTTACCCAGAGCACTCAGCTCTAACCTCAAAAACCTCGCCTTGCACACGACGGACCAGGTTAGATCCCTGGCATCGTATGGTTCCCTGAGCCCACTGTGAGTGATCTGTGAGTGATTCCTGAGTGTAGAGTCAGAAGTAAGCCCTGAACATAGCCAGGTGTGGCTCAAAAAAAAAATCAAATAAAAATATCCTTAGCATAGAGCTAAGGATGGCCAGACCAAGGCGCAGAGTAATGAGTATTAATCCTCGTGAAAAAATCTGCACAGTCACCAGATAGTCTCTGCAGAATCTTTCCTCCATCTTTTTGCCTTGGCAATCCCCCGACTTTCTTCATTCTGTTCTTGCGTTCCTTTCTCTAGTTATGTAGGTCTTTTTCTTCTCATACAGGCCATGTCTTGCCAGTCTGTGTTTGGTCTCACTTTTCTTTGCATGCTCCAAAGAATCGTAAATCATGCCAAAGCCACCAAATCGTAAATCTTGCTGCCACCAAAATGGGTTCTGAATCCAAACATGAAAGTGACATCTGGAGTGGGTAGACATTTTTTTTGGTTTTGTTTTGTTTTTTTAGTTTTTGGGTCACACCCAAAGATAGTCAGGGGTTCCTCCTGGCTCTGTACTCAGGAATTACTCCTGGCAGTGCTTGGGGGACCAAATGGGAAAATGGGGATTGGCCCTGGGTTGGCCACATGCAAGGCAAATACCCTCCCTGCTGTACTGTCACTCTGGCCCCCTTACATGGGGACTTAATGTGGGATTTAATGGCAGAGCAGAGGAGAATTACTGTGTAATGGAAATGGAATGAGCAAAGGTTTGGCACCGAGAATGCCGTGTTTGTCTTCCCCCATGCCACCTCCCTCTCCCTAACTGTTCGCTCCGCCTTCCTCCCCCTGACTATAGGTGAAGGATGACTCCAGGGCTCTGACTTTAGGGTCACTGACCCTGCCCCTGGCTCGCCTGCTGACCGCCCCAGAACTCACCCTGGACCAGTGGTTCCAGCTCAGCAGCTCTGGCCCAAACTCCAGGCTTTACATGAAGCTGGTCATGAGGGTACGGAGATGGAGGGACTGCTGAGGATGTGGACGGGCACTGTGGATACCTCGGTATCAGGAGATAAGAAGGGGGACCGTCTACGGTGGAATTGGCCGGTGTGTCTGGAAGCCCCTGCTAGGCGCCCCAGACACACTTGGGATCTCACTGGGGCAATAAATGTCGTATGAGGAGGGTGAGCATGGGGCCGGCCCTGCTGAGATAAACCCAGCACTTGGTTTGCCTGTCAGAGCTCGGCTCTGCCCACATGAGTCACACCCCTCTGATGGTGGCCTGGCCTCTGTCTCTGTCCCTCCAGGTCCTGAACTTGAGGTTTTTTGTTTGACTTTGGGCCGCACCTGGCATTGCCTGCCCGGAGATCACTCCTGCCGGGACTTGGGAGGACATTTGGGGTGCCAGGGATCAAACTGGAGTCAGCCGTGTGCAAGGAAAGTGCTGTACTGTCTCTCCGACCCCCAGGTCCTGTACTTAGATTCCTCTGAAGTTCATTTCCCCACTGCGCCTGGAGCTGCTGGTGCCGGGGACCTGGACAGCCAGAGTTCGCAGATAGGCAGCAGTGTGGATGCGCCACCTCGACCCTGCCACACTACCCCTGACACTAGCTTTGGAACCGAGGTGCGTGTCCGCGTGAAAGGCCTGTGGCCTGTAGCAGCCTGGGCTGTGTGCAGGCCTGTGGAGGCGGGTCTGCGCGGCGTCCCTCTTGCCGACAGGCGCCCGTGCCCCTCTTGCCTGTAGAACGTGCTCCGGATCCACGTCTTAGAGGCCCAGGACCTGATTGCTAAAGACCGTTTCTTGGGGGGTTTGGTGAAGGGCAAGTCAGACCCCTACGTTAAACTGAAGCTGGCCGGACGAAGCTTCCGGAGCCGTGTCGTTCGGGAAGATCTCAACCCCCGCTGGAATGAGGTTTTTGAGGTTAGAGCTGAGGGCTCCGGGCTCTTCCCCATTCTCCTCCTAGTTCTAAGAATGTCCCCGAGCCAGCTGGGGTTGCACTCCTCGCGGGAGGGTGTCTAACCGCTTTGAGAAGCAAAGCCGAGAAGCCCCTCTGGCTCTCACGTGTCCTCCCACTAGGTGATCGTCACATCGATCCCAGGCCAAGAACTCGAGGTGGAGGTTTTTGATAAGGACCTGGACAAAGATGACTTTCTGGGCAGGTGAGAGGCTTGGAGTTCAGGGGCCAATGGGCTGGGGCTGCGGGGGACGGGCCTGCAGGCGTCAGCTCCTCCCTCCTTGAACCTTCTCTTCTCCAGGTGTAAAGTGAGTCTCACCGCGGTTCTAAACAGCGGCTTCCTTGATGAGGTGAGCCCAGAATTAAAATCAGCATCCAGGGGCTGGAGCGATAGCACAGGGGGTGGGGCATTTGCCTTGTACCAGCTGACCTGGGTTCGATCCCCAGCATCCCATATGGTCCCCTGAGCCCCACGAGGAGTGATTCCTGAGTGCAGAGCCAGGAGTAACCCCTGTGCATCGCTGGGTGTGGCCAAAAAGGAATAAAAGCATCCCTTCTGGGTAGGAGGCAGAGCACAGCAAGGAGGGGGCTCACCTGTGCACACACCCCGCCTGGGTTCGATCCCCAGCACCCCAGGTGGTCTCCTGAGCATCGCCAGGAGTGATTCCCGGGCACAGAGCCGGGATTCAGCCCCGAGCACCGCTGGGTGGACCACCTCCTCCCTTCTTCACCGAAGGCTCGTTCTTGGGAGCCTTAACTTTGCCCCCGTTCATAGTGGCTGACCCTGGAGGATGTGCCATCAGGCCGCTTGCACTTGCGCCTGGAGCGTCTGACCCCTCGGCCCACTGCGGCTGAGTTAGAGGAGGTGAGGAGGGCGCGGAGGGGGCGGGGCTTGGGCGGGCGGGGCCGCGCTCCCACACCCATGGGTGCCCTCCCCTCCCTGGGCAGGTGCTGCAGGTGAACAGTCTGATCCAGACGCAGAAGAGCGCGGAGCTTTCGGCGGCGCTGCTGTCCGTGTACCTGGAGCGCGCTGAAGGCCTGCCGGTAAGACCCGCTGCCCACAGCCCTCAGGTCTGGGGCTCCCTGTGCATGGCGATGTGGGGTGAAAGAAGCCTTGTTCCTAGGCTGGGGGTGGGGCTGACGGGTGCCAGTGGGACTGCAGGGCCTAAGGGTGGCCCCAGAACATGTGGGGAGAGAGGGAAGCCTGAGCCGCTCCAAACGGGAGACAGCCTGGAACATTTCACCCAATTCTCCCTCGCCAGCTCCGGAAAGGTACCAAGCCTCCCAACTCTTACGCTACTCTCACTGTGGGAGACACGGCTCATAAAACCAAGGTAGGAGGAAACTGCGGGGCTAAGGAAGGAAGGGACGAAGGGCTGAAGGGATACTTGGCCAAGCCGGGTTCAATCCCATCACCCCTGATGGACCCCAAAACCCGCCAGAAGTGATCCCTGAGTGCTGAGTCAGGATTCACCCCTGAGCATCTCTGGGTGTGCCCACAAAACAAAAATAATAAAAAAGTATAAACAAATAAGAATGGGAGCGGGGCTGGAGCAATAGCACAGCAGGTAGGGCATTTGTCTTGTATGCGGCTGACTCGGGTTCAAGTCCCAGCATCCCATATGGTCCCCCGAGCACCGCCAAGAGTAATTCCTGAGTGCATCAGCCAGGGTGTGACCCAAAAAGAAGGGGCTGGAGCAATCGCACAGCGGGTAGGGCGTTTGCCTTGCACTCGGCCGACCCGGGTTCGATTCCTAGCATCCCATAGGGTCCCCCGAGCACCACCAGGAGTAATCCCTGTGTATAGCCAGGTATGACCCAAAAAGGAAAAAAATATTAAAAAATAATAAATTAGAATGGGAGAGACGAGAGGGGGAAGAGTAGCAGCTGCTGACCCTCCCGTCGCCTCCTGCAGACCGTTTCCCAGACTGCAACGCCCATCTGGGACGAGAGCGCCTCTTTCCTCATCAGGAAACCGAACTCCGAGAACCTGGAGTTGCAGGTACTGTGATTCACTCTCCGGAGAACTTCTGTCATTGGCCAGGCCCTGAATCAGGCACAGAGCACTCCGGGACATCAGATCCTGTCTCATCTTTCTGAAATTCAACTTCCGTGGGAGGCAGAGGGATGGGGCGGGGCTCACAGGGCCTCCCCTCGTGCTCAGAGCTCTTCCTGGCTCTGTGTTCAGGAGTGACCCTTAGCGGTACTCAGGGGACATACGAGGTGCTGGGATTTGACCTGGGGCCGACCGCATGGCTGCATGCAACGCAAAGTGCCTTTTCCATGTCCTGTTCCTCTAGCCAGGAATTTCACAACCTTTAGGGAGAAAAATAATCAGAAAAGACTCCCAGACTGTTCACTGAGGTAAAAGACATGGCAGAGAGACAGTGGTTTGAGGGCCCAGGTGACCCTAACCTCAGGCCAGACTCGTGGAAAGGCAGAGGTGGAACAAAAGGTAACCATGATGATGATGCCTGAGCTTAAGGACAAACAGGCTCTGACAAGAAGGAAAAAGCTTCAGGTGGAGAGAGCGAAGGAGAAAGAAGGAAAGTCTTAGCTCAGAGGCACAAGGAAGAGCAAGACTACAGGGGGTTTTGACTATATATCCAAGAGACATGGGAAATGTTTGGCTTAGAAATGTTGACCTGGTTTGGTTTGATTTCGTTTGGGGGCCATATCTGGTGGTATTCAGGGGTTGCACCTAGCTCAGTGGGCCCCTTCGTGGTGCTCAGGGATCAAACCTGGATCTCTTACACGCCAAAGCATCTCCCCAACCACAAGGAACATTTGAAGGAGTGAAGAATGACATACCAAGGTTATGTTTTATGATAGAGTGGAGAAAAGTGGGCTGGAGGGGCTGGAGAGAGAGTTCAGGGGTAAGGTGCTGACTCAGGCTCAATCCTCAACACTGCTGGATGTGGCCAGAAAGCAAACAAGAGTGGAGTGGAGAAAGATAGCACCGGAGGGAGATGGCAGATTATTTAAGAGCCGAAGAGTAAATGAAGTAAGACAGGAAAACCTGACCGGGCTGGTGCACTTGCTGCATGCAGGAAGCCCAGTTCAGTCCCAGCACCGCATGGCTCCACAGATGCCAGGAGCAGCCCTGGAGGGGCTGGAGCGATGGTACCGTGAGGAGGGCGTTTGCCTTGCATGTGGCCAACCTGGATTTGATCCCTGGCATCCCCCTCCTGGAGTGATCCATGAGGACAGAGCCAGGAGTAAGTCCGAGCAGAGCCAGGCGTGGCCCAAAAATCAAGAAATAAAGTTGAGTGAATAGTAAGAGAATTTCTTAGCTAGAAGTCAGTAGAAGGACCCAGAAGAATAAGGCGGCTTAGAGCACCCACCCTAAGTGTATGTTTGTTGGGGCTGGCGCCATAGTGCGGTGGGTGAGGCGCTTGTCTTGCATGTGGCCAAGCAGAGTTTGCTCCCCAGCGCCCCGTATGGTCCCCTGAGCCTCTTCAGGACTGATCCATGAGCACGGAGCCAGGAGTAGCTCCTGAGCAACCATAAACAAACAAATGTGTATGGTTAAGGCCAGGCGGATGGTTCACATCCTGTGAATGTGGGAGACCAGGGTTCGATTCCTAGCATCACAAGTTCTCCAGCAGCACCGAGTGACATCCCAGCACTGTGCCTGGAGTAGCCACACTACTGTAAGGCGTGGGTGAGGGCTGGATGGTAGTAGAGGGGCTAAGATCCTTGTCTTGCATATGGCTCACCCTGATTTGATCCCCAACACCACATGGTCTACATGATCCCAGAGCACAGAGCCAGGAGTAACCCTTGAGCAACCCCTTAGCACCTGAGGATGGCCCAGAAACAAAAATAATAAGGAGCTGGAGTGATGGTTTTATCTGAGTAGGTTTTATCTGTGGCATCCCATATGGTCCCCCAAGAACTTCCCGGAGCAATTCCTGAGTGCAGAGCCAGGAGTAATCCCTGAGCATAGCTGTGTGTGACCCAAAAAGCCAGTCAATGATAATAATAAAGGATGTGAGCATCATAGCCAGAAAGTTCGACTGCTGACAGGCATTACAGCCATTACGTGCATGCCAGAACTAGAATGCAAGCCCTGTAAGATAGCATTGCCGTCCATGCATGAGACCCAGGAGCAGTGCCAGCCCTGCAGGGCTCCCTGAGCAGCAAGCAGAGAGCAGCCTCTGAACACCACTGGGTGTGACTACACAATAAGAACCAGTAAAGAATGCAGTCCCCAGGCCGGGACGTGACTCAGTGGCAACGAACTCTTAGTTGAGGTCCACACGTTTTGGTTTATGTGTTTGGGGTGAGGAGTGGCTGCAGTGTCACACGTGTGCAGCCAGAGTTGCACTTCCCGGCACTCACACATCTTTGAGTGCAGTGTTCACCGGGCATCATGCCCACTTTGATGGTGCGTACACACACCTGGCTGTGGTGCAGCAGGAAATTGCTCCTGGTGCTGGATGGCATACGGCAAAGCTGCCAGGCATGTCTGGTGGACATGGAACGTGGACACGTGGATTTTGAGCCTATGACAGTACGCATGCTAGACCCACCTAAGTTGTGAGGCAGGTGCCACCCCAGGCTCTTTATTTCCATTTGTGTGATTCTCCACACCCTGCAGATATCACTGTGTAGTCTGTGCAAGTGTAGGAAGAAAGTCCAGTTTCCTACTCAGGAAAAAAAAAGGGTGGGCCAGAGAGATACTCGGTGAGTTGAGCGCATGCTTTGTATGGGGGAGGCCCAGGTACAGAGCCCAGCACCACGTGATTCTTAACACCTCCAGAACTGACCCCTGAGCACAGACCGAGGAGTAACCCCTCAGCATTGCCAGTTATGGTCATCCTCCCCCCAGAAACAAAAAAAAAAAAAAAGAAAAAAGGGGAAGAGGAGTTAGATAATACAGTGGGTTGGGTGTTTTTCTGACACATAACCCACAAGTTTCCATACTTGCCACCTCATAGTCCCCTGAGCCCACCAGGAGTGATCTCTGAGCACAGAGCCAGGAGCATAAACTCCCTGAACATCACTGGGTGCAGCCCCAAAACCAGAGGGGGATAAAAGGAAGAGGGTAAGGGGAGACAGCTCATAGGGTTAACCTCAAAGGGTTACTCAGTGGGGCTGGAGCGATAGCACAGCGGGTAGGGCGTTTGCCTTGCACGCGGCCAACCCGGGTTCGATTCCCAGCATCCCATATGGTCCCCTGAGCACCTCCAGGAGTAATTCCTGAGTGCAAAGCCAGGAGTAACCCCTGAGCATCGCTGGGTGTGACCCAAAAAGCAAAAAAAAAAAAAAAAAAAAAAAAAAAGGGTTACTCAGAGGATTAGTACAGTGCCGAGCTTTGCATGTTGAGGCCCGGGTTCAGTCCCTTGCACTACATGGTCCCCTGAATACTGAGCTGGGAATACACTTGAGCATCAGAGGGTGAGCCCCCAAATGGGGAAGCGGGATCAGCGAATGGCACGCGACCCCGTCCCTTCTAGGCCCTTCACAAAGGGAACATCTCTCTCCAAAGTCACCAAGAATTCAAGCATTTGACCCGAATTTCCTGACCAAGCTGCCTCTGCTCCACAGGTCCGGGGCGAGGGGTCTGGGACGCTGGGCTCGCTCACGCTGCCCCTCGCAGAAGTCCTCGCGGCTGACCAGCTCTGCCTGGACCGCTGGTTCACGCTCAGCAGTGGGCAAGGGCAGGTGCTGCTGAGGGCACAGCTGGGGGTGAGTGACGGCAGACTGGGGACGGGGGAGGAGGGGACCACAGGGAGGGTGGGTGGGCCGAGACGTGGGTCCTCGTAGTGGGGGGCTGAGCTGCTGACAGCATCCCTGCCCCCCAGATCCTGGTTTCCCAGCACTCGGGCGTGGAGGCCCACAGTCACACCTTCAGCCACAGCTCGTCGTCTCTGAGCGAAGAGCCGGAGCTCTGGGGCCCCCTGTCTCACCCCACCGCCTCCACCCCGGAGCTCCGCCAGCGCCTCGCACACAGTGACAGGTGGGGGGGAACTGTCCCTAGAGGCCAGGCGGCAGGTGTCCCGGCCCCAACCCTGAGTCACTGCTCTCTCTGCAGCCCCCAAGATGCTCCGGCGGGGCCCCTGGGCCAGGTGAAGCTGACCGTGTGGTACTACAGCGAGGAGCGGAAGCTGGTGGGCATCGTTCACGGCTGCCGGTGAGTCCACGCCCGCCTCCTCCAGGCTGCCCACCCACGCCCCTGGCCTCCTCTTAACCACCTTCCGCCTTCTGTCACAGCGCCCTGCGACAGAACGGACGGGACCTCCCGGACCCCTACGTGTCACTCTTACTGCTGCCAGACAAGAACCGGGGCACCAAGAGGAAGACCTCCCAGAAGAAGAGGACCCTCAACCCTGACTTCAGCGAGCGGTCAGTCAGCGGTCTGTTGGGGGGCTGCCGTGGGCTGGGGGGGTGTTCCTCCGCTGACACCGGTGCCCCCAGGTTTGAGTGGGAGCTGGCCCTGGACGAGGCGCTGCGGAGGAAGCTGGACGTGTCCGTGAAGTCCAACTCCTCCTTCATGTCACGAGAGCGGGAAGTGCTGGGGAAGGTAAGCAGGGTGGGCACTGGCCACCAGGGGACACTGCTTCAGTGTGTGACCCAGGGGTGGGCTCCGTGGAGGGAGCAGAACCCCAGCTTGCCCCCACGTCACCCCACAGGTGCAGCTGGACCTGGCCGAGATAGACCTTTCCCAGGGAGCTGCCCAGTGGTGAGTGTCCAGTGGCTGGGGGGACTGGGCTCAGGTACCGAAGGAGAGAGAAGAAACCATGGGGAGGGGCTGGAGAGATAGCACAGCGGTAGGGCGTTTGCCTTGCACGTGGCCGACCCGGGTTCGATTCCCAGCATCCCCGTTGGTCCCTCGAGCACCACCAGGAGTAATTCCTGAGTGCATGAGCCAGGAGTAACCCCTTTGCATTGCCAGGTGTGACCCAAAAAAAAAAAAAGAAAAGAAAAATAAAGAAGAAACCACGGGGGCAGGAGGGAGAAGAGCAACACAGAGGAGACGCTGGTTCTCTGCCGTGAAGAGCCCTCGCACCCTGTCTCGTTTATACATGGGCCCGAGTGGCCTCTTTGTACCTGAACCTTCTCTCCTCTCCCACAGGTATGACCTCCTGGATGACAAGGGCAGCGCCTAGGCGCAGGGCGCCTGCCTGACTGTCTTCTGGCCTCACCTCTCGCTGCATCACCGCCTCAATGTGATGAACCTCCAGCTTGGGCCAGGGGCAGAGCCTGCGGTGCTCAGCCCTCTCACCTCCCAGGCCCCGGTGCGGGCCTTTGCCTACCAAAGAGGAGGCCCGGCGTTCTCCTTCAATGCACGGCCTTTGTCCTGAGGCAGGAACCTGAGCTGGCTGTTTCCTGCTCTGCCTACACAGCGTCTTCCGTCCGGACTCCTCAGGGCCTTCTGCACCTGTGCCTGCCACTGACCGCACCATCAGTGGCGTTAGCTTATGCCAAATACAGCTTTTGGAAAGGTCTTTTTTTTTTCCTTTCTTTCTTTCTTGAGGTGCTGGGGATCGAACCCAGCGCCCCACGCATACAAGGCATCTATGCTCTAACACTGAGCTATGATCCCCCGCCCCAAGACCTTCCTTTCACTGGGGAAACCACCTTCTTCCCTGCCATGAACAGTGTTTATGGGGTGCACAGAAGGGCGGGAAGGTGGGGAGACCAGCCTCAAGCTGGGAGCATCTTTGGCGATTGCATGTACCAGAGGCTCCCGGGCACTCCGTCCATTTCTCTCCCCACTTTCCTCGAGTCTGTCCTGAAAATGATACCTGGTAACCGGAACACTTGGATTCCGTCCAGGCCTTCAGTTTGCAGTCATCCATCAGTCTTGGCGCTTCTGAGTGGTGCCGTGCAGAGCACTGTAAAGTACTGAGGACAGCTGGGCCGTATTTTGACCAGGTGCCAGGATGTTGACACACTGACCGGAATTGAGTTGGCTTGTGCATCGACTCTGTCATTCCACTGTGTCTTATATTAAACATCATAATCAAACCAGCTGCGTCTCTTTTCCTTAAGGCTTTCTCGTCGCGCGTGTACTCCAAGTGTTAAGATTTCATTCACGAAGCTGCTGTTGCGTTTCTGCTGAGACTTAGTTCACTTGATAAGCAGTGAAATGAGAATTTTTTTTTTTTCTGTGTCACACTCAGAGGTGCTCTGAGCTCAGGAAGCACTCCTGGCAGGGCCCACTGTACTATCTCGTCACCTTGAGAAATAAATTTTGTTTTAGATCTCAAGATTAAGGGGTTTTCTTTATTAAATTTTTTTTTCCTGGTGGGCCAGAAAGATAGTACAGTAGGTAGGGCACTTGCCTTGCATGCGGCAGACCTGGGTTTGATCCCATAGGGTACCCCAGAGGGTCCCCCAAGCACTCACCTCAGTAACCCCTAAGCATCTCTGATTGTGCCTCAGCACCCCCACACACACACATACACACACATTTCGGGGACCAGAGAGATAGTACAGTGGGTAGGGTGCTTTCCTTGCATGTGGCCAACCTGGGTTTAATCCCGGCACCACATATGGTTCCCAGAGCCCCGCCAAGAATGACCACTGAGCACAGGGCCAGGTTTATGCCTTAAGTATACAACCTTGTTGTTTTGACTTCTACTTTTAACCCATTGAGATCCTACCTGAACTCTGCTCCTTTCCAGATTGTCTTACAATTACCATTTACGTGATCTGTAGGAAGAATAAATTACTGGAAACAGTGTCACTGGCATAGGAAATAGGGACTTGGCTCAGGAGAACTTTCTCATCAAAGTATATAAACTGGGGTTCTGTCTGTTGGGAAAGAAAAACTCAGGGCCAAGGATTAACCTCAGTTTCTTGAATTGTGAAAACTCTGGCAAAATGCCACAGGGTCTGGGAGCTGGCACAAAAGCCTGGAACACATGCTTTGCCTGCAGGAATCCTGGGGTGAAACCCAGCATCAAGTGACCTGTGAGTACAGCCCAGGATGACTTCAAAAGCAAAAGAAAACGGGGAGAAAGGACAGGGCATAGACATCTGCTTTGCGTATGTGGTCAACCCCATTAAATCCCATCACCCCATCTGGTTCCCCAAGCACAGATTCAAGAGTAAACTCTGAGGACCTCCAGTGTGACTCAAGAGGACCTCCCACCTTCTTGGGGCCTGAGGGATAGTACTGCGAGGAGGGTATTTACCTGCAAAAGCCAACCTGGGTTTGGTTCCTGGCACCACAAATGGTCCCTTGAGCACCAGGAGTGATCCCTGGGTTCAGACCCAGGAGTAAGCCCCGAGCACCATTGTGTATGGCCCCCAAACAAAATAGGACCTCCTCCCTCAGCCCAGATGAAAAAAAAATGAAAAAAAACCCCCAAGAAACCCAATCCATGCCATCCTCTCATTCAGCCTTTTTTAAACTATGGCCTTCGGGCCATGCTTCTTGCTTTAGGTCTCAAACCAATGACCCTTGACACTGATCCCTACCTACGGCTTTTATCTTCTACTAGTCCAGGGCTGGAGAGATGGATAGTCCCACGGGCAGGTGTGGATCTTCATGAGAGGGAGTCCAGGTTTCATCCGCGGCATCACAGGCCACTGCCCCATTGCCAGGAGCAACTCCCAAGTACTGAGCCAGCGACTGGCCCTGAGAACCGCTGAGGTGTTGCTGAAACCAACCGACCAACCAACCAACCAACCAACCAATCATCCAACCTGCAACCATCCAAACTGCTGGCTCAAAAGATAATTGGTTTCAGGAACCAAGTCATAGCACAACCCATAGGGCATTTGCCTTGTACACGGCCAACCTGGGTTTGATTCCTGGCATCCTATATGGTTCCCCCCAGAACCCCCAGAAGTAATTCCTGAGTGCAGAACCAAGAGTAAGGGGCTGGAGAGATAGCACAGCGGGTAGGGCATTTGCCTTGCACGCAGCCAACCCTGGTTCAATTCCCAGCATCCCATATAGTCCCCCGAGTACCACCAGGAGAAATTCCTGAGTGCAGAGCCAGGAATAACCCCTGAGCTTCGCCAGGTGTGATCCAAAATGGAAAGAAAAAAAAAAAAAAGAACCAAGAGTAAACCCTGAGCATTGCCAGGTGTGGTTCAACAACCCTCTCCTCCACAAAAAAAAGTTTTGTTTATTTTAGGTGGGTGGGGATGGGGGGGGGGCTGAGGAACACTGCCAGGCAATGTTCTGAAAGCCTGGGACATAACCAATGGAATTGGTCCCAGCTGTGCAAAAGGTTCTGCGCTCTGTCCTGGAGAGTGATGCGAAGCGGGGGAGGGGGGGAGGGGGGTGTCAAAACTAGGCTCCTGCGTAGTAGGTGTGTGCTCTGGTCCTTGAAGCTATTTCATCTCTGCCCACAAGAAGGGGGCAGGCTTGTTTTTGTTTGGGGGCTGCACCTGGTAGTACTTGGGGCACCATATTCCATGCCCAGGATTAAGCCAGGGTCGGCTGCGTGTTCGGGAGGTGTCCTAACCCCTTTCCCATCTCTCTGACCTTAGTTTGTCTTTATGGTCTTTGAGCCTCTGAGTCACACCTAGGAGTGCTCTTTCAGTTCTACGCTCAGGGGCCACTCCTGGTGGTACTCAAGGGGTGCCAGGAGTTGAACCCAGACCTTCTACACGTAAAACGTGTGCTCAGTTCTTTTGCTATCTCTCAGGATTTAGTGTGTTTTTTTGCTTTTTTGGGGGGGTGACACCCAGCAATGCACAGGGGTTACTCCTGGTTCATGCACTCAGGAATTACTCCTGGCCGTGCTCGGGGGGCCATAGGGGATGCTGGGAATTGAACCCGGTCAGGTTGCGTGCAAGCCCTGCCCGCTGTGCTATCACTCCAGCCCCTATCTCAGGGACTTAGTATTTGCCAAAATGCATAGAAAAGAGTCAGATGGGAACAATAGTACAGTGGTTAACGATAATATGTAGCCAACCAGGGTTTGATCCCCAGCATCCCCTATGGTCTCCTGAGCACCACCAGGAGTGATCCCTGAACCAGGAGTAAGTCCTGAGCATAGCTGGATGTGACCTAAAAGCCAAAGAAGAGCCAATAGAACAGTGGATAGGGTGTTTACCTTGCAAGTTGCCAACAGGGTTCAACACCCGGCGTACCATATGGTCCTCTGAGGCCGCCAGGAATAATTCCTGAGTGCAGAGCCAGGAGCAAGCTCTGAGCACCACCAGAGCTGTGGTCTAAAAAAAGCCAAAAACCAAAGAAGAGGGCCAGAGGAGCCGCAGATAGACAGTACAGTGGGCAGGGAGTTTGCCTTGCGCATATCTGACCTGAGTTTTGATCCCTGTCACCCCATATGGCCCCCAAGCACCACCAGAAGTGATTCCTGAGCACAGAGCCAGGAGATCCCCTGAGGATCATCAAGTGTGCCCTACCCCCCAAAAAAAGAGTAATCCTTGAGCACTGCTAGGTGTGGCCCAGGAACCAAAACCAAACAAAAAAGAAAAAGGGCCAAAGTCCCTTCACACTTGCTTCACACTCAGTAGACTGAGGTTTATTCCCCAGAACTGCAGATACCTCTGGGCACTGCCAGGAGTAAACCCTGAGCAAAGCAGCATGTGGCCCAAACCCCTTCCAAATACATGTGTGCAAGAATTTTAACTAGAGGAACTGGAGTGATACCACAGCAGGTCGGGTATTTGCCTTGCATGCAGCCGACCCGGGTTCGATTCCCAGCATCCCATATGGTCCCCAAGCACCGCCAGGAGAAATTCCTGAGTGCAAAGCCAGGAGTAATTCCTGAGCATCACTCAGTGTGACCAAAAAAGAAAAAAAAAAAGATAAAAAAAAAAGAATTTTAACTAGAAAGACAGCATATCAAAATGAACATTTTTTTTGGTTTGTTTTTGGGTCACACCCGGCAATGCACAGGGATTACTCCTGGCTCTGCGCTCAGGAATTACCCCTCGCGGTGCTCAGGGGACCATATGGGATGCTGGGAACTGAACCTGGGTCGGCCACGTGCAAGGCAAACACCCTACCCGCTGTGCTATTGCTCCAGCCCACAAAATGAACATTTTTTAGATATGTATTCATTTTATGTTGTAAAAGGTGCAGTTACCTGTTTTTCAGACTCAAAAGGACCCCTCACCTTCTTGGGGCCCGAGGGATAGTACCGCGGGGAGGGTATCTACTTTGCAAAGGCCAATCTAGGTTTGGTTCTGTGCTCCTAGTAAGCTAAGTGTATTTCAATTAGATTCCTAGGCCCTAACACAAATTTGGAGTTAGAATCTTTGGAAGCAAAATATATATGGGCATTTGTGTTCTTACAAAACTCCTAGGAGATTCTGGAGAATGGCTAAGACTGAGAACTACTATTTCAGAGCACAACAATACTAGCATTACTTACCATAAAAAAAAAAATCCCTCTTGACTGTATTGTGTGATTTTCAGTCTGTTGTTAGTGGTGCTACCAGATAGGGGTGCCTAGGAGCACTGACCTGGCCACACTAGCTGTGAGAAACCCCAGCAAGACCCCTTCTGTGGTCAGTGTTGGACTGGACCAGAGTCAGGAGGCCCAAGAGTGTCCACCACACGCGTAACTCAGTGAACTACGGGACCCAACACAGCTTGCATTATGGGAGGGGACGCTGTCTCTGTGCCAGTGAAAATGAGAGAAGATTCTCCAGAGCTTATGTAGGTGTGTGTCAGCCTCGGTAGGGGAGTGTACTCAAGTGCGACTGGAGGCTGGACAGTCCTCTGCACAGCCTCGTATGGCCCCCACGCCCCCCCCCAAAAAGAATGTGTTCTCCAATCTTTGTTTTCTTTGGAATAGATCAATCTGTTGTTGGAAAATATTTTTTTTCTATTTATATCTTGTATCTAGTGTGTGTATAAAAATAGAACTGTGTGTGTATGTGCGCGCGCGCGCGCGTGCGTTTGATTTTGCAGCCACACCGAGCTGTGCACAGGGCTTTTTCCTGGCTCTGGGCTGGAGTCACTCCTGGGGGGACACAGGGGACCAGACTGCGCTCATGCGGTGAAGTTAAACTGGGGTGAAAACATATTAATCCCCATATTTTCTCTCTGGTCTTTGTTGAGTCAACCCCCCGCAATTCTCAGGGGCTACTCCTCTCTTGGTGCTTGGGGTCTCTCCTCACAGTGCTCAGAAGACCACGTGGAGCTGGGGGCTGAGTCACGGCTGAATGCGCTTTGCAGCGACCTCTCAGCCACCTTTTCTCTTGATTATTTCTATTATGGGATGCCACCAGTTTGGCCACACCCAGCAGTACTCAAGATTTACTGCTGGCTCTGTCCTCAGGGATCACTCCTGGCAGTTTTGGGGGATCATGTGGGATTCTGGGGATCAAACCCAGGTCAGCTGTGTGAAAGGGTGAAAGGCAAATGTTCTACCTGCTGTACTATTACTTGGGCCCCAGTGCTACATTCTGATGAAGAGTCAGAGGGCTTGGGGCCCAGAGTGATAGTACAGCGGGTAGGGTGCTTGCCTTGTACACGGTCGATCTGGGTTCGATCTCCAGAATTCCCTATGGTCCCCTGAGCACCGCCAGGAGTGATTCCTGTGTGCAAAGCCAGGAGTAATCCCTGAGCATCTCCAGTTGTGACTCAAAAAAGTAAAAAAAAGAAAAAAAGTTTTTTAATTAAAAAAATAAAAGAAGTCAGACATACAAATTCCTTCTTGTTTATTTAGGAAATGGTATTCTCTTATCTGTACTATTAGTCGTGTTAACACAGTAGCTAGTATATCTTTAAAATATTTATTTTCTGGATCACATCCAGCTGTGCTCAGGGTTTCCTCCTGGGTTGCCACGTGCAAGGCCAAGAGCTTTCCCCACTGTATTATCTCCAGTCCTAAAATAGCTCTTTATTTTATTATTTGTATCTGTTTTGGAACCACACCCGAAGGTGCTCAGGGCTTATAGCTCTGTGCTCAGATATCACTAGTGGCGAGGCTCAGGGGACCATATGGAATGCCGGGGATCAAACCCAGGTTGGCCACGTGTGAGGCAATTGAATTCCCCACTTGTGTTATGTCTCTAACCCTAAAATGGCTCTTTAAATAATAACTTTAAATATTAACATACTTGGTTGTATTCTCTTATATATATACTCAGTCCCTCTCGGAGAGCTACTGAGAGTATCCTGTCCTCATGGCAGAGCCTGGCAAGCTCCCCCTGGTGTATTTGATATGCTAAAAACAGTAACAATAACGGATCTCATTCCCCTGACTGAAAGAGCCTCCAATACAGCAGCGTTGGGAAGGACAAGTAAGGAGAGGCTGCTGAAATCTCAGGACTGGGATGGATAGAGACGTTACTGGCGCCTGCTCAAGCAAATCGATGAACAATGGGATGACAGTGATACAGTGATACAGTGAAATATTAACTAGTGTTAGGGCCAGAAAGATCGGACACAGTGGGTAGGGCGTTTGCCTTGCATGCGACCGACACTGGTTCAATTCCCAGCATCCCATATGGTCCCCCAAGCACCGCCAGGATAATTCCTGAGTGCATGAACCAGGAGTAACCCCTGTGCAATGCTGGGTGTGACCCTAAAAGGAAAAAAAAAAAAGAAAGATTGGACAGTAGGCAGGGCACTTGCTTTGCATGTAGCCAACCTGGCAGTGCTCAGGAGAACATATGGGATGCCAGGATTGAACCTTGGTCAGCCTTGTGCAAGGTCGGCTCTCCCCATTGCACTATTGCTCCAGCCCCACTAATTGGGCTTGAATACGTATATTTCTTTTAAAGACATGTCCTTGGCTGTAGAGACAGTACAGTGGCTAACGCAGTTGTCTTACACAGGAGGTGGCTAAAATGGTCTGAAACCTTCATATAATCTCCTGAGTAGAGTCAAAAGTGGTTCCTGATCACCACGAATGTGACTTAATACAAAAACAAAAAAGTTGAGGGTGGGCTGGAGCAACAGCACAGTGGGTAGGGTGTTTGCCTTGCACGCAGCCGACCCAGGTTCAATTCCCGCATCCCATATGGTCCCCTGAGCACTGCCAGGAGTAATTCCTGAGTGCATGAGCCAGGAGTAACCCCTGGGCATCGCCAGGTGTGACCTCCCCCCCAAAAAAGTTACGGGGACCAGAGTGATAGTACAGTGGGTAAGGTGCTTGCCTTGCACATGGCCGACTTAGGTTCGACCCCTAGCACCTGATATAGCCCCCTGCAAGCACCATTAGAAGTGATTCCTGGGCACAGAGCCCCTGAGCATTTCTGGGTGTGGCCCAAGAACCAAAACCAAACACAAGAAGTTGTACACTTGTTAATCATTTTATTTAAAGTACTGAATAAATATGCAATCCCTAAGAGCTAAGTCACATGCCAAGTATGGAAGACAAGAGGCTGTTACCTCAGAAATCCACATTCATGCTGGCTAAGTCATCGTTCAGTCCGTGTTATTTGGGATCAAATGTAGGGAAAGTGGCCAGGGAGGAGGCTCAAAGTGCTGGAGCACGTGGGATCCATGGGCTGGATAACCCCTGAGCCTTCTGGGAGGGATCCCTGAGCACTGAGCCAGGAAGGGTTACTCCTGGCTCTGCACTCAGGAATTACCCCTGGCGGTGCTCAGGGGATCATATGGGATGCTGGGAATCGAACCCGGGTCGGCCGCGTGCAAGGCAAACACTCTACCTGCTGTGCTATCGCTTCAGCCCCCCTGCACGGCAAGTGCCTTAACCACTGTACTATTCCTCTGGCCCCAGGACTTAAGAAAGGAAAAGGAATTGTGGGACCAGGGAGATAGTTCAGTGGGTAGGGTTCTTGCCTTGAAACGTGGTTGGCTCAGGCTTGATCCCAAGCACCATATACCCCTGGGTGCCACCAGGAGTGATACCTGAGTATAAAGCCAGGTAGTAAACTTTGAATACCGCTGAGTGCTCAAAAAACAACTCCCGGGGCTGGAGCGATAGCACAGCGGGTAGGGCGTTTGCCTTGCACGCGACCGACCCAGGTTCGATTCCCAGCATCCCATATAGTCCCTTGAACACCGCCAGGGGTAATTCCTGAGTGCAGAGCCAGGAGTAACCCCCGTGCATCGCTGGATGTGACCCAAAAAAGAAAAAAAAAGAAAAAAAAAACCAAAAACCTCCCCCCTCATCCTCTCCCCACTCCCCCCAAAAGGGAGAGGTGCTTGCCTTGCATGTACCAAGCCGGTTCCGTCCTAACAGGGAGGAGTGTGCAGGGGAGCACAGAGATAGCACAGCGGGAAGGGCACTTGACTTGCCCTTGCATGCAGACAACCCTGCTTTGATCTGCTGCACTGCAGATGGTCCCCTGAGCCCTGCCAGGAGTGATCCTTGAGCACAGAGCCAGGAATAGTGAGCACTGCAGGTGTGGCTCCAAAAACTTTAAAAAATAAAGTGCAAGAGGAATTGGGTGACCCAAGTCCCTTGCACTGATGAAGTTCCAGAGTTGCTTGTGTGAATGAGGGTGGCCTGAGCTGACAGCTCAGTCTAGTGACCTCTGGGAATATTCCGAGCTGTCCTGTGCGGTCACCGGGTTTCTCCAGCAGGTGTCCGGACTGCAGGCTGGCAAACACATCTTCCACCCCAGGGAGCCCCAGAACCCCACAGGGAGCAGCAGGATGGAGAAGGTACAACTTGGGGTGACTGGTCCTAACTCCTTGCTGGGGATTCCACCCAGGGTCTCACCACTTTCTTGGCAACACCCGGCGGTGCTCCTGGGCCACTCCTGGTGGTGCTGTGGATCTGAACGGGGACAGAGACATGCCTTTAACCCCCTAAATCCCACAACCTTCGAGCTTGTTATTTTGGAAGGACACCCCAGGCGCTGCTCAGGGCTTACTCCTGGCTCTGTGCTTTGGAGTTATTCCTGACCGTACTTGGGGGACCCACACGCAGTGCCGGGGACGGTCTCTGCGTCTGCACTCAAGTGCCTTTCGGCTGTACTTTTTCTCGGGGCCCCTTAACTCCGTATCTCAATATCGATTGCATTCAAGAGAATAAGGAACTGCGGTTGCTGTTCCGAGTCGCACAGAACTCCGTGGCCTCTGACCTCTATCAATCAAGGCTCTGCGAGCGCGCGCGGCGAGGGACACCCCGAGGGGCCGAGTCCGGGGTGGGGACTGGAAATTGCCTCTAGTTCCGGAACAAGAACCGTGTCCAAAGGCGCCTGAGTCACCACCGGCCCCCGGGAGCCGGAAACCACGGAACCCGCCTCCGCTTATCGCGACGTTTCCCCACGAGCCCGAAGAACTACAACTCCCGGCATGCTCCGCGGCCCTCAGGACTTAACCCTTCGGGGCCTGAGGCTCCCGGGCGCCCCGCCTCCGCCTCTTACCTGGATGCTGCAGGGTGAGATTTGGGGGAAATGGGCGAAGGCTTCTTATATTTACGGCGTGTGTGAGCGTGAATGTGTCTTGATTCTTTTATTTAAGAATTAAGAGGTATGTGCGTCTGTCTGATTTTCCTAAGAAGAGAGTTTATTATGAGATTCAGATGCTTTTTGTGTGTGTGGGAGACCCAGTACCAACTTTCTGTGTCGTAATTTTTTGTTTGTTTGTTTTTTTACGACCGTCCGGTTGGGGGCGTGGGGGTGGGAATATTCATGTAGCTAGAGGACCCCACAGCATGCTTTGGATTAGAGCCTTTAGGATTTGGGCCCTTGGCCTGTCTGGGGGGCCCCTTCCCAGGTGCCACCACGGAGGTCATTTCCTTTGTCTGCTTGAATGGCCACTGGCTTGTGCAAGGGGCTTTCTTCCTTCGTAGTGTGGATGGGGGTCTAAGATGGTCTTTCCCTGCCCCTGAAGCCTCTTAGCAGGGACACAATGGTGAGGATCACGCTCCTTTTAATTGAACTGTTCTTTCCTCTTTTTTTGGTGCACAGTTCCAGTTGAGGGGGGCAGGGACTGTAAGTATTAAGCGTTTAGGCTGTGGGGGGGTCAGTGCTCCCATGGTCATTGGGCAGTTCAGGGGCTGCTGTTCATTTATTTGACCTTTCATGGTTTCCAACATTCTCACCTCTCAAGCCGCCCGCTCCCACCCGTAAGCCCCCTCAGCCTTCAGGAGTCCGAAACTGCTGTAAAAAAGGAGCTTGAGAACCTGGAGCTCCAGAATCTCCTTTGCGCCCCCCCCCCCATTGTCTAGTTCCGGCAGGCATCCCCCCACCTCCCCACCCCGGGTTAACTCCCTACTTCAGGGGCTGGCTTCCCCAAAAGGGCCATTGTTCTGGCCAGCGGAGAGAAGACCTTGAGGCCTCAGCTGTGAGCCGTCCAGGCCAGGGGAGTGCGGGCTGCCCTGTCCAGTATCTCCGCTGTCTCACCCATCCCGCCGCCAGCTGGCTCCCTGCCCCCGCCCCCGCCCCTTCACAGCACGGACTCCCGGCTATTTAAACAGAGATGGTGCCCCCATCTTCACTGTGCTCTGGTCACCGCACATCATGCCTCCCAAGAAAGATGTTCCCATGAAGAAACCCACCGGCCTGTCTCTGTCCAAGCCTGCTGCCAAGCCAGCCCTGGGGGCTTCTCCAGCCAAGAGCAAGGCTGAGCTTGGTGCCACCGTCCCTGACAAAACCCAGGACCCTCCCCTCGACCTCTCCAAAGTGGTGGTGAGTCTCCCCCGGAAAGTGAGGACAGAATTTGGAGGGCTCCCTCCCAAGGTGGGGAGACAGCCTAGGGAGTCAGGGGGTATCTTGAAGTGAGGGGGGTGGTCAGGGGCAGGAATAGGAGGCCTTCCGTTGAAAGTCACCAGCTTTCTGACAATTTACTGTTTCCCCCCACTAACCATCCCCATTCCCCCTCCCACCCACCCCAGCACTCCCTGATCCCCCACAGGACCTGTGGGATGGGGAACCTCTGGGCCTCCAGGCAGTTCCACGGTGGAAAGCGGGGAGCTGCCCCGTGCCCCCCTGAGGGAAGGCTGAAGGGGAGACTTGTTAGACAATCACAGCTGGGGGCAGGGGTAAATTTAGCCTTTGTTCAGCCCCCAGTTATGCGAGGGATGTAAGGCTCAGAGCAGGCAGGGAGGGCAACAGGTGGCGTGGGATTAACCCTGTTCCCAGGAAACCCTCCCCCTTATAATTCCTCCCCTTGGGATTCTCCCAAGGCCCCTGCGCTGGGCTCCAGGCCTGGTCCCTTCACTCCTCTCTAGAAGTGGCTGCCAGCTGGCTGGGGGGAGGGGGATAGAGGACCGGGCGCCCTCCTCACCTGCTCTCTTCTTCCACAGATCGAGTTTAACAAGGACCAGCTGGAGGGTGAGGAGACGCTGATTCCCACGTCCCCTATCCACCAAACCCTGGTCAGACCCTCTTTTTGGTTTTTGGGCCACACCCAAAGGTGGTCAGGATAACTGCTGGCGGGGCTCAGAGGACCTTAAGTGTTGCTGGGGCTCAAACCCATGTTGGCTGGGTGCAAGGCAAATGCCCAACCAGGCAAATGCCCAACTTGCTGGTACCATCGCTCCGACCTTCAGACCCTCGTCCTACTCCCTCACTAGGGTCCTGACCAAGGAAGTCCCCACATCTCTCCTCTTTGTGCCTCTGGTTCTGCTCAGCTCACCTGTGATTTCTGACCCTGCTCTCTGTCCTGGGGGGATGGGAGTGAACCCCTGGCCAACACTCATCCCAACTTTTATTTCAGAATTCAGGGAGGCTTTTGAGCTGTTTGACCGAGTTGGGGATGGCAAGATCCTGTACAGCCAGTGTGGGGACGTGATGCGGGCACTGGGCCAGAACCCCACCAACGCTGAAGTGCATAAGATCCTGGGGAACCCCAAGAATGATGGTGAGAGGATCCCTGGAACAATGGGGGGTTTTAGCTTGGGGATGGGACTGACGGATGGAACTAATGTGATGAGGGGTGCTGTGTGTGTGTGTGTGTGTGTGTGTGTGTGTATGTGTATGTATGTGTGTGTGTAGTCTCAGGACTTGAAAAACAGCCTAGCCTGCATGATGAGAGGTGCTGTGTGTGTGTGCGTGTATGTGTGTGTGTGGAGTGTCTCAGGACTTGAAAAACAGCTTAACACAAGACTAATGTGATGAGGGGTGCTCTGTGTGTGTGTGTGTGTATGTATGTGTGTGTGTAGTCTCAGGACTTGAAAAAAAGCCTAACCTGTGACTAACATGATGAGGGGTGCCGTGTATGTGTGTGTGTGTGTGTGTGTGTGTGTGTGTGTGGAGTGTCTCAGGACTTGAAAAACAGCTTAACACAAGACTAATGTGATGAGGGGTGCTCTGTGTGTGTGTGTGTGTGTGTGTGTGTGTGTGTGGTCTCAGGACTTGAAAAACAGCCTAACCTGTGACTAACATGATGAGGGGTGCCGTGTGTGTGTGTGTGTGTGTGTGTGTGTGTGTGTGCTGTCTCAGGAACTTGAAAAACAGCCTAACACGAGCGGGAAAACATCCTGAAGTTTGCACGGATCAAAGCTATTCTGGTAGGAAAGGGAAGTGGGGCCTGGTGACCCCAAGTGACCGCTCCCTCACCTCTCTAACCTCCAGAGCTCAAGTCCAGGCGTGTGGACTTTGAGACTTTCCTGCCGATGCTCCAGACAGTGGCCAAGAACCGAGACCAAGGCACCTACGAGGACTACCTGGAGGGGCTCCGGGTGTTTGACAAGGAAGGGAATGGCAAAGTCATGGGGGCAGAGCTCAGACACGTCCTCACCACCCTGGGTGAGGCCAGGGTCTCCTGTGGAGTAATCAGGAGGGAAGGGGAGGCCAGGCCAAGACAGGGAGTCATGTCCCCCCTAGCCCCCCACCCCTGCAGGAGGAGGTCAGAGCCGGCCAGAATCTGAGGCTAAGGAGAGGGGCACAGAGATGCTTCCCACAGGGTAGAGGGAAGGAGATGAAGTGGGAGGAAGACTTTGTGCCCTGACTTGTGATTTGATGTACACTGAACCCCCAAGAATGGTTTTCTCGGATAAGTTTTGCCAGGTGTTAGCTAATGCTGGTGAAATGAAAGGCAAGATGGAGAAACCCATCCAAGACATTCCCTTTTTTTTTTTTCCGGGGGCGGGGGTCAGTAGGAGTCAGTCTGCAGGGCTCAGGGCTTACTCCTGGCCCTGAGCTCAGGGATCACGCCTGGGTCACGCCCGGCCCTACCCTCAGCATTCCCTTCGGAAGGAAAGGAGGATTGGGGAAGGGCTGCTGTGGGCGAGTCTCCCGGGTGGGAGAGGAGGTGACACCCAAAGAAAGGAGCTTGGCCGGGGTTGGAGGGGTCCAGCCGGCAGTGGCTAAAACTCTGTGCGGGGGGCGCAGGCGAGAAGATGACAGAGGAGGAGGTGGAGACTGTTCTGGCGGGACACGAGGACAGCAACGGCTGCATCAACTACGAAGGTGAAGGCGCGGGGAGGCGGGGAGCGGGGCCTTGGGGGCGGCGCCAGGCCCGGATGGGCGCGGTCGGGGTCCTGCTCCCCAAGCACCCCCTGCCTCCTCCCTGCAGCTTTCCTGAAGCACATCCTGAGCGTCTGAGCGTCGCGCCGCCCCTCTCGGCCTGGGCAGAAAAGCCAGGGGAAGTGCATCTTCGTGCCCGGCTGCGGGGCTCGGCTACGTTCCCCTTTGTCCAGCCCTGGGAGGGGGCGGGGTGGCGGGCGTGACGCCCGGCCCCCTCCCCACTTCCCCCCGCCGGCGGAAGCGCGTTCCCGCCGCTAGGCGGCCACCCCCTGGTTTCAAAATAAAGAGCCGGTTGCTCCCGGGTCTCCGACTGTTGCTTTCTTCGGAGCTGGCGGTGGCGGGGGCTGCGCCGGCTGCAGGGCGGGGCCGGGCCCCGCGCCCAGCCCGGGCGCTGGGTGCGGCCGCGCCCGGCTCGGCGGCGGCGCCCCGCCCCCCGGCGAGTCCTCGGCGCGCGATTGGCCGGCTGCCCGGTGACGTCACGGGCGGCCGCAGCCCGGGGCCGGGCCGGGACCCGGAGCCATTACTGCGGGGGACGCCGGCAGGATGGTGCGGGCCGGGCGGCGCGGGATGCGCGGGGGGCCGAGGCCCGGCGGGCGCGGGCGCGGGGGCCGGGGCGGCGGGGCGCGGGGCGCGGGGCGGGGCCGGGGGGCGCGGGGGCTGCGGCCGGGCGCTGACCGCCCCCCTCTCCTCCGAGCAGTGTGACTTCACCGAGGACCAGACCGCAGGTGGGTGGGCCCGGCCCGCGCCGGGGGGCTTGCTTCGGAGAGGGGCCCTGGGGCCGGCGGCCGCACCCCGACCCGCACCTCTTCCGGGGAGCACTTCCTGGGTCTTCCCGGCTTCCTTCTTCTCACTCTTTCTTCCTCCCTCCCCTCCCACTCTAGATCTGAGCCCCACGCACCGGGTGAGTCTCGGGCGGTGTGTCTGTGGGCCAGCGTAGCCCCTCCTGCCTGCTCCGTGTGCCTCGGGGAGGGTCCACTAAGCTGCCTGCACCCCTCTGTCCTTTAACCGGCGACCTCTGTCTCTCCTCTCCCTCTGGCCGCCCCCGCCCCACCCCCAGCTTGGAATTGAGCCTGTGCAGAGCGGTGACCTGCTGTTTTGCGAGAACGGGGACGGGTTTTGCCGAGGAGATCTCGTTGCTGTACCCACCCCGGGGAGTTTCAGCACAAGGAGGGGTGTGGAGTGGCGGGCCGGGATGACCCCAGTCGGGGCCTCCTGCTCCCACTTCCTTATAAGGGCAGGAGCCAGCCGGGGCGGTGGCGAATTCCTGCCCGGGTGGTAGAGAAAGGGGGGCCTGCTGCAGGGGTGGCGAGTGGGCGAGGGCGGCCCTGGGTCTCTGGGACACCTGAGTGGGGGGGACACAGGATCGCTCCTCAGAGACTTCAGGGTGTCCAGTGGCGCAGATATCCGGTTCCCTGGCGCCACCCAGGTTGAAAGGGGCCAGGGCCCTTTATCTGCCTCCAGCCCCGGTGCGGGGCCCTGAGGTTCGGCTGCTTCCGCAGAGTTCAAGGAGGCCTTCCAGCTGTTTGACCGCACCGGGGATGGCAAGATCCTGTACAGCCAGTGTGGGGACGTGATGCGGGCCCTGGGCCAGAACCCCACCAACGCCGAGGTGCTCAAGGTCCTGGGGAACCCCAAGAGTGATGGTGAGGGTCCCGCGGAGCCCGATGGGACAGTGGTGGGCCCCCCTGCTGGCAGTCATTCCGGCAGGTCATGTCTCAGCCAGGCCTGGGGATGACGGCCGTGGGTGGAATGGGAGCCCCCTGTGGGTGTGGTCCCTTCCTGGGAGGGTGACTGTCCTCCACCTCCCGTGCGCAGAGATGAACGTGAAGGTGCTGGACTTTGAGCACTTCCTGCCCATGCTGCAGACAGTGGCCAAGAACAAGGATCAGGGCACCTATGAGGACTATGTCGAAGGCCTCCGCGTGTTCGACAAGGAAGGCAACGGCACTGTGATGGGTGCCGAGATACGGCATGTTCTCGTCACACTGGGTGAGGCTGCCGGCCGCCCCCCCCCCCCCCCCCCCAGCCCACCTTCCTTGGCCTCCCTGGCCCTCGCAGCACTTAACACGCTGGTGCTCTCCCCCACAGGCGAGAAGATGACCGAGGAGGAGGTCGAGATGCTGGTGGCCGGGCACGAGGACAGCAATGGCTGCATCAACTACGAAGGTGAGGGATGAACCAGGCCCCTTGGGAAAAGCGCTGGGGGTGGGGGGGGCAGCCTCTGGGGCTCTGCCCTGGGTCTAAAGAAATGCCAGGAGGCAAGAGGTGGGGCAGGACCCAGCCCAGCCCGCGGGGGATGGGGGCGGCGGTCCAGGGAAGGGGTGTGTGGGAAGGGATGTCCGTGTAATGTCTGTCCTCCCCACCTGCCCCCTTCACCCCATGTCTGTGTCGTGTCTTCACCATTAATGTCTCTTCCTTCCTGCAGCATTTGTGAGGCATATCCTGTCGGGGTGACGGGCCCATGGGGCGGGTACGGCTCCTCCCAGCCCCCCTTCTCTAGTCGCTCCCCAGTGTTTCCTCCGGGCCTTTGCTCTGTAGCGCCTGCCCGCTGCTACTACCATCTGACCCCTCCCGGCATGTGTCTGCATGGAGCTGGGGGTGGGAGAGGAGGGCTCCAAAGACGAAGACAGCCTTGGGGGGCTGGTACCTCCCCCTCTCTGGGGGTTGCTTCTAGGGCCTGGTTAACAGACCAGCTGCGGTCGGTCTTGCTTTAGGGGGATGCTCTGCCCCGGAGCACGGCCGGCCGGCAGGGGGGTGGGATGCTGCCCTTTGGCGCTGCTCCAAGCTGGTCTCTCCCCTTGCCTCCTGCCGGGGCAGCTTGGAGGTACCTAACCCAAAACTCTGTCTTCTGCCAGTGGCTGACAGTAGCTGTAGGCGTAGTTGAGACTTTCTTGCCTCTGCTGTGTCCCTGCTGCTGGGTAGGGTGGGGGGACACTAACAGCCGAGGGCGGGGGGCGGGGGCCAGGACCCGGCAGCCGCTGCAGACCCACCTCCAGGTGGGCTTCTAGGGCTCCTTCCTCAGGCCGCCTTTGTGGCCGCGTGGTCGCCTGGCCCCCGGCTTCCTGCTCCCTACGGCCCTGCTGCCGGCCTCACCCCCGTCTCCTCCCTCAGAGCTCGTCCGCATGGTGCTGAACGGCTGAGCACGGGCCCAGTGACCCACCCCCAGGCTTTCCCGAGGCTTCCTCGGATCTCTTCACAGAACCTCCCCACTCTGCCCCTCCCGGGCGATGTGGCCATCAGCACTCACAATAAATTTGCTTTCTATGCCCTGAATTTGCCTGTTTTCTGGGTCAAGGGGAGTAGGGTGAGAGTTTGGCTTCAGGTGTCAAGGGGTTGGAGAAGGCTGGGGGACCCTCAAGGGGGGGTCATCGTTTTCTCCCGTGAGGCACCCCGGCCGCTCATTCTCCCCTGGCCCTGCTCATTCTCCGCCCCCCCCCCCTTCCGTGGGGGATGCCTTGGGAACATGTTGGCACCGCCAAGCTGTCCCCTCAGCAGGCCCCGGGCTGCCGAGCACAAGGGAAGCAGGTGAGAGGTGACCAAACTCGCCTTGGGAGGGAGGAAGCCGCAGTGCTGGAGGTGAGGGTGGCCTGCCCCGCCGGCACTGCCCCCGCCCCCCAAGGCGGCCCGGCTGCTGGGGGCCCAGGTCCATGCCTGGCTGTGCTGTCCCTCGGTCCAGGCAAGGCTCCCGTGAGGGACCCGGGAACGCCCCCCAGCCCCCTGCCTGACAGCCACAGGTGAAGAGAACACAGAAGCCTCCACAAGGTGCAACTGAAAGCAAATTAATTTATAAAAAAAAGAGAGAAAAGGAAAAAGAGAAAATTTACAGAAAACTTTCAAACAGAAGGAAGGTGCCAAGACGCAGAGGAAGAGGGACGCGGGGCTGCGGGGACACAGGGCCTGGTGTGGGGGCCTGGGTCACGTCCGCCTTCCCTTGCGGGATGAGAATACAGAGGCTGGACCCCGGGCAGCAGAGCCGAGCTGCGAGCTGGGGCCGGGACTGCCCTTGGGCGGGGAGCCCCTTCTTTGCTGCCCGCCCTGCTCGGTGCCCTCACCTGGCAACCCCCTGAGCTGGCAGGCAAGGGTGGGAGGGAGGAGGCGGGCCGGGTGGTCGCTGGGTCACCGGGAGGAGGTGCTTAAGTGCTTCTGACAGGCTCCCCTCCCCACTGCCGGGAGCCCAGGTCGTGGAGAGAGTGGCCCAGTGGCCTCTGCTCCCACCTGCCACAGAGATCCCCGAGGTGTCCCCACCTCAAACACACATACGCCGACATCAACTATGCAGGTGCCTTTAAAAACACAAAACTGACACTGAGCGGGACGGTGGTCTGGTGAGCGGGGCCTGGAACAGCAACGCAGGAAGCAGCAGGAGAGGTTAGTAGGAGTAAGTGGATGGGGTGGTCGTGGGGGGTCGGGGAGGCGACTCGGCACTAACAAGGGGCGGGGGGCAGGCTCTGCACCCTGTTCTACCCCCAGAGCTCTTCCAGAACCGGGCTCCCCTGCCTAAAACTCACCTCTCCGAACAATGCAAAAGATTCTTTTAGTGAGAAGAATTGGGAGGGAGTTCCAATGTGGGTTTTTGAAATCTACTATGTAAAGGGCTTGATTTTTCCTTTTTTTATCCATTAAAAAAATGCAGTAGTTCTGGAGGGGGAAGTGGCTAATCGGCCTCGCAGACACCTTCCCCCAGCCCTTCCTTTGAGGGCAGCTCCCCCATCCTATCCTCTCTCCTAGACATTAGAAACGTCGTGAAACAAAAGTCCTTAGATAATCCGATATAAAAACGCGCCTCTGGCGGGCACAGTGGGGGCTTTGGAGGGGCAGGAGCTTTCCTTACGTAGTGATGAGCTCTCCGGGCTGGGGAGGGGTCCCCGCAGAGCGGGGGGGCTGTTCCTGGAACCGTGACCTCCACGGGGGTGAGGGAGAGCTGTCGGGCCGGATCCTCACTGTGGAGGCGGCACAGGGGTGACCGTGCCTGGGCTGGGGGCCGTCGGGTCCGGCGGCAGGGGCGTGCCTGGGTCTGCGGAGCAAAGGAAGGCAAGTCAGCGGGCGAGGAGAGGCCAAGCCCCAGGCCACGCAGACAACCAGACCCGGCAGTCGCATGCAATGTTGATGGAGGAGGTGTGAGCCATGGACCGTCTCCACTCCCCAACCCCGCTTCCACCTCACGCTGGGGCCACTGAGAACCGAGATCGTTCTCCTGGCCCGAAGGGGACTCTCCGGGGGGAGGGAGGGAGGGCAGGGCGGCATTTGGATGTCATGGGAACAAGCACAGGGAGGCCAGTCAGCATGCAAACAGGTTGCCAGTTTCCAGGTTTACAACCGAGATGCTCTGTGCACTCGTCCGTGACCCACCAGGAAAGGCCCCGTCATCCCCGAGGTGGCAGCTGTCTAGCTGGGGGCGGCAGGGACAGCGGAGACGCCCCTCCTCCCGTGTCCTCATTATGCTAGAGCGCTCTGAGGGCTGCGGAAGCCCCAGCACCCTGCCCCCTCGGCCCCGCCCCCACGCCGCCCTGTCCTCCCCCGCGTGGACCCCTCGCCCTCACCCTTCTCCCCTCCAGGACCCTTCTCACCTGGCAGTGGGCTGGCACTGGGCAGGAGGTTGCCCTGAACAGCTGCCACAATGGCAGGGCTCTGGGCTGCGGCGGATCCGAGCCCCGGCCCGAGAGGCAAGGAAGATGGCATGGTGGCGGTCGCCGGCAGGTTAGGATGTAGAGGGTTCGCCATGGACACAGGCAGGTTAGGTGGGGGGAGAGTGCCCGGGGCGAACGGGAGATGGTGGTGATGCCCATGCAGGTTAGGAGGAGGGGGGAGGTTAATACTGATGGAGTCGGCTAGGCTACCGAATGGGATGATGGATGGAGCAGGAGGAGGAGGAGGAGGCGGCATGCCGAAAGGCAAACCCAAAGGAGCATTACCGGCCACGCCTGGGTGCCCGCTGCCTGGCACTGCCCCTGGCATCATTGAGGGAGGAGTTTGTTGGTTGGGAAACGGTGAGGGGCCTGGTGGGAAAGGGGAAAGGGGGAGGTGGTTAAGGACCGCCACGCCCGACCCCCACCCCCACGCCCTTCCCGGCAGGGCCTTCCTGGCCTCTCCCAGCTCCTGCTTTCCTTTCCAGGGACCAGGGAGGTGGGGCAAAGTCCCCACGGCCTGGGCTTGGGGGGGCCCTGCTGGACGTGGGCACATGAGCCGGAACAGAGGCACAGCCTAGCTCCCGGTGCCCGGTTCCCCCCTCCCCTCCAAGGGGGCCTGGATCCCTCGCCGAACCCCACTCCTCGGCAAGTCCCAGAACCCGTCACTCACCATGGGGTCCAGGGGGGGGTACCCCTGGCGGGACTGCCCCGGGCTGAGGGGCTCCAGCCGGCTGCTGCTGCTGGGGCACTGCCGTGGGCCCCGCCTGCCCGATCTGTTCGGAGGGGCCCAGGCCCCCTGGAGGGGCCCCGCTGCCGGCAGGGGCCGGGGCCACAGAGGCCTGTGCCATGGCCAGGCCGTGGACGGCGGGCGGCCCCGCGGCCCCTGCGGGCGGGACGGGCTGCGAGCCGGGCGGCAGCACGGGCGGGGGCGGCGGCTGCTGGTGCATCTGCTGGAAGTGCTGCTGCCGCGCCCGCATCTCCGCGTACTTGAGCTGCTCCATGTGGAAGGCCTGTCTGTCCGCCAGGAGCTGCTGCCGCTGGTACTCCAGCTGCGGGGCAGGGGCACCGTCACGCCTCCGTCCGCCCCCCGCAGGGAACCGAGCCTGCTGCTGAAGCCATGAGGCTCCCCGGGGGCCCTCTGATCTGGAAAGGCTTTCCCGCTCCTCTCGCCCACGCCTTTCCTCCCTCCGGTAGCGGCTGGAATGCAACAGAGCCTGTACTTTTCTTTTGCTCTGGTCACTCCCGGCGATGCTCAGGGGTTACTCTTGGCTCTGCACTGCGCTGTCACTCCTGGAGGTATTCAGGGGACTGATCAAACCCGGCTCAGCCCCCTAAAATGCAGCATTCTTAGGAAGCCATTCCAAATCAACTCACTCAGCTCTGAGCCTTCATCTATTCTCTCTCAGGACTTACGACATTTAATTTGAAATCTCTTCATTTATCTATGTGTGTGTGTCTATCTGTCCCCCTGTATGTACATATGTATCCTGTATCTCCTAAATATCTACATATCCTGGATATTGAACCACTCGGGCCTCAGATGTGCAAAGCGTGTGTTCTACCGCGGAGGTACTTCCCTAGTCAGATACAATAAACAACATGAACCTGGGATTGTTTTTGTGGTGCTCAGGGACTCTTCCTGGTTCTGTACTCAAGAGTGACCCCTGGTGACCACACTTGGGGAACCATGTGTGATGCCGGGGATTCAAACCAAGGCTGAGGCCGACACCTGCAAAGCATGCGTCTCACCTCCCGTTCTGATAAACAGGTTTGAAGTCTCCATCCTTCCCTTTCTGGCTCTGAACTGTAAGCTCCCGGTGGTCAGGAGCCCTGTCTTCTCCGTCCCGCCCCCTTTGGCCCCCTGGATCTGAAGCCGGCACCTTCTCACTGCCCTTTCAACCTGTTCACTCACTTCACAGAACAGGAGTCCCCTAGGGGTCAAACACGGTGTAAGGCACAGGAGACACGACAATGAAATCAAACTAACGGGGCTCTCAGCTTCACAGAGTGGAATTCTGTGGGACTTTGGGTTCTGGATTTCACCAGGGGGCGGGGGATGGGGGGATATACATTTCTTTTTCTTCTTTTCGGTGATGGCAGGAATGGAGCTGGGGGCCTCACACATGAAGTTCCTTGGGCTCCTTCTCCCCAGGCACTTTAGGGCTGAGCTGGGCCACTGCTAACTGCCAGGCTGGCCATGCCGTTCTGCTGGCAGCCCAGGCCGAGCTGCACTGCGGGGTAGGCCAGCCTATGTGGGGGCGCCTCAGTGTCCAGGTGGGGTTCCTGGGCTAGAACGATGCCAAGGGGGACGCTACTCACTGCTTCTCGCTCCCGGTCCATGATCGTCTCCAGCTCCTCAAAGTGCCGGAGTTTGATCTCCAGCTTCTTCATTTGCGTCTCCACCAGCAAGGCCACCAGGGACTTGATCTTCCTCTCCTCCACGGCCGCCAAGTGCTAGGAGGCAGGTGGGACAGTGCGTTAGCATCAGCCATCGGGGCCTCAGGGGGTGGGGGCGCTGGGAGGTACTAGGAAAGGACTCGCTCTGGTGACAATCCAGGCTCGAGAGAGACCGTGGAGAAAGAGAGAGCACAGCCCTGGGCAGAAACAGGCCTCGTGGCAAACGCTTCCAAAGGCTTCGAAAGACTCTGGGAGGCGAGGGAAGGAGTCCGGGTGCGGGCGGGAAGCTGGGGAGGGGGTCTGCTAGGCCTGGGCTTCACCTTGGCCTTCACGGCGGCAGCGGCCAGGGCTGCGGCGGCAGCAGTGGACAGGTTGCCCTCCCCGATGTCCCGCTCCACCTTGGTCTTCCTCTCCGCCTCCGGCTCCACCACCTCCTTCAGGACTTCCTCCTGCCCTTCCTTTGGCTCCTTCTCCTTCTCGGGGTCAACTGGGCCCAGGAACGGGACGTGTTAGGCCCGCGGCCGCACTGGCCATCTCGGGACCCCCATCCGCACCACGGGGAGCCTCACCGGTGGGGTCCCCGTCGCTCTTCTCCGACTCCTTCTCACTGTCACCTTCCTTCCCCTTCTCGTCATCTTTCTTGGGAGTCTCACTCGGCTTCTCCTTCGTCTCTTCCTCAACAGCCCCGACTCCTTCTCGGGGTTCCTGAAGCCCCAGGGAAAGGAAAGAAGGGAATATCAGTGGGGCTGGCTGTCTTGCGAAAGGCCCCGGGCTCGAATGGAATTTTCAGCGGGTAGGGCATTTCCCTTGCACGCGGCCGACCTGGGTTCAAGTCCTCCGTCCTGCGCGGCAGAGCCTGGCAAGCTCCCCCTGGCGTATTCGATACGCCAAAAACAGTAGCAAGTCTCACAATGGAGACATTACTGTGCCCACTCGAGCAACTGGATGAACAACAGGAGGACAGTGCAGCGCTACAGTGCTTTTTTTACATTTTTTTTGACTTGTCGTGGTAGCAGGGCTCAAACCCAGGGCCTCACACATGCAAGGCAAGCGCTCCATCACTGAGCCACATGTGATTCCTGGAACTGGATTTAGGCCAGGAGACACGGCCCTCCAAGCCCACCCCTCGTGTGTGCACTGACAAGACCCTGCCCAGACCATGGCCAGCCAGCCTCCACCCCCACCTCTGCCCTGCAGGGCTGACACCACAGTACCTTGGGTTCCTTCTTCTCCTCTGTGGCCTGGCCTTCTGCACGAGGCTCATCAGTTCCACTCTCCTCTGAGCCCATGCGGACAACAAATGGGAAATGTCTAGTTCAAAATCTGTGGTTTGTTTGTCTGTTTGTTTGGGGGCCACACCCAGAGTGAACAGGCATTCCCGGCTTGGTTCTCAAGAGTGCCCCCTGGTGGGACTCAGGGGATCCCTATGGGGAGCGGGCGATTGGAATCATGCAGTAGGATGCAAGAGAAACATCTTAACCCTTGCACTATCTCGCCACCCTCATACCTGTCTTTGTGCCTTTTTTCTTTTAAAGGGGGAGAGGGAGCCCACACTCAGCGGTGCTCAGGGCTCACTCCTGGCTCTGTGCTCGGGGATCACTCCTGGCAGGGCTTGGGGGACCATATGGAACACCAGGGATCAAACCCAGGTTGGCTGTATGCAAGGCAAGTCCTATTGTGGCTCCTATAATCTTTTTTTTTGGGTCACTCCCGGTGATGCTCAGGGGTTACTCCTGGCTGGATCTGTGTTCAGGGAGAACTTGGAGAACTCAGGGGACTGTACAGGGCGCAGAGAGCAAAATGCGGGTTGGCTGTGTGCAAGGCAAGTGCTCACCCACTGCACTGTGGCTCTAGCCCCGCTGCTTCCCTAACTGCCCCTCCCCCAGGCAGAGTGTACTGAGAGGATCCCCAGGAGGGCGCCTCGGTCCCAGGGAAACCGCCCCACCCCCGTTCCTGCTGTCCTGGGAGCCTGAGCTGAGGCCGTACTTCGCGTGTAGCGTGGCCCTGGTTCTGGGTGGAAGGGGAGGAACAAGGGGTCCTGCGGGGCCTCACCAATCCGCTCCGGCTCGTCTGACGTGGTCCCTGCGATGCCGCTGCTCTCCAGACCGAAGGCCGGGTCGGCCTTGCCTGTCACCTTGGCCGCTTCTTCCACTTTCCGCACGTGGGCCTCCACCAGGGCCGTGGGCACCTCCTCCTTCATCTTGGAGAACTCTTCTGCAAGAGCCGGCAGGTGAGGCTGGGAGCCGGGCCGGGGGCAACTCTGGCCTCTCCTGCCCATCTCTCCATCAAGACCCACCGGGAGCCAGCCCGGTGCTGAGCAGACGGCGGCAGCAAGCCAAGGGCAATGGCCGGGCAGCCCAACTCTTAAAGGGGGCCAGGAGGGTTTGAGGCCTGAGCCAGCGGCCCTTCAAAGGCAATCCCGGCAGGCTGGGGCCCTGCCCCATTACCTAGGGCTGACTTGGCAGCAGCAGAGGCGACTCGCGGATCCACGACAGACGCCAGGAAGGCGACAGTGCTCATGACGGGGTTGCCCGATTGACTGAAGGGGATGGGCTGGTAGGCCAAGGGGCCCAGGGAGGCCTCCGAGTCCTCCAGGTATGGGTCTTCAATGGGAAGGCGAAGGAAATGCAAGATGCACTCGTCCTGCGTGCGGCTGCCCACGTGCTCGGACACTTTGTTCCAGTCGTCCTTGTACATTTCCAGGGCCTGGCGTGGCGGAGGAGACGCGGCTTCGCTCACTCAGCCACCTGCCGCCTCCACGGCCAACCCCCTCCCGGCTACCCAGGGGAGCCAGCTCCCGAGCCTCTAGGCTGGTGGCATCTGCGGACTCCGCAAGGTCCCTGGGGACTCTGCAAGTGGCCCCAGGAGAGGCGAGGGAGGTCGTGAAATGCCACGAGCCCCGGGCCTAACGCAGGTGTCCCCGGGAGGGCAGGAAGGAGCGTGACTGGGGGCCCGGAACCGCTCTCCCGCCCATAACCGGCACTGTGCTCCGTGCACCCTAGAAGGCCTCAAATGCACCCTTGTTACCTCCAGCAGGAGCAGCGTCTCCTGTTCGGTCCACTCCCGGGTGGCACTGGCCGCAGCTTTGCTCTGCAGGGGAGACGGGAGATGAGCGGGGAGCCCCTGAGGAGCGCGGCCCCCGCCCCGGCCTGGCCTGGCCCGGCCCGGCCCGGCCCGGCCCCCCCTACCTTGGAGGGGACGTTCTTCTTGGTGTACATGTCGGTGCGCAGCCCGAAGTTCTGCATGTCTGTGGGTTTCTCTTTGCCTTTGTCGGGGAAGTTGAGCATTTGCTGGGAAGCAGAGGTCTGCTGCGCGCGGAGGGGAGAGGACGGGTGAGTGTGGGTGAGCGCCAGGAGGCGGGCAGACAGAAAGAAAAGACAGAAGGAGCTTCCTTCCCGAGGCCAGGGACACCCCTGGGCGGGCGGTCCTTCCTCACTGCTGTCGGTCCTCTGCTCTCACGGCTCTGGTTTCCGGGCAGGGGTTCCCCCAGTAAAGGGGCGAATAAGAAGCTCAGCGGGGTCTACACCCCACCTACCAGCTCTGGCTTGCCCTTAGCCGTCTCTGGCACCAGGTCATCCAGCTCTTTGCCCTTTCGCCCAGCCTTGGTATCAGCATCAACCTGGCGGCCCTGGGGGACAGAGCTTGGTGTCATGGAGGCTGGGCAGGAAATGACCAGGCCGAGGCCCTGGAGGCCTCACAACCAGTGCTGGGTGGCCCGTGAGCTCTGGGGGCTCCTCCTTGATCGACCGGCTCTTTGGCAGGCATGAACTCCATGAACATTCATTCACGTGTATCTTTACAGGTCCTCTTGGGGACCTGAGAGTTCCGCTCTAGGCCTAGTCCTCTGTGGCCCTGGGCAAGTCCACATAACCTTTCTCCTCTTATTTCCTGCGATGAGTGACATGGAAGTGGAGTACAAAAATGGAAGTGATAATAACTATGAGGCAAAAAAATGAAAAAAAAATAAGGCTGGAAACATGAGTAAGTGGAAAAAAAAATTCATGCAACAAAATTTTAAGCGTCCCCCCTCTATCTGCTCCATCTCGCCTATCTGCCACTCGAGGACAAGGAGCACTTCTTCTCCCTCGGCCAAGTTCTCGCGGTCTTAGGGACAGACACGGAGAGAAGCTGCTAAACACATGGGGCTGCTTCCTGTGACCCTCTGCGTTCCCCGGAAAAGGAAGAAGCCCGGAAACACTCCTGAACCAGCAGCCGAAAAACTAGAAACAGAAAAGCCCAAGAGGCCCGACGCACCCACCCAGCCGTCCCCACAGCCCCTCACCCTACCTGCGGGGTTTTGGGCTGCAGAGGCACCAGCCCTGACGGTGTGTCCGCCAGCACGTGGAAGTGAGAGGTGGGTGGAGGCCCCATTGGGGTTGGCCGACTCTCCGCATCCACCTGGTAGTTAATGAGACCCCACTGTTCGAGGAAGGCATGGACCCTGTGAGGAGAGACAGCCCCAAGGGCCGGGGGCGGTGAGCGAGGCGGCAGCGGCGGGCCTCCAGCTCCCTCCCGCTGGGGCTTGTTCTCTCCCGGGAAGCCCCTGCCCCCCACCACCTGAGCTCGGGCCTCTCCCCACACCTGCCCGCCTCTGCTCAGCATCTGGCGACTGATGCTGAGAGCACGAGTGTCCACCCCACTTGTCACTCGGACCCTGAGCCCACCCTCCCCCGCTCCCCATCTCTACTTCCGGCCAGTCTCCTCTCCCTCACCCCTGGGCGGCAGGACCCACCTCATGATGGCACAGACGTCACCCGCCAGGTTCCTGCGGCAGGCGGTGGACGTGAGATACTCCTGTGGGTTGAGCCGGTACGTGTCAATCATGAAGTTCCGGTAGGCCAGATAGCTTATGGGAGAGACAGGACAGGGGAGAACAGTTTAACGTCTGTCGAGGGCTGGCGGCCAGAGAGAAGGACGGAAAAGATAACAGCTTCTCCAAAAGAGGGGCCAAGGGGCTGGAGAGAACAACAGTGCCTCGGGCACTCGCCGTGCACACGGCTGACGTGGGCCCAATCTGCAGCACCCCATCAGGTTTCCCGGTGCTCCACCAGGAGTGATCCCCGAGCACAGAGCCGGAGTAAGGCCTGAGCACTGCCGAGTGTGGTACTCTGCCACTCCCCATAGTAAAATGAGTGGCCGAGGGTTGGGGAGGGCGCTTAATGGGCTACGCAGGGAACCAGGGTTTGATCTGTGGCACCACATCTTGTTCCCCAACCCCACGGGGAGCGGCTCCCAAGAACACAGCTGGGGGCAGCCTCTGAGCACCACGGGGTATGGCCCCTGGAAGAGAAATAAAAACACGGGCCAGGAAGACAGTGCCGAGGTTACTGGATGCAGCCGTAGCACGTGCCAGGCAGCTAAAGAAGTGAAGAGAGGCACAGGCGGCTCAGGGAACTCCGTCGGTTCACTAGGCACTCGACGCGAGGGACGCACACATTTCGTAGTCTTCTGGGTGGGATTATTTCACTTCTTTGCTTTTTGGGTCACACCCGGCCATGCACAGGGTTATCCTGGCTCTGCACTCGGGAAGTACTCCTGGCGGTGCTTGGGTGTCCATATGGGACGGTGGGAATCGAACCCGGGTCAGTCGTGAGGAAGGCAAACCCTACCTGCTGCGCTAGCACTCTAGCACCTCTTTATCTGACTTCACAACAGCTGGGGAACAAACCCAGCGCAAGACACAAGCTCCGCGGCGGAACCACATCCCCGGCCTTGGTTTTGTTTATTTACGTAGTTTTGGCACCGCCTCGAGCCGTAACTGAAACTACGGCTGCCCTGTGCGCAGGTGTTGCTCCGGGTGGGACTCAGGGCTGTGTGGTGCCAAGAAACAAACGGGTTGGCCACAGGCAAGGCAAACACCCAAACACTGTCACATCGCTACAGTCCCCCTTCGTGAAGGGGCTGTTAGTGTTTTGGGCCGCCTCCGGCAGGTGTGCCGATTAGGGGATGGTGCTTGGGAACTGTGTGGTGCCAGGGGCCCCCATATGCAGAGGAAGCGCTCCATCCTTTGGGCCCGACACTTCTGGAGGTGCCTCTTCAGAGTGTTGGCAGCCCCCAGGGCTACCTCTGGAGCCAGGGTTTGAACTGGGGCCCTGGGCATGCCAGGCTTCAGCTCCAGCCCTGAGAGGGCGCTGATGGGGTCACCGCAGTGGTACTGAGGGGTCACTCCGTGCAGTGCCAAGGACAATGTCCTAAAGTGCTGGGGGCTTGAAGCTGTTCCTGCAAGTACTCAGGGCTACTTGCTATTTCTGTGGTGACTGTGGGTTGCGGTGTTCCACACTTAGTTGTATTCACTGGAAGTGCCTATTTATTAGTTTGGTTTTGGGGACACACCCAGCAGTGTTCGGGGCTTACTCCTAACTCTGGGATCACGCCAGGTAGACTTGGGGAATGCACTTTGAAAGCGGAAAGAGTGAAAGTGCTAAGCTTGAATCACACTTCTACCACAAATACTGCAAAGGTCCTAGGCAAGTCACTGAAGATTTTTTCAACCTCAGGGGCTGAAGAGATAGTACAGCGGGTAGGGCGCTTGCCTTGCTTGAGGCTGACCCGGGTCCAATCCCTGGCACCTGAGCCCTGTCAGTGATTCCCGGAGAGCAGAGCCAGGCGGATGCTCTGAGCACGGCTGGGTGTGGCCCCCAAACAAACAAAAAGATGTAGCACAGTGCTGGGTACGCTTAAGAATCTCCAAAAAGTAGAAGCTGAACTGGAGAGACAGTTCAGGGTTAAAGGTTAAAGGGTTAAAGGGCTCGAAGAGATAGTATAGTGGGTAAGGTGGGATCAATGGCTGATCCGGGATCAATCCGGGCATCCCGTATGATCTCCCCAGCCTGCCAGGAGTGATGTTTGAGCACAGAGCCTGGAGTAAACCGGGTGTGGCCTCAAGACAAAACCAAAAAGAATAGGAGGAAAGGGGTCAGTCTTGAGTGGGGCTGACTCTGGTTCAATCCCTAATACCGCCTGTTGGGAGTGAGCAGGATCAGAAACAGCCCCCGAGCACCCACTGCTGAGTGCGGTCCTAGTCCCCCTGCAAAGAAAAAAAAAAGGCAGAAGATGGGACCAAGAAGACAGTTCACAGGGTGAGTACGCTTGCTCTGCCTACAGGAGGCCTGCGTCTGGCCACATGGTCTGCTGAGTATCTAAAGACTTATCCTTGAGCCCCGTGCCAGGAATAACCCCCAACGACTGCCAGCTGTGGCCCTCAAACAATGAAGCCAAAAAAGGGAGGGGAAGAAAGTGTCAATGTCAAAAACCCTACCCAGAGCAACAATGCAGTGGGTAGGGTGTTTGCCTTGCAAGCAGCCAACCTGGGTTCGACCCAGCATCCCATGAGGTCCCCTGAGCATAGGAGTAATTCCTGAGCATAGAGCCAGGAAACCCCTGACCATCGCCAGATGTGACCCCAGCTCGCCCCCCAAAAAGAAAGAAAACAGAAAATACTGTATAGTATGTCAAGTTTAAGAACAGTAGCTACAGGACCGAACAGCTAGAGCAGTAGAGCCTTTGCCTTGCATACAGCTGACCCAGGTTCAATCCCCAGCACCCCACACGTTCCCCAGAGCCCCACACGTTCCCCAGAGCCCCACCAAGGAGAGCAGAGTCATGAGTAAGCCCTCAGCACAGCAAGGTGAGGAACCAAAGCGAACAAACAAACTGAAAAGCACAACAGCAGCAAAGTGTCCACACCTGGTTATACTGCTTACTAGCAGGGGAACCCGGACCCGCGGCTGCCCATGGATTGCCATGGCTCACACTGATCACGGTTATTAACACAAATGGCATGATTTAAGCCCCCAATACCCTAGTCAGTGTTCCTGATCAGTAAGCTGGAGCTGATAATGAGGGGCACCGTTTGTTTCGTAGGGCTGGACCCCCAGCACTGCGTCACACCCCTTGGCCAAACAGGCCCAGCGGACACTACAGCGGAGGTGAGTGAAGGCTGGCGAGTTAGCACAGGGCAAGGGCACTCACCTTGTATTGCCAACCCAGGGTCGATCCCCAGGACTCCATATGGTCCCAAGCCCCACCGGGAGTGATCCCTAGCACTAAGCCAGGAGTAAGCCCTGACCACAGCGGGGTGTGACCCCCAAACAAACAAAACTCCAAAACACAAAACAGCCAGCCTGCGCTGGCTTCACATCGGAATTCGTCGATGGTTCTGGAGTCTCCCTGCCCGTTCCTCCTGTTCTTCCCCTGTAAGGCCCTTCCCGACATCCTGTGCTTAGGCAAGACGGTGGCTGTGAGGCCATGAGTCATTGCTGCCAGTAAAGCTTCCTTGACCTGCCACCCAAAATAAGTAAATGGGTGAATAAATAAGTGAATCAGTAAGTACAGCCACAGTTGATGTACGTAGGACACTCGGAACTAGCAGGCTTCTGATAAACTCAGGCAATGCTCATCACTTAGAATGGCACACGGTGGTTTTGGTCCTTGTACCTTCATTCCTATCACCTGGTCACCGCTTTCCTTTCCCCTGGAGAGCAAGGCTTCAGCACTCCTTGTGCCGGGGGCGGGGAGGGCTTAGTATCCCCACCACTTCACCCTTCAAGGCCAGGCAGATTGGGGCCAGGAGACTCTCTGTACCCTGGCGGTGTGTTACAGAACTGCCTCTCAGAGCGCCCCTCCATCCCATCAAATTCAGTCCCTAGTCTTCATAGTTCTGCCCCATCTCTTTTTTGGGGGGCACGCCTCGCAAGCAGTGCTCAGGGGGCCCAGGGGATTCACAGGCTGAGCAGGCCAGATGGTGAGTGACCAGCCCCGGGATGCTGTACCACTGGGCGTGGCAATGCTGGGGTCACCAGGGTCATCCTGCGGTGTTTGGGGGCAAGCCCATACCTGCTGGTACTCGAGAGGGGGAGGTCGGGGGCATGCAGTGCTGAGGACCAGACTTGGGGTTACACTGCAGCCCTCTGAGCCATCCCCTTGGGCACCTGGATCCCCTGCATCTCCCACCCCCACCCCCCAAGTTTTTGGGCCACACCCAGCAGTGCTCAGAACTTATTCCTGGTTCTGCACTCAGGGATCACTCTTAATGGACTTGGGGGGGCACATACAGGGAACCGGGGGGGGGGGGGGGACGCGGACTGATCACGTGTAAGGCAAGTGACTTACTTTACCTGCTGTGCTATTGCCCCAGTCCCCTCCCCTCTGTCTTGTTTTTTATTTGGATTTTAGGCCATACCCAGTGGTACTCAGAGCTTATTCCTGGCTCTGTGCTCAGGGGGCCACTCCTAGTGGTTCTTGAGGGACCTCGTGGGGTGATAGGGATCAGACTGAGTCGACTGCATGTAGCACAACAGACTTACCCCTGCACTATCTCTCCAGTTCACATTTTCTACCAAAACCCACTCTCAGAGACCAGCCTGGCAAAAGTCATTTACATTTCAGAAAGGTTATTATACAAGCGAGGAATATTTACATTGGAGACAGTCCCAGTAAGTTGGGATTTAGACTCCATTAAAAGAATAGAGGAACCAGACAGTCTAATGGGTAGGGTGCCTGCCCTGCAAATGGCCAACCCAGACTTAATTCCCAGCATCCCATGGGGTCACCAAGCACTGCCAGGAGTAAGCCCTGAGCACCACCAGGTGTGGCCCCCAAAACCAAAACCAACAAAGAGAAGGAATTAAAAGCACCAAAGCAGGGACTGTTCCAAATGCTCAGAACTAGTGTGAAGCAGATGCAAGGCGCCGAGTTCAATTCCTGGCACTGCACGACCCCCCCCCCCCCCCCCAGCAACGCCTCCCTGCAAAGCACAGAAGTGCGCATAGTCCCTGAGTCCCACCAGGTGTTGGACCGCAAAACCAACAAGAACGCTGGCTAGCCTGGCCGAGGGAGGGCACATGTACGTGAGGAACAAAACGCGGGCTGAGCCGGATGCTGGGTCAGGGCGGGCGAGCGTGGACAGGAAGGAGAGAGGGGACTGTGGGCTGAGGCCTTCTTACATTTCTGGAGTCTTGGACTTGTTCTTGCCGTTGAAGAACTCGGGGAGGGCTCTCCGCTCGATGGCATGAACGCTGCAAGGGAAGCCAGGGCGGGTTCAGAGGGCGCCCCCGGAGAGGGCAGCCCCGCGGGGAGGCACCGGCCTGGGGAAAACTCTCCCGCCAGGGCTGCAGGAGGGCAAGAGGAGCCGCTCCGGAGCCCTCAGCACGCCCTGGTCTGCCCGCCCACCCTTGGGGACGGAGTGGCGGTACCTGTTATAGTCGAACCAGGCGGCGTAGCTGGGGATGATGATGTGGTGAGTCTGCTCGGTCACGTTGTCCTCGTGCAGGTCGGGGTTCTTGGTCTGCTCCCCCTTGTTCCCAGTGCTGTTCTCATCCTCATCCTACAAGCGCAGAGGCCGTTGAGCACCCGGCACTCCTCTCCTCCCCTACAAACCACCCCTGGCTCCTGCACGCCGGGAAAGTGGGCACTAACGATGGACCCGGGACGGTCCCCCTGACCCGCAACGGGTCAGTTTTGTGCGACCGCCAGAATCAGCCTAGGGTGGGAGAAGCCTGGGCCACAGAGAGCTCTGGGGAGGAGGAACTTCACAGCCACAAATCAGAACCACGCAGAGGGGTCCCGAAACTGGCTTCACCTTGCCCGTGGTCTCCATGCTTTCGTCCTCCTGTTCATCTGAAAAAGACAAGACCGTGAGCTCGAAGGCAGGCATGTCCCGGGGACAGGCAAGGAGAAGCCCCCAGCCCCCGCTTGCCCGGCTCCCCTCTTACCCAGGTCAGTCATGGTGCCTCCTTTGACAGGGGCAGACTCCGAGTCCTTCTTCGTGTTGACTGTTGGGAGAGCAAAGTGCTACGATCAGGCGGGTTCTGCCTAGATCAAGCTTCACTGCATCCATGCTATACTTTCTTTTGGTTGGGGACAGAGGGGCTCAAAACCAGTGGTGCTCAGGGGCCAATCCTGGCTCAATGCTTGGGGTACTACGTAGTGCTGGGGACGCTGCCCGGCACAGAAAGCGTGTGTGCACCAGCCAGTGAGCCATTAAGACCTCGCTTTCTCCAAAAACTTCCTCCATTTGATCTCATAATATAGTCACTTCCTCCAATCACAATCTTCTAGGGCCTGAAATTCACATGTCATTTTCACCTTCCCCAGCCAAAATCTGCTTTGAACATTTTTTTCTCTAAAGGTTCTCTGGGTCAGGGGCTGGAGTGATAGCACAGTGGGTAGGGTGTTTGCCTCGCACGCGGTAGACCCGGGTTCAATTCCCAGCATTCCATATGGTCCCCTAAGCATCGCCAGGAATGATTCCTGAGTTCATGAGCCAGGAGTAACCCCTGTGCATCACTGGGTGTGACTACCCCCCCCCCCCCAAAAAAAGCAAAGATTCTCTGGGCCAGGGGCCAGAGTGACAGGATAGCAGGTAGGGCACTCACTTTGTACGTGGCCAAACCAGGGCCCAAGCCACTAGATCTCACATAATTATCCAAGCTGCCCAGGAGTGATCACTATTGAGTATGGAAAAGAATTTCTGGGCCAGAGATATGGTTCAGTGGTCAGCATCTTTTTTGGGGGGGGGGGTGGGGGTTTGGTCCACACTCAGTGGTGTCCAGGGGTTACTCCAGGCTCTGCACACAGGAATTACTCCCTTAGGGTGCTCAGGGGACGATATGGAATGCCAGAGATCCTGCTGCACTATCGCTCTGGCCCCGGAAGTGTCTTTCTTAATGCTTCTCTAAGCACCAAATATACATCCTTATTTTGCAAAGCCTTCATCTGTGTGTTCCGGAGTCTCCCAGCAGTGCTCAGGGCCCTTCCCATGGTATGCACCCTGGCTCTGTGCTGTGCCCATCCTCTGGGTAGGAGTTATGTCCTACCCAATCACTCCTGGGGTACTCAGGGGTTCATATGAAGCGCTGGGGATTGAACTGGGATTTGCCACACACACAGCAAGCACCTTACCCACTATAATATCTCGCCATCCTCTGGTTTTCATAAGTTCTCAAGAGATACAATAGTGTGACTGATCCACTAAGGGGGATTTCAAAAATATAAAACATGGGGCTGGAGCGATGGGTGGTACATGGTGGGGGGGCACTACCCTTACACAGGGCTGACCCAGGTTTGACCCCTGACACCCCATATGGTTCCCTGAGCCTGCCAGGAGTGATCCCTGAGTGCAGAGCCAGAGTAAGCCTTGAGCATAGTATAGTTCCAAATATACAAAATATTAAACACGTTTGAAAGTAGAAGTTCTTCAAGTGAATTCACACACAAATGCACAAGAGAAAACATAGAGGAAGGGCTTGGACAAAGGGGGGCAGGGGCACAAAGTCCTCTCTTAGGACCCCACCCCTAAAACACAGTCCTGGATACTGGTGTAAGTCTATAAGAAATAGAATTGGGAATCAAAATAGTACTCTGATGGCCCGAGAAAAGTCCTCACTGAGGATGCTGAAAGGGTGCGCAGGACACAGGCAGAAAAGATCGAATTCATTATATTAGTGTGGGGGCTGGAGCGATAGCACAGCGGTAGGGCGTCTGCCTTGTGCGCGGCCTACCTGACCGACCTGGGTTTAATTCCTCCGCTTCTCCCGGAGAGCCTGGCAAGTTACCGAGAGTATCTCGCCTGCACGGCAAAGCCTGGCAAGCTACCCGTGATGCATTCGATATGCCAAACACAGTAACAACAAAGTCTCACAATGGAGACATTACTGGGCCCGCTCGAGAAAATCGATAGGAAAAGGCAGTGTTACTTCAATGACAAAAACAAGAGAGTTGGGGACAACTGCTCTGGGACACAAAGCACATCCACAACTCAGATGGATGAGTATGGTGGCGATGAAAATGATTTCAATAATCAGGGGCTGGAGCGATAGCACAGCGGGTAGGGCATTTGCCTTGCACGTGGCCGACCCAGATTCGATTCCCGGCATCCCATATGGTCCCCCGAGCACCGCCAGGAGTAATTCCTGAGTGCGTGAGCCAGGAGAAACCCCTGTGCATCGCCAAAAAGCAAAAACAGGACAAAACAAAACAAAAAAACAACTGTTTTTTTGGCAGCCACATCTGGCAGTGCTCAGGAGCCACTCCCAAGCCAGTGCTTGGGGGTCACTCCTGACAGTGCTCAAGGAAGCACATGGTACCAGGCAGTGGCCGCAGGTCTCCAGCATACAAAGCGAGTGCTCAGCCCACTGAGCTATCCCTCTGCCCACTGGCCAGTATCTAACAGGCAAAGATCGTCCAGATGTGGAGCTGAGCCTGGGAACCAAGCCCACCCACAGGCTGGGCAGAGCAGGGCTAGGACAAGGAGTGCGGGAGGTCCAAGCTGCCCGGCCTGGCCCATACCTGTCTTGGGCAATGTCACCTCTTCTACGTTGGGGACTGGTGAGGGTTCATCCAAGTCCTTTGTTAAGTCTTCCTGCTCCTCTTCTCTGTGGCCGCGCTTGGACTTGGTGTAAGGTGTTGAGGGACTTGGAAGAAAAGAGCAAAAGAGAAACCCATCATCCTTGGGCAAGAAGTCCCCGAAGCAGAAATTCCAGGGAAGGGAAACCGGAGAGATTTTAAGGGAAGAGGGGATTTCTTGAAATTCTTGAACTATCGGAGCATCCCATATGGTCCCCCGAGCATACAGCGGGTAAGGGCGGTTTGGTGTTTTGACCCCAACGGGTTGCTCAGGGAAGATAGAGTTCAATCCCCAGAATCCTATAAGGTCTCCTGACCACCGCCAGGAGTAATTCTTGAGTGCAGAGTCAGGAGTAACCCCTAAGCATTACTGGGAGTGGCCCCAAAACCAAAGAAAAAAATTAAATAATCAAAAAAAATTTTTAAAAAGAAACACTAGTTGAAAAGACAGTTTATCGATTAAAAAACTTGAAAAAGGGGCTGGAGTGATAGCACAGTGGGTAGGGCATTTGCCTTGCACGCGGCCGACCCGGGTTCAATTCCCAGTATCCCATATGGTCCCCCGAGAACTGCCAGGAGTAATCCCTCAGTGCAGAGCCAGGAGTAACCCCTGTGCATCGCCGGGTGTGACCCAAAAAACAAAAAAAAACTTGAAAAAGTTGTTAAGGGAAGCATACACAGAAAAATGCTGCCACAATGTGAGGGAAAATGGCAAAAGTTTCTCCCCCGACGCTCGAACTTTCTTTGAATTTCCTAGAGCTCATGGCTGGAATCACCTGGCAAAGCTGCACTCCCCTGGGATGGCAGCAGAGGTTCGAGCAGGTGCAGGGGACTGGGAGGGATCGCTCCCCCCTCCCTCCCTCCTTCCTCCACAAGGTGGGCAGAGAAAGGGGAGGGCAGGGCAGGGGAGGGGGCAGCCTACCCCTTCTTAGCATTTTTCTTTTTAGCTTCTGGGGTTGGCGAAGGAGAGGGCGAGCGTTTCCTCTTCTTATAGTTGCCCCCCTTCTTGTCCCGTCGATCAGAATCTGGGCTGTTCACCTGCAGGATGGAAAAAAGGGAAATGTCAGCCAACAGTTTCCAGAGATGATGACATTCAAGACTTGTGCACCGGGCTTCAGGGAAGAGAAGAAGGGATTTTTGCCTCATCTGTCAAAGTTTTGGCCGAAATCTTCTTTCGGCGGGAAACGGGGTTTTTGTCATCATTCACTTCATAGTCTTCCTCGTTCATCCATTCGTTGAAGGTGTCGGTGTCAAGGATCCACTTTGCATGGACCTAGAGTGCAAAGGCGGAGGCAGGAGCCCAGGGTCACCCCCAGCACCACCGGGAGGGGTCCCCAAATAAACACCACCAGGCGTGGCTCAAAAACAAAAACCATCACCAAAACATGCCCAAAGGCCAGCTGCGCTAGAGAAGTCTAGAGGCGAGATGTGTCTGGGACCCCTGACGTCACCCAGGGTGCAGGTGCCGCTGGAGCGCCTCCCAAATGGGCCCTGCCCTGGCACCCTTCTCGGGCTACGGGCCAAGAACTCACCTTCCTAGGTTTCTCCGGAGTTGGAGCATCTTCCACAGATGCTTCAATTTCACTGGCTGGGATCCACGTGTCATAACTGCCATGGGAAATTGAGCATAAAGGAGATATAATGAGAAGTTGCAGAAACAAACCTTCTACCGCCTAGATTTACAAAAAAAAAAAGGATTGTGTTATTGGTTATTATGCGAGACATTTTTGTAAATACAGTCACAAAATATTTTAAGAACAGACAAAAAGCAGGCATGTGTCTTGCACGAGAGGTTTAATTCCCGTCACCCCATAGGGATCACCGAACACTGCTAGAAGTGATTTCTGAACACCGAGTGCATGTGCACACACATGTGCATACATACCCACATACACGCACACTCCACACACACACACACACACACACACACACACACGCTCTCTCTCTCACTCCACAAACACTTCCGACAGTGCTTGGGGATCACATAATGTGCAGGATGAAACCCAAGCCTTCCACATGCAAGGCACCTACTCCAGGCCTCACAGCTGCCTCTCCCGCCCTTTTCTTTCAATTTCCGGGTCACGCCTGACTCTCCATACCAGACGGTGCTTAGGGGCTATTCCCAGCAAGGTGTCCAGTGGACACTCAGTGTGGGTCATGCTGGGACCTTTCTCCCACAAAGCACGAGCACTTACTTGCCTTCTCAGCTGCCCCCAGCCCAGCGATGTGTTTTTCACAGGGACTTGTTGTGTGTGTGTGTGTGTGTGTGTGTGTGTGTGTGTGTGTGTGGCAGGGGAGTTGCCCGTGCTGGCAGTACTCCAGGACTACCTCCAGCTTGGTGCTCAGGGGACCATGCAGTGCTAGGGACGGAACCTGCGCCTCAAACACGTCCTAGAACAGTTTTCTCTCCCACCCGCTCCCCATTCTCTATACAATGGCTACCTCAGAACTGGATACTAGATGGCATTTTACATCCCGTGTGTGTGTGTGTGTGTGTGTGTGTGTGTGTGTGTGTGTGTGGTGGAGGGGGACACGCTTGAGGGGTGATACTGGTGAAACTGGGTCATCTGGACAATTCGGTACTTGAACCTAGACCTATTGTGGCTACCAGGCATGCAGCTGGCAGTGCTGGGGGCCACGCAGTGCCAGCGCTCACACCTGGACCCCTGCACCTGGAAGGCTCGGGCTCCTCGCCACTGCCTTCCCCAGCCCCTGCAGCTTACTTTCTGCATCTAACATTCACCTACAAATTGCCTGTTATTTCAATTTTTCCCCTTTTCTGGAAACAAAAACACAAGAGAATCTTCAACGCTCCCCCGGGAGGCTCCAGTCCCTGCAGCCAGACCTACTGGGCGCAGTCCTCTGCATGGAGGGACGAGGTTCCTCTCCCGTCCCCCCAGAGGGATGTTACGGGGCGCGAGCCTGGCTAAAGAGAATCTGCAGTTCCAGAGTGTGTCAGCCTTCACTGGAAGGCGGGAGCCTGTGGGAATGCCTCCAAGTGCGGTGACCCCGCTACGTGCGGGGACAGTGCTCGGGACTCTCCTGGTGGCCCACCACCCATGCCAGAGTGGAACAGCACGGTGGGGTGCCGGGAGGTGCTGGCGGCCATAAGGCCCGAAGCCTCAGAGCTGGGTCTAGTCCCTGACATGGGGTGTGGCCCTTCACCATGTAGACGTTGCCTTTTGCCCAGACCCCCGCTGTGGCTGCTCTCTGCAGCACTGGGGGGGGGGGGGTGGCTGTGCAGGGCCCCCACGCTCAGCTGCCACCGCCTGTTCCTCAGGAACAAGAGCTTAATGTGACTGGGACAACCAGGATAGTGACCAGCACTGCTGCCCAATTACCTGCTCTTCCCATCAGCGTAAGAGGGGCCGAGGACGTGACTCAAGGATAACACGCTTGCCTGGTATGCATTAAGGTCTGGGTTCAAGCCCCAGCATCTCACAACAAAGAAAAATAAGTACAGAAAAGGTGCAGAACAGCCTCCTGATCACACATACAAATTTGCTTCAGCATTTCCCCCCCTGTTGGACATTAGAATCTAATTACTGATTTATCAAAAGTTATACTTTTGGTGGCTGGAAAGACCATTCAGCAGGTGGAGCGGGAGGCCCAGGCCCTGTCCTCGGCACATGGTCCCCCAGCGCCTCCAGAAATGACCCCCAAGCGCCTCCTACAAATCCAACAGGCATCTCGCTTGGAGACTCGCCCACATCTCAACCTGAGATTTGCACTGCCCCCAACTTTTCCTTGAAATATGTCTATGTTTTTTCACTAGAACAAAACCAAGTGTACCGTGATAGCCATTTCACACATAAATACCCAGTTCCCTTACCCCAAATATTGTCCAGAAAGAACAAATGTCCCCCTGGACGGAGAGCTCGGGTAACAGGAAAACAAATGAACAGACTACCACCCCCCACCCCCGGGTGCCTTCTGGCTCTGCTGAATGTTTTAGGCCCGCCTCGTCCTGACACCTGGGCCAGGAAGAATCCGTCCTCACCTGTCAGGACAGTAGCCCCAGTGCAGGAGGACCTGCTTATCCCTCTTCATGACCGGGCGCACCCATTCCTCTGGGGACAGACAGAGCAGGGAGAAACATAAGGGCGTATACAGAAAAGTAGCTATACAGCCATCTGGTGGCAGCAGGGGGTCTGGAGGGAGGGAGGGAGGGAGGTGAGGTGGCAGGACTCAGGCTGCAGGGGAGGGGCATCCGGGCACTGCTTGGAGAGGGGCGCCCCCCACCTCCCGGTTCCAGCACTGCAGGGAGCTGCGCCTCACCTTCTTCCAGGTTCCCGGGGACCGGATACACCACATGGGAGGCATTGTTCTTATCCTCTGTGACTGTTCCCTGGAAGGCACAGGAAAACATGGTCCCCTCTAGCTCAGATGTAAATACACCAAAATAAGATTCATCCGTACAACCTCTTTCCTCGTCTTCCATTTGTTCAGAATGGGATACATTTGCTTTTTCTAAGGATAGGCGAGCTCAGTGCAGAGATAACTGGGATTATGCTAGTAATGGAGGAATGACAGAGAGCGAGAAATTGCTGATAATATGAATAAACACATCAAATGAAAAGCCAGCCATGTGCCTAGCAATGACATCTGCCTGCTACCCGGAGTTCTAAAGGGAGAGAATTTCCTTGATCTGAACTCCTGCAATCTCATAATCTAAATTTGAAACAGGGGAGGCGGGGGCGGCGCTCATACCAAGTGATACTCAGGGGTTACTCTTGGCTCTGCACTCAGGAATCACTCCTGGCAGTACTTGGGGGACCATGTGGGATGCCAGGGATCGAACCTGGGTTGGCTCAATGCAAGAAAAATGCCCTACCCTCTGTATGATCATCCTGGCTCCCTAAATTTGAAATTTTTACGGGGTAGGGCGCCCGACCAATGCTCAAAGGAGCCACTCCCAGCCAGAAGCGCTCCAGCTGCTCTACCTGACAGCCCCATGCTGGGGCTCAGTGAGGCGGTGCTGCTTAAATCCAGTGGTACTGGGGCACCGGGATCACAGCCGTGATGCTGGGAGACACTTGGGCCACACCAGGTGGTGCTCGGGTCCAGCGGTACTTGGGGGACCCCAGATGCCCAGGATTGACCTCAGACCTCCACATGCACAGCATGCACGCCAGCCCTCGGAGCTCATGCCTGAGAGCAGGTCACCTCTGGCTCAGGGGACACGCACGTATTTGTCCTCCAGGCCAAGTCAGTCTCAGGGAACAGGGGTCCAAACCTGGCCAGACTAGAAAATGCAGTGGGGGGTGGTCAGAGCAATAGTACAGCAGGCGGTACTTGCCTTGCAAGCGGCCAACCAGGGTTCGATCCCTGGGTACAAGTCAGGTGTTAGTCCTGAGCACTACCAGGTGTGACGCAAAAACAAACAAAAAAAGACTAGAGAATGGCATCTGGGAGACAGAAAGAGAAGCTCGGGCTTGAACTACTGTCTTCTTCCAAGCACACAAAGCTTTACAGGGACACCACGGCCCTCCGTGCTTAACGGTCATGACACTCACATCCTCTCCTGACCCACCCACTTACCTGGTGTCTCTTGATAATATCCTTTAATTTCCCCAGTAGTTTGGGCTCGATTTCTGGACACAGAAAAATGTTGGGCCGAGACAGGCAATTATTCTGTAGGGGGGGAAAACAGATGAATGAGAATATGGGAAAGGGTTAGTTTTTTTTTTTGTTTTTCTTTTTGGGTCACACCTGGCGATGCACAGGGGTTACTCCTGGCTCTACATTCAGGAATTACTCCTGGTGGTGCTCAGGGGACCATTTGGGATGCTGGGAATTGAACCCGTGTCGGCCGCGAGCAAGGCAAACGCCCTACCTGCTGTGCTATCGCTCCAGCCCCCAAGGATTAGCCTTGAGTCTCACTAAGGGAAGGGAGGAGGAGGCGGGAGGGTCTGGACTGGTACCTGCACCAAAGACTTCTCAATGGTCATGAACATTTCCACATTGCGGTCCATGCGGGACGGATTCTGGAAATCGTAACGCCGCCTTATAAAGAAGCATTCATCCAGTGAGTGGCATAGCTCAGTGTGAGGCCAGAGCACAGGACTTTTCTGCTATTTTGGTTTTGGGGTTCCAGCCAGCTGTGCTCAGGGCCTGGATCTGCACTCAGGGCTAAGGGACCATATTGGGTGCTGGGATGGATCCCTGGCTGGTTGCATGCAAGGCAAGTAAGTACCCTGCCTGCTGCACCATCACTCGGCCTCACATGGAACTTTTTATCATGGAAATCAAGAGGTAATCTTAACCATGGCTTTGGAAAAGTACCTGGGACCTGGGTTTACAATCGCAACTCCACAAATCACTCTGTACTTAGGAAGTTAGAGATGCCACCACAAGAATTCCTTTTCTGCCAGAGCATACACACTGATGTACACACACACACACACACACACACACACACACACACACACACACTCTGGATTATTTTGGCTCGGAATTCTTGCCCTTTTTCTGTCTGAGCAAATCGGGCCAACTAACTTAGCAAAACAAACGCAAGAATGGCATATGTTCTCCACCCCAGAGAGGGCCCAGGGGATCATAAAGGTAGGGTCCTCTAAACCAAATGCAGAAGAACAGAGAAAAGCCATCTCACCATCCTTGGTCACTCTTGAATTTATAGGCAGCTGCAAGTATGTGGCACAGAGAACCTCCTGCTTTGAAATCTAGGAAACATTTGATCTACAAAATTGAGACAGGGAAGAAAAGTGAGCATTATATCCTAATCTCTCTCTCTTTCCATTTTTTTTTTTTGGTTTTGGGCCACATCTGGCAGTGCTCAGAGGGGTTACTCTTGGCTCTTCACTCAGAAATCACTCCTAGTGGAGCTTGGGGGATACCGGGAATCGACCTGGTCGGCGGCATGCAAGGCAACTGCCTTACCTGCTGTTCTCTCTCTCTACCACCCCCCTCCCAATTCTCTCAACAATTTTACAAAAGTTCGTGATCTGATGTCCCTCCCAAAACAGCTTTTTTTAAAATGTTCCAGGGATCGAACCCGGGACTTCTGACATGCGAAGCATGTACTATTCCACTGAGCCATATCTGTCACCCCAACACTGGAATTCTTTCACCCTGTTATGTCACTATTTCATAAGAATGGGAAGAATGGCGGGAACAAAGCCCAGCACGCACTGGGTTGCCTGACTAACCGTTACAGAGGGTGTTCCAGGTAGGTCCAGTCACCCCACCTCGAGGTGCAGGAACAGAAACCCAGAAGCTTCTCTGGCTCACCCCAACACAGACACACCAAGCCTGTGAAATGGGAATCTCAGAGCTTTCTAAACCTGCCCCGAGGGTTCCATGCATCCAGACACAGTTGCAAAACAGGTCAAAGGGAATGATAAATCGGATACTGAAGTACTAAAGCCAGGCAGGGATGTCCCTACCAGGGATAGGACAGATTACCCCGACTTTTTAAAAATCATAAACTGCATCCCAAGCGAAAGAAATGGAACAAACCCCTTAGTCTGGAGCCGCCCTCCCCTTCCCCCCACTTGGGAACTCACCGGCAGTTTAGTGAGTGGTGCATTGCTGACGTGTTTGCCAAAAACTTCTTCCTGAAACTGTAGCAACTGCACCACCAGGCTAGACAGGGACTTGTTGGTGGGTGGTTCGGCTTGTATATACTGGGAGGAGGGAGGGCAAAAAAAGAAATACAGGCCCTCAGATAAAGCATCCACTGTCACCCTCGTCTCTTCCCTGAGTTCTGGAAGCCTTTGGAATCGAGTCAAGACGCTCTTCCCCACAAGCCCGGTCTCTAAGAAGACAATGGCTGAAGCTATGCCCTAGCCGCTCCTCACCAGGAAGTGAAAAATCTGCAGCCAAGAGCCCAGGCTGGCAGAGTCGGGTGCTGGAGGCTTCTGAAACAAAAGCTTGGGGGACCCTCCTCCGGCCAACGGCACGGAAGGTTGCAAAATTCTGAAAGTTCATGGTGTTCAGGAAAAGATACCTTCAAGGCTCCAAATGAGAACAGTGTGTTTCCAGGGAGTGCTTTGTGACAGGCCAAGATGTCCCTCTAAGTTGCTAATGAGAAAGGTTCAAGGGAGTGAGGACGAGGCGAGCGGGAACTCGGGCACTCAGGCACCCTGCTTCTCCTGAGTGTGGGGGGTACAACCAGCCCCCGCAGACCCCATCTGGGGAAAGAGCAAGAATGACCTTTTTGGTTGGTGTGGGGGTGTGCTCAGGGGTTACTCCTGGCTCTGCACTCAGGAATCCCTCCTCGTGGTGCCGGGGGGACCATATGGGATGTCGGGGTTTGAACCTGAGCTGGCAGCATGCAGAGCAAGCGCCCACCCGACTATCCCACTCTGGGGCCAGGCCACCTTCCCTTCTGAGGAACTCATAGGGAGCTCAGCAAAACCCAAGCCTCCTGAAACAATTGCACTTTAGGCATCCAACGCTTCTGGACCGACTCAGAAGGGAGCCAGAGGGCTAACTTTCTCTTTACCTCAACCTCAATCACAGAGCACTGTGCTGCTAAGGAGGGCTTTGAAGTCCAAGGAAGATGACAAAGAGCCAAGTGCTCAGAGGCTGAAGCGATCGCGGGCTGTCACTCCCCCCAGGGACAGAGACTGAGCCCCTAGACTCATCTGTCTTCCCAAAGGTCAGTGGTGGGAAGCCTGCGAACCGGCGTCTCCCGCTGGGAGGGGGCCGAGCCCCGGACCCCAGGGCCAGCTGTCTGTCAGGCTCGGACAGGAGGGTCCTCGGAGGAAGGGGAGGGGGCCGTGGGCACTTTCCGCTGCCGCTCGGCCCGCTTCTGACAGGCGGCAGGGCCGGGCAGGAGGCCCAGGAGAGCCCGGGAGACCCCCACGCCCTCAACCGGGGGGGGGGGGGGGCTTCGCCCCAGGAAACCCCACGGACAGAGATGCGCCTTCCCAGCGGGGCCCAAGACAAAGACGACACCAGGAAGAGGTTTGGCAGAGGAGCCGGGGCAGGCCCGCGACCCTTTGTTCGCCGGCTGCGGGTCTCCGGGCGGGCGGTGGGGGGCTGGAGGCAGCAAGCGTGCCCCCGGCTGCCGGGCCCCCCAAACCCGCCAGGCGATGCCCGCGCGGCGCGCCGCCCCGCGCCTTCATTGTGCAGCCGGGACGCGGCTTCCCGGGGGCAGCGGGCCGGGGCGCCCCGGGGGCGGGGGGCGGCGGGCGGGCCGGGAGGGGCGCCCGCGGGGTGGGGGCGGGCGGGGGCGCTTCTCCGCGCTGATGGGCAGCCGCGGGCCTGCACGGCGGCGCTGCCCGTCCCGCGGCCGCGGGCCCGGGGCGCAGAGAGAGCACAAAGCGCGGGCAGGCCCGGGCCCCGCGGCGGCGGCGGCGGCTCGGACCCCGGGCCGCGCCGCGTCTCCGGAAGGGCCGGGCGGCGGGCGCGGGGGCTGCGGCCCTTCGTGGCGCCCCCGGCCCCGCGTACCTTCTTGTAGTTCTTGCCGAGCCACAGCCGCACGTTGTCGAACTGGGTCACGGTGTCCGCGGCCTCGTAGTACTTCACGTTGGGGCCGCCGTCCTTCTTCCGCACCGCCATCTTCTCCCTGGGCCCGGGCCCCGCCGCCGCCGCCGCCGCCCGCCCCGCTCGGCGCAGCTCCCGCCCCCTCCGCCCGCCCCCCGCCCGCCCCCGCCGCCCGCCCCCGCCGCCGCCGCCGCCGCCGCCGCCGCCGCCGCCGCGCCCGGCCCGGCCCGGCCCGCGCAGCGCCCCCTGCCGGCCGCCCGCCCGCCCGCCCCGCCGGGCCGCCGGGCGCGGGGGCCCGGGCCGCCTGCGGAGGGGTCCGCTCGCTCCCTCGCTCCCTCGCTCGGCTCTTCTTTCTTTTTTGGCCTTCCCGAAGCTCGTCGAGCGGCGCCCACTGCGGGCGGGTCGCTCTGGCCCCTCCCCACGGGGGCACCGGCACCGGCGCCGCACGGAGCGACCCTCGCCTCGCGGGGCGTCTGCCCCCCGACGACCCCCGGCTCCGCTCCTCTGCCAAGTTCTCGCCTTTTCTCCGCCCCCCTCCTACCCCTCCACCCACGGGAACTCCCCGCTTACACGGAGCCCCCCTCGCCCCCCTCTCTCTCCGGTCCCCCGGCCGCCCGGCTCTCGCGCCTTCAGGTCGAGCCGCCCCCGGCCCCGGGACCCCCCGGGCGCCCGGCCCTCGCCCCCCGCCGCCCGCCCTGCAGGCCTCGCCGGGGCCGCCCGAGCCGCTCCGCCCGCCGCTGGGCGGGCGTCCCTGCCTCCCCGGGGCCCCGGGTTCAGCCGACCCTTCCCGACTGGAGGCGAGGGGAGGTAAGAGCGACGGCAGGGGCCCACGGGCGCGCGCGGGGTCGGGGCCTGGGCACGCTGCCGCCCCGGCCGCGGCGCCGACCCCTTCTGTAAGCGCCGGGCGGAACGCGGTTTTGGGAGTCACGGTGGCCGAGTGGTTAAGGCGTTGGACTCGAAATCCAATGGGGTTTCCCCGCACAGGTTCGAATCCTGTTCGTGACGGCCGCTCTTTTTTTAAACGCTCGCCCTTTTTTTTCCCCTTCTGCCTCCCGGATACGTATACGTGCCTTTTCTGAGGCCCCTTTTGGATCTCGCAGGTGGAAGCCAAAAAGATCTTGGCTCCTGAATTTGGGGGCATGAGCGAGCGCGGGAAGTTTCATTATGCAAGCCGTACCCGGCTGCAGAGATAAGGAGCCGGTTGCAAAATCCTCTAACTGCTGGTTTGCTGGCCGCGCTTTCTTCGGGCGACGTTGTTTCATTCTTTGGAGAAGAGAAGCCGAAGGATTTGGCTGAAGTGTTAACTCTTGCTCGGGAATGTCAGTGCCTGCTGTGGAGTATCCCAGACCTGGGGCTGCCTCTGAATCTCATAAGCACAAGCCCTGGAGGTCTGATTAGTATGAAAACCCAAGAAACAGCTCTTTCCCTTGGATTTCCGGAGGGCAGTGCACCCCCCTCCCCCCCCCCAACAGCAGCACGCAGGATCTTGCTGCAGCTACAGCGTGGGAACATAACTATCACCTTTCACAAAGTGATATTCTAAATTCTTGGTGTTTCAACAAACTTCTCTTCATCTCTAACCCTCCTGTACTCACCTCTGCAATTCCATTTCTGGGGTCAGGGAGCTAGCACAGTGGGTAGAGCTCTTGCCTCGCACGTGGCCCAGGAAGTATCTAGGAAATTTGTCTGAGGTGGTTCTTTTTTTTTTTCTTTTTGGGGTCACACCCAGCGATGCACAGGGGTTACTCAGGAATTACTCCTGGCGGTGCTGGGGGACCATATGGGATGATGGGACTCGAACCCGGGTCAGGCCACATGCAAGGCAAGCGCCCTATCCACTGTTCTATCACTCCAGCCCCTGAGGTGGTTCTTTTTGCAATTTATTCTCTAAGGCCATGGAGGACAAGGGCAAGAATTCATAGAACTTTCTATACATTCCGTACAGTGGCTTCTCCTCACTGCCCCCACAAGCATCACTCTCCTTGTTCATGTTCATGTCCCGTACCTCTTTGGTGCACTTGAGTACTAACGGGGGCCTGTCATTGCCATCTAGAATTGCACCGAGCGTCTCTTCTGAAGCTCAGCAACAATTAAAATCTGTTTCCTCTACCTCCTGAGCAGGTCTTCTATCCATCCGCATTCTTTGAGGTTGTTACAGGTCCCAAGCGAGAGCCCCCATCCTTTGTAGGGGAGGGGGAGGGAGCACTGACACCACCACCAGTCACTGATTTAATACTCCCAAAACAGGGGCAGCTTTGTTTCATGCCAGCCCTCACCGCCCTCCACCACAATTTATTTTTAATTTTAATTCTTAAATTTTATTTTTCTACCACTCTTTTAGGATCTGTTCATGCTATACCCTGACTCAAGCACCATCTCCTAGCTCCTCACTTAAATGTCCATTCTCGAGGGCATTTTCCTCTTAACCGCATTCTTACACCCTAATCCTATTAGGTAGTCTTTCTTCTCCCATAGGCTATAAACACTTTAGGACACACACATACCCAAAAAAATCTGAATGGATTGCTTTTTATATAGTAGTTGCGTGGATTCCGAGCCAGGCTGCTTTCACCTCAGGGTACCCCAGAAGGGGGCGGGTGAGACCCCTCCCTGCCCCAAGGGACCCAACTCCAAAGGCAGCTGACCTCAGATACCCAGTTGCTCCCATGCTCCAGGCTGCTTTCCACACGCTCGGCCAAGCCTCACATATGAGGAACATATTCCTGGACCACGCAGTCGGGAAAACACACATCATAAGACACTCCCTACCCATTTTCCATTATATATATATGTATATATATACCTCTTGCCTCTTGGAGAGCCCCGGCAAGCTACCGAGTATCCCACCTGCACGGCAGAGCCTGGCAAGCTCCCCGTGGCGTATTCGATATGCAAAAACAATAACAATAACAGGTCTCATTCCCCCAACCCTGAAAGAGCCTCCAATAGGTCAGCGGTGGGAAAGACGAGTAAGAGAGGCTGCTAAAATCTCAGAGCTGGGACAAATGGAGATGTTACTGGCGCCCCCTCAAGTAACTCGATGAACAACGGGATGACAGTGATACAGTGATCTCCTGGGCTTTGCACACGGATGAGGATACTATGTACCAATAGAATCTTATCTAGTAGGTTCTACTCTGATGTGGGCCAGTTCCTGAAGTTTAAGTAGAGGGAGCGCCTAGGCAGGAAAATGCCCAGCAGAGGGCGCCCGAGAACTGCCGTGCGGGGCCGGTAGGTCCGAGGTTTACAAAATGGAGGATCTGGGCTGCGGGGTGGGGGAGGGGAGGAATCAAATCTTGCCTTCCCAAATGCTTCAGACATCGAAATTTCGTGCCCAACGGACATTTTAAAAAAATTTTTACTATCTCCCCATATCTCACCTGAAGCTCCCCAGCTCCTTCCGTCTGAGCCGCGCGGTATCTGTCACCATTCTGAACATTTCCACCCCCCTATTGAGTTTCTGATTCAGGATGTAGCTTTGATTTCTTCCCAAAAGTTACGCTTGCCAGAGTCTTGCAATCTTGCAAAGGGTTTTCGTTTTTCAGGGTGTTTTAAGGGACTGGGAATGCAGTAAAGTGGTTTGTCTTTGTGAAGTCCTGGGTTCCATCCCCAGCACTGCTTACCAAACAAAAAAAGTTGACAAATATCCTCCATAACCCCTTCGAATTCTCCATTAAATCATGAATTCAGAAAGCTACATTTTTCTTTGAGACAAGGTATTGCCAAGCTTTCTTCCTCCTTTTTTGAGGGCGTGTGTTTTGGGAGCCGCACCTGCCAGTACTCAAGGGACCTGTAGTGTTTGGGATGGAGCCCTGGGCCTTTTGCATGCAAAACAAGCTTGTGTTACCATCTTGCAAAACAAGATGGTAACAAGATGCTTGGTAACCATCTCTCTGGCCCTGTTTTCTCCCTTTTCATTTTTTTGAATACAAAACGTATATCCTCTGCTTCCAGTTCCATATACATTAATACTCTGTCATTGAAACCTTTGCCATGTTTGAAACCAGCGATTTTGGGTAGGTTGGAGGACATACTGTATCCAGGGCGGACTTCCGCATGCAAAGCATGTGTTCAAACCTCCCCTGGGCCCCAAACCAGTGCTGTCTTACTGGGCTTTAGACTCTGTATCCTCTTGCTCTTGGAACACGGCATCTCCTAAAAATTCTATCCTCTCCCGTCTGTAGTCTGTTGGAGTCATTCTTCTTCCAAGCCAGTTTCAGGGACTGTGGTTTCAAAGCATGGTGCTTGTTTTATCTCCAGTTGACCTCTATCACTTAAGATGCAGTCTCCTGCTTTAAACTTAAAACACTACCTTTAGATTATTGCCCTAGCCTAGAACTTCAGCTCCCTATCTGACCAAACACACGACCAAACACACGTTCCTATTGTCTGTACACCCAGCCTCGACCAGTACCCTAAATTCTTTCTAATTAAGGGCTGGAGCGATAGCACAGTGGTAGGGCATTTGCCTTGCAAGCTTCCGGCCTGGCCGAGCTGGTTCGATTCCTCCGCCTCTCTCAGAGAGCCCGGCAAGCTACCGAGAATATTTCACCCTCACGTCAAAAGCCTGACAAGCTACCTGTGATGTATTCGATATGCCAAACACAGTAACAAGTCTCACAATGGAGACGTTACTGGGCCTGCTCGAGCAAATGATGAACAACGGGAGGACAGTGCTCCAGTGCTAAGGAAAAGAGAAACCTCCAATCCCAATACCTCCAATGGGCTGGGTGTCTCCATGCGGTGGCCTAATGCTTCCTGCCTTCCCCTCATGAAATTCCATCTGTCTCTTCACCTCATAGCAAGCTAATTCCACCCAATCTTTTCTGTGGCATGTTGCTTAATATTATTTTAGTCCACCACCCTGTGGTGCTCAAGACTTACTCCTGGGCTCTGTGCTCAGAGGTGACTTCTGGAGGTTCAGGGAGCCGCATGGTACCAGAGATTGAATGCAGATCAACTGGGTGCAAGGCGAGCACCTTCCCTGCGACACTATCTCTGCGGCCCCATGTGTAATTAATAGAAGCATTAGGACCAGGGAGATAGCTCACAGGGCTGGATAGGCTTCGCCTGTAGTGGATCCTGGCTTGGTCCCTAGCACTGCATGGTGCCCCAAGCACTCCTGGAAGTGACCCCAAGCACTGAGCTGGGAGTGGCCCAGGAGCGTGGCCAGGATGTGGTCCAAAGCACATCAGCCAACTTAACCACACCATATTTTCCAGATTACTTCTGGAATTTCCCAAGGTTTCGTTCTCAGACTTTTTGCTCTCCTTTACTGTCTGCATTCATTCCTAGGATTTTTTGATCAACACTAAATTATAAATCTTCATCTCTCGCCCTGATTCAGGCTACGGACCCATGTTTCCTATTGCTGACGAAACACTGCTCTGTGGACGCTCTCCTAAACCTCTTCATCATCCTTCCCAAACTATTCAGGTAAATTCAAGAAATAATGTATGATTCATCTTTATACACCCCTTAATCTGCGCGGTAGTTAGGAGATTCAGGATCTGAAATGACTTTCAGGATTCAAGTCCTGCTTCTGATCATCACCTATGTGAATTTTGCCTTTTGTTTTCCCAGAATATGGAGATGGTAAGTGTGTCGTTGTTGGGATAACTATTCACCTTTTCCACTGCCAGTACCACATCTTACTCAGATCTCATTTCCAATGGTTCATGGAAGACTTTCCGCCCTCTCCCTGGGACTGAGTTCACCCCTTGCCCTTTATTCCCTTGGACTTAAGATACTTATTTGCAACAAACTATTTGCAAATAGTTTGTTGTATCTATTTGCAACAAACTATTTCCCATTATTTGTTCAAATGTATATTACTGATCTGCAGACTGCTTGAAAGAAGTGTTTCTCAGTTGCTTTTTTTGGTTTGTTTTTAAGCCTCACCGGCATTTGCTCTGTGGTTACTCCTGGCTCTGCACACAGGAATTACTCCTAGCAGTGCTTGGGGAGGGGGTGGGGGAAGGAACGGGGACCATATGGAATGCTGAGGGAGGAACATTGATCCGCAGCAGGGTGCAGGGCAAGCGCCCTACCCACTGAACTCCTTTCTACCCGTTTTAATTTTTTTTGCTTTTTTTTTGGGGGGGGGGGGGTCACACCCGGCGATGCACAGGAGTTACTCCTGGTTCATGCACTCAGGAATTACTCCTGGCGGTGCTCAGGGGACCGTATAGGATGCTGGGATTCGAACCTAGGTTGGCTGTGTGCAGGGCAAATTGTGCTATTGCTCCAGCCCCTCTACCCGTTTTTAAAATCTTGAAAATTCCCTGCTATTAAAAGGCAAGAATTAGCCCCCAATTATGTTTGATCTTTCATTATCTACTCAACAAATTATGAGCTCTAGCTTTCACTAGTTTCTTCAACTTATCCTTCACTTCCACCTATTGAGAGCTTGCAAATTGGGGAACCCGAAATTCTGGATCCACACGTTACAAAAAACTGAGGGGCAGGAGAAATATTACAGCACGTAGGGCAGTTGCCTGGTGCACGGCTGACCTGGGTTTAATCTGTGCTACTGCATAAGGTTCTAGATCCAGGAGTGATCTAGAACCTGTAGAACCTGTGAGCACTTCCTGGTATGAGCTACCTGTAAGGTGCTTGCCATGCATGCTGCCTACCTGGGCTTGATGCCTGCACCCTTATGATTTCCCGAGTACCACCAGGAGTGATTCCTGAGCACATAGCCAGGGGTAATCCATGAGCATTGTGATTTAGCACTCCAGCTCTTGAAAAAAAAAATAATAGATTTGGAAGTTAAAGAGAGCGATTGGGTGGGGCACTTGCATTGTATGAGCCCAACTTGGGTTCAGTATGGTGGCATCCCATATGGTGCCCCAGGCACCATAAGGAGTCATCTCCTAAGTGCAGAGCCAGGAGTAACCCTGTGCACCCCTGGTGTGATTCTCCCACCCCCACCCCCCAAAAAAAGGCGGGGGAAAAAAAATAGATTGTGCAGTATTGGGCTCCTGCTCTTTTGTGGTTTTGTGGCCATACTGGGCTATACTCAGGGTTTATTCCTGGTTCTGTGCTCAGGGATCACTCCTGGCTGGCTCAGGGGACCATATGCAGTGCTAAGGCTTGAACCCTGGTTGCCTACATCTAAAACACCCTTCTCAAGGAAAAATTAAATGAAACAAAATCACTCATGGCCTAGGAGATAGACCAAGGTTGGAGTCCATCCTTTTCATATAGGAGGCATGAGTTTGATTCCCAGCACCATGTGGTACCCCAAGAATGATCACAACCCACCTCCAAACATTGCTGGTAATAATCCAGGTCCACCCAACCACCACCACCACCTCCCCAAAAAGGGGAAAAATTTGGCGTGTTTTTCTCTCTCCTAACAGTGCTTAAAGCTTACCACATCACGTATTATATGCTAATCTTGTCTTTTATTTGGGGGGGGGGCATATCAGCAGTGCTCAGGGGTCACTGCTTGACCATGTGGTGCCAGGGATCGAGTTCAGGCCTCATGTAGGCAAAGCATCTGCTCTGCCGCTTAGCTTTCCACAGGCCCTGAAGTTCTAAGGTCAGGGCTGAAACGGAGCACAGTGGGTAGGGGGCTTGTCTTGCATGCAGAGCCCAGATGGAACCCCCAGCACCCCATACTTTTTGCTCTCCTTTAGTCTCTGCATTCATTGGTTCCCCCAAGCCCAGCCAGAAATGATTCTTGAGTACAGAGCCAGGAGTAAACCCTGAGCATTACCAGGTGTAGCCCCAAAACAAAAACAGAACACTTTATTCCTTTTTTTTTGGGGGGGGGGGGTCACACCTGGCGATGCAAGGGGTTACTCCTGGCTGTGCTCAGGGGACCATATGGGATGCTGGGAATTGAACCCGGGTCGGCCGCGTGTAAGGCAAACACCTACCCGCTGTGTTATCTCTCCAGCCCCAAAACAAAACTTTTTTTTTTTTGCTTTTTGAGTCACACCTGGCCATGCACAGGGGTTACTCCTGGCTCTGCACTCAGGAGTTATCCCTGGCGGTGCTCAGGGGACCATATGGGATGTTGGGAATCGAACCAGGGTCGGCCGCATGCAAGGCAGACAGACGCCCTACCCCCTGTGCTATTGCTCCAGCCCCAACAAAACACTTTAAAAGGTACCTGTTCTCTTGCTACCTGAACCCCATCTTCCCCACATTCCCATCCTAATGAATACTTTGCCAAAAGCAAAATGTACTCCAAGAGGAAATTTTGAGACTTTTCACAACCCTTCAAACACTAAGCAATGGGTTCCGAACAAAATTTGAAGCCTCAGAGTTGAGGGGGCAGAAAGGGACCCATTATTGGTGCTACTGGACTGCATCTATTGTGCTCAATGTCACGGCTTCTTCTCACCTTCTGGCTTCGGCTTCTTTGGGGGCTATACCTAGTGGAGCAAAGGAATCATGTGGTGCTCAGAACCGAACCTGGACCTTCCACATGCAAAGCACGCACACTAGCCCTTTGAAATACCTCCAGTTCCCTACTTACCATTTTATAATGACCTGTTTGGGGTGGAAAAAGGTCCTTTTGGTTGTTTTCACTCCAGGAAGATATCTCCAGTACTGTCACGATTTAAATTAGCAGGGCCAGAGAAATGGTCACAGGAGTTGAGGCATCTGTCTTAATACGACTCACCCTGCTTTAATCCCAAGCACCAAATATGGTTTCTGAAGCAACACCAGGTGTAGCCTAAACCCACCCTCCTCCCCGCCCCCCCCCAAAAAAAACCCCAAAACACTAGGGAATGACAGAGATGACACAAAGGCCTGGAGTGCAGGTCTTACGGGAGTCTGGGTTCAATCCCCAGCAACGCATGGTCTGGAGAGCACAACCCCACCCAGCACTGCCAGGATTAGCAGCTGAGCAAAGGCAGGTGTGGCCCAAGAATCCAAACAGTGGGTGCGTAATAAATGCTCAACACATTTAAAATATAGTAATGGGGGTCTGCTGTTCAAGCTTGTGTACCCCCAAACACATATTTTGCTTATCAGTCTTTTTGCCTATCCTACTCTGGAGACGCCTAGATATTTTCTCTCCCTCGTTTTTGGGCCACATCTCCTATATAACCCACAGTGCTCAGGGGACCGCTGGGGATCAAACCTGGGTCAGCCGTGTGCAAGACAAACACCCCACCTACTGTACTCTCTCTGTAGCCTCTCTCTCTGGTTTGGGGGCCACATCTAGCAGTGTTCAGGGCTTATTCCCGTCAGGCTCAGGGGACCATATGGGATGCTGAGGATCAAATCCTAGTTGGCTGCGTGCAAGGTAAGTGACCTGCCATACCATCACTCCAGCTTGCAGTGCTCTCGCGAACACACACTTGCCACATTCTCTTCTGACATCTTCTCACATCTAAGTTTGAATAATAAGTATCTTGGTACACACACACTATCCAAGTTCAAAGTTCAATACCCAGCACCACATACAGTCCCCTAAGCACCGCAAGGAGTAAACCCTGAGGGAGCACCGCTGGGTGTGACCCCAAACTCAAAATAAATTCAAAAATAGACAAAACCGATGATGAGGGTTTGGCCACTGCAGAGATTCGGGTGCTGCCCGTCCCCTTCCCTTCATGTCCTTTCTACGTTAGGAGACCGGGAGGGGGTGCTTCCCTGCCTGCGGGAGGATCGATTCCCAAACGAAGGGGTCTGTGGGATGAGAGACCAAGGTGTTTCCTGGAGAGTGGCCCAAACCCCAGAGCACTTCGGGAAGAAGGGGAATGCAGGCAGCGGCAGACCCTGGAAAGCACACAATTCTCATCAGTGCTGAACCCGCTTCGGCTGCTCAGGGCAGGACGGCAGGGCGCAAACGGTAAAGATGAAGTCAGGGACATGCCGCTCCCAGGCAGACACCCTCTGCGAGCAGGGGTTAATCGGCGGGGGGGGGGGGGGGGGGGGGGGGGGGGGGGGGAGTTGCGTCAGCAAGGAAGCGCAGGCATGAGAAGGCCACACACAAGAGAAGTCTTGACCAGAAGGGGGAGTGATGCTGAATTAAGAATTTTGAGAGTGGAGTAAAAGGTTTATTATTAGTGCAGTCAACACCATGGAACAGCACATGTGACACAACCAGCAACCCGCAGAGACACTAGTGCAAAGGGTAGGGAAGCCTTAACTGAGCTTCCTGGCTCCATCTGAGGGGTGCCAAGAGGGTCCGGGCCCTTGGTAAGGCAGGCGGGGGGAGGGGAGTGGAAGAAATGGAGTAATAACCAGATTAAACATAGCAGCGTTTTCAAATTCCTGAGCACAGTGTCCTGGAGCTGGAACATCTGACCGTTCCTCACGCTGTGCCCCTCACTTTTGCTGACTCCAGTGGCGCTCGGACCTAATACACTCAGGCTGGTGGCAACCTGGCCTGGCCTTCTGCGATGGGGCGCTGTGAGGTGGTGACAGTCTCCTCCCACTCCCACCTGCATCTGAGCATCATCACATTCACTTCCTCTCCCCTTCCCTGGCGCTGCCATCCCCCCGGAGTCAAGGAAGGGCTGGCCCACAGTGGCGTGGAGGAGGGACAGGCACAGCTTCTCCTCTGGATACAATTTCCCTCCCGTCTGGCCTGGAAAGTGTAAACTGTCCCCGCGTAGGAAACGGGGTGGAGGCTGGGGCGGCTGCCTACAGGGTGGGACCCTGCAAGGGCTGGGAGCAGTTCCTGGGGAGCGCAGGCGTCCGATGCTGGACCCTTCCACGGGCCACTGGAGTCAAAAGCAGCTCCTTGTCTCCATGGGTTACGGAGGGTTGAGGCAGACATGAACTATTCAGCCAAGGACGCCCTCGGCCCTTCCAACATTAAAGCCAAAGGTTGTGCTGAAAAGCAAAAAATACAAAACGGTCCCACATCCCTGTCCCTCCCTAGCCAGAATCCCCACGACAGGAACAGCAAAAGAAAAGTTTTACATTTTGTTCATTTTTTTTTCTTTTTCCTTTCTTAAAAAAAAAAAAGTAAATAAATTAAATTGTCTACAATGTGGCTGGGCTAAAAAAGGGTAGCCATAACTAGGCCATTCTACATATATAAAAAAAGACTTAAGTGGGAGGAAGGGAAGAAGTAAGATATAAACAAACAATGGCCAAAGGAAATGATCAGAGGAACTACTGGGATCCCGGGGCTGGAAGGGGCTTAAGGGAACGCACAAGGCTGGGCCACAGAAGGCAGAGCCCGGCCCATGTCAGCAAATGCCAGCGAGCTGCTTCTTGCTGAGAAAACTGACCCCAGCAGACCGAACCCCCACTACCAGAGAGGTACGGGAAAGAAGAGCTCGCCTGGCCGGTCCCTCCCGCCCAAGCACCTGCACGCGGCGGCTGCACAGGGCGCGCTTGGCACAGAGGCCCGGGTCCCCAGCGTCTGCTCCCGACTGCCAGGGCTCTGGGCGCACCCCTTCCGTTTCTTCAGGATCTCTGCTCCCCAGAGCGCCTCTCCAAATGCTGTCCAGAGACGACAGGCCTGCCTCCTCCGCCTCCCCGGTGCGGGAGCACGACTGACCCTTAGTCTCCTTGATCGACTGCGATCCCGTCGAGCAAATGCTTATCTGTGCTTTCTGAAAATATATGGAACCCGAGGCAGGAAAAACGGAAGAAGTGGGCACTTTGCCAACCGGACCAAAAATTCTGAATCTTCCATGTCAGGGGGAAGGAATTAGGCAAAAGGAAGGAATCTGGGTTTCCCACCTGAAAGGTGGGGCAAGGCGCCCCGCCCTTCAGTGCCAGAAGGGCAGGGGCAAGAGTGGCCGCGTGGAGGCCACAGTAGTAAGGACAGGCGGCAGGACCCAGGGTCCGGCTGCTGCAGGGACGGATTCTCTGCCTTCCGTCTCTTCCTGACGTCCCGTCAGCCTCTCCTATATTTCTTCCACGCCGTGGGCAAAGATCATGACCAGTCCGGGCTCCTGCACCATGTCGTCGCCCATGTGCTGGTTCTCACAGGCCATCACGACCACTGCCTGCTTGCCAGGGATGCGCTTGGCCACGTAGTTTTCGTAGTAGCGCCGGTTCATCTGTCTTGTTTCCAGCGTGGCCAGACCCTGGGGCCAGCTCCGCTCGTGGGCGTTTTCGATCAGCTCATTGACGATGGAGGCCGGACAGCCACTCTCCACCAGCGAGCGCTTGATGACAGCCTGGAGCACCGCGTCAGGGGTCGAGATCATGCCGCCCCAGCGGGTCACTCGCGCTGGCTGCAGGGAGTTCACCCACCTGCGGATGAAGTGGGCGGCAGAAGTCATTCCAGCTTCTTTTCTGCAGGTTCTTTCTCCCAACCCCAATCCTCACCCACCCTGCACTCGGCTTACCCCCGTTCTCCTGTCTTTCCTCCCATCACTAGATGGGAGGAACCTGCAAGTATTCTCCAGTCGTTCCCATCCGAATCATTCCTTAGATTCCACTCCTGCAGGAACCCTGTTCTTTTCCTTTAAAATCCCAACTGCCTAGTGCGCGCCTTGTGCCTGGTGTATGCCAAGTACTCAACAGTTGGTCAGTGACGGACTCCACCATCCCGACCTGTGGCACAAGGATTAGTCTAGAAACTGAACGGGGCCCCAGGACTGAGAGGCAGCCCAGATTTTGCTTGTTTCAACTGCACATTTATACCGCTTTCCTGCAGAGGCACTCCCCCACCTCTTCGGATTGTGAAAAGACGGGGATGATTATCTTCTACTTCTTTCTGGCCCTCCGAGTACACCACAGCCCTTAATGCAAGGCTTTGTACGTCGTAGACACTCATTCTGGATAACCTGCGACTCTGGGTCAGCGCTCCCTCCCACCAACCCGAATGACCCGGGTCCTCTACCGGGCTCTAGCCGTCCCCTTCTTTTTGCAAGGGAAAGGCAGCAGCTCCGGCCCAACCCTCTCATTACCCTCGGCCACTCCCCGTGCCTCCCCTGCTTTCAGAGCTCTGCCAGAACAGGAGTGAGTGACTCCAGGTCCCAAGTGACACTCACTCTAGGATCTCGTTGTACTCAATGGTCTCCTCCAGATTCTGAAGGTTGGGGTTGACACTGCGAATGGCACGCATGTAGGCCTTGAGCAGCTGAATGTCTCGCTTCTGTGGGAGGCAAGGAGAACCAGGGATGATGCTTCAGGCAGACAGCGGATGAGACAAGTTTCTCGGTAAGGGGGACAACTGGGGCTGGAGAGATGCAGGGCACGCGCTTGCCTAGCATGCAGCACCCCTTTGTATACAGCAAGGCAACTTCACAGAGGAGGCATTTAGCAATGCTGGGGAAACTGTTTTGCTTTTCTGTTTCTGAGCCACACCTGATGGTGCTCAGGGCCTACTCCTGACTCTGTGCTGGGACCACTCGCAGCCTGCTGAATTTGCTCTCTAGCCTGTGTTGGGGGAGAGAGAGTGAAGAATACGTGTTTTAAGCCACATCCTGCAGTGTTTAGGGGTTATCATGGCTCTGCACTCAGGAATTAGTCCTGTGGTGCTCGGGGGAACCATATGGGATGCTGGGGATGGAACCCAGGTTGTTCGCATGCAAGACAAGCGTTCTAATCATTGTACTATTGTTCCAGCCCTGGAGTGTTGGGGGAACTTCCCCCCCCCAATATACATTTTTTTGCTTTTTCGGTCACACGCAGCAGTGCACAGGGGTTACTCCTGGCTCACGCACTCAGGAATCCCTCCTGGCGGTGCTCGGGGGACCATATGGGATGCTGGGAATTGAACCTGAGTCGGCCTCGTGCAAGGCAAATGCCCTACCCGTGGTGCTATTGTTCCAGCCCCCAGGCGAATTTTTAAGAGAATGACATTAATGAGATAAGGGGAGCAAGAAGCACTCCAATCGGATCCCCTGCGGAGCCGCAGGACAGTCTGCTCAGCCAGGCTCATCAGCACAGGCACCAACTCGCAGGCTGTGTTCTCCCCACATTCTGAGTCCTACCTGTTCCGCCAGCTGGTGTTTGTGTTCCGCTGAGGTCTTCTCCAGCTCTGCGATCCGTGTCTGCTGCTGCTGGACCACTGAGCGCAGGTGCTTAATGCAGTTGTGGTTTGGCAGCTCATCTTTGGGCATTTCCAGGCTGTGCCCATAGTGGGAAAAGGAGAGGAACAGGACTGGTTAGTGGGAAATGTGGGCAGAGGGAGAAAAGTGCTGAAAGGGCTTTCTCCAACCCCAAATTTCTAACACTTGTTCCGAATTATTGTTGGGCCTTCTCCAAGCAGTTCTCCAGAGCTCCAGGGGTCCCTCTTGGCAATTCCCGGCCAAGTCGGCCTTCAGTTTGGTGTGAGGGTTTGCGAATGTGCTGCTTGGAGGGTCCTGCAATACGGGGGATTACCCAGGGCCAGACCCGGCAGTGTCAGGAACCACAGGGTGCCCAGGATCAAATGCGGTCGGCCACAGGCTCGGTGTGTGCCTAAGCCCTGTCTATCTCTCCGGCCCCCATTTCTTCATTTCTAACAGCCAGTCCTCTTTGGCTCCCGCTAACCCTCTTGCTATCTGCTTTCCCAAAGCTGCTTTCCCTCTCTGAGACAGAGTTTAATCTTCCACATAGCTCTTTCCTCCTACAGAGCCTACTTGTGTGTGGCTTTCTCTGAGAAGCCTCAGACCACAGTCCAGCTCTCAGCCATTAATCCCGTGTTTCACTGAATTCAAGAAAGGAAGATGTAGGGCAGGAGGAAACGTGAGGCAGCTAGAAATCAGAGCCGACTCTGACAAAGAGGGAGCGCACTGGAGTGGAAGGGAAGAACAGAGCAAACCGGTCTTTGGTGTTATTACACAGATCACCAAACAGTTCCTATTAAACCACGGTCAGAAGGCCAGGGATGTGGCTCGAGTGGCAGGGCACATGCAAGGCCCCAGTCCCACCAGCTGTGGCCCTCACAACATAAAAAAAAAAAAAGCAAGAGCAAAAACACTGTACTCGGGGGACATACAGCAGCGTCCTTGGCGAGGGAGTCAAACTACACCTGCCCCTGCCCCAACACATAGAAGCCGACCCCGGCTAGTAAGCAGGAGAGTCACAGGCGGGGCCTTCGCAATGCAGGCAGGGGGGAACGGTAGCTCACCCGCAGCCCTGTTCACAGGTCACAGGCCGTTTGGGGTTGTGCTCACAGTCGCTGAGGTGAGACATGAGGTTGTCAAGCCGGACAACAGCACTACAGCCAAACACAGCGTTGTCACAGGCGATCTGCAGCTTGGACAACATGTTCCGCATGATACGAGGGACTGGACGCAGGTGGGCGACGGTCACTACGCTCCGGTCCACGGGGCAGGTCTGCTGCTGAGAGAACCACTGGGTGATGCAGGCGTTGCAGAACGCATGCTCACAATGAGGTGCCTGCAGGGGAGAGCAGGGCGAGAGGAAGATTAGCTGGAGCCCAGAATCCCACCGGCTCTGAATCCCAGTGTCGAGCGCCGAGGTTCCTGGGCCCTGGCAAAGTCGAGCTCTATTGTGGGCCCTGGTGCAGACTTTCAGATGCATCCTGTGTCCAAAATTAGAGATAAGGAAAACGGTTGTAAAAGGCTAGCTGATAAAAAGGGCTGGAGAGACAGGACGGCAGACAGGATACTTTCCTTGAGTGCATACTTCCTTGCATGCAGCCGACCTCAGCTCAATCCCCAGCACCACCCTGTGTCCTGAGCAACCACCAGGAGTGACCCTTAGCTGCAGAGCCAGCACAGCTGGGCGTGGCCCAAACACTACATAAATAAATACATGATGTAATAACTGGTAGAAATAATATTCCAGGACAGAAGACATGAGGATGTTCAATATTAATTGTTCTGAACTGCATACACAGTAATTGCCAAATGAGTCTGGAGGAGGGAGAGGGCTTTCCAGGCTAAGTCAATCAGGGCAGGTATTTATGAGGGCAGAGTTCAATATGCAGCCGTGGACGGAGCTCAGCACTGGAACACGTACTTCACGAATGAGAGGTTCTGGGTTTCATCACCACACCAAAATTATTTTTGATATGTGTATCAAATTTATGTATAGAGATATATGCCACTCCTTTTCTGGTTGCCAGGGATCAAGCCCCGGGCCTCACACATACAAGGCAAGAGTAGTATCACTAGGCCACATCCCAGCCATAGGATGAATTTTTCTGTTGTTTTTGTGAAGCCAGAAAGTTGTTATTGAAATTTATTTAGAAAGACGTGAGGAGAGAGAAAGAGAAGTACAAGTTCAAGAGAGAACATAGGCTTCTCCAGCATGGAGACAGGCAGGCAAAGAAACAGACAAGCCACGGTAGAACACAGGCGAACACAGCAGAACATGGTAGCACAACGAGCAAGTTTTTTTTTGTGTGTGTGTCACACCCAACAGTGCTCAAAGCTTACTTCTGGCTCTGAACTCAGGGGTCAATCAATGCAGGCAGGGCTCAGGGACCAAACCGGGAGAGGATGTGTGCAAGCGAAGCACTCTACTCTCTGTAAAATTTCTCCAGTCTGAGCCTTTTTTCCCTTTTCTTTATGGGAGCCACATCTAATGGTGCTCAGGGCTTACTCCTGGCTCTGGGTAGTTTGGGGACTATATGGGGTGCTGGGGATTGGCTGGGTGCAAGGCAAGTGCCCTCCCCCCATCCTATCTCTGGCTCCTGTTTTATGGCTCCTGTACTTTCTAGAGGCCACGATCCAGCTCAGAACTTGCCTAGGGGCCCTGAGGGCCGGTGCATAGGGGGGAGGTGGGGGAGAGGGAGAGGGGTAAGTATATTGGTATACAGGAGGTAGTTGTGGGCATGTGTTATACCCTTGAGCCATTATCCTGCCAAGATTTTTTTTTCTTTTTGTTTTGGGGCCATACCTGGCAGTACTCAGAGCTTACTCCTGACTCCTGAATACTCCTGCATTCAGGGACTAATCCTGGTGGGGATCAGGGAACCATATGGGGTGCCCCGGATTAGAACCCAGGTCAGTCACGTGCAAGGCAAGTGCCCTACCCGCTATGCTATCACTCTGGACTCCTAAAATCTACTAATTTCTTTTCTAAGTACTGGGGCAGGGAGAGGGGGGTCAATCTCAAGCCCCCCCACACGTGACACTCACTGAGACATACACTTTGCATAGGCAAGGCAAGGCCCTTTGTTCAATCCCTCTCACTACAGGACCTCCCGAGCACTGCCATGTGTGGCCCCGTAACTAACAACCCAAAAATGCAAACTGGATCACATCACACCTCCGATTTAATCTGGATGTGGTTTCCCATTGTACTTAGATCCAACTGGGGATCCGACTTCTGCTGGGTCGGGCCCTGTGTCTCCTCACCTCACACCCTCACACCACGTTCCCAGTCCCTGGGAGCTTTGCGTTAGCTGCTCCCCTTTGCTCTTCCTCTAAATCTGAGCATGACAGATCTTATCATTCAGGTTGCAGTTGGGTCTTTGTTCTTTGGGGCACACCCACAGTGATGAGAGGCTACTCCTAGTTTAGTGGGTTAATCCTGGGCCTCCCACAGCCAAAGCACGTGCTCCAATCCTTTTGAGCTCTCTGGTCCAAAAGTATATTTTATCCCCAAAAATGTGGAAGTCAACTCATAAAGAGTCATCAGTAAGGGATTAAGTAGATGCAGCTGAGTATTCTCAGGCCTGTGGGCCAGAGCAGTAGTACAGAAAGGCCGCTTCAGCCGCAATCCGGGCTAACAATAACTGGCACCCTGTAAGGCCCTCAAGAATCCCGCCAGGAATAGCTCCTATGCATTGTGGTGTGTGGCCGAAATACCCAATATAATTTTAAAATTATAAAATGAGGGGGCTGGAGTGATAGTACATCGGGTAGGGCATTTGCCTTGCACATGGCCAACCCGGGTTCAACCCCCGGCATCCCATATAGTCCCCCAAGCGCCGCCAAAAGTAATTCCTGAGCGCAGAGCCAGGGCCCTGAGCATTGCTGGGTGTGACCCAGAAAGAAAGAAAAAAAAATTCTAAAAATGAGAATTAGATAAGAAAGGGAAACACGGGAAGACGGCATTGGTGTGGTGGCAGGCTCTCAGCGCTCGTAACATCTGGCTGATAGGGTCATACAAAATTTCTGCATGAATGAAAATAAGTGCCCTTTAAATACTTTCTCTCAAAGAGTGCCTGTAAGCAAAACCTGGTGCCCATCATGGAACACTGGCTGGAGTGGGTCTTGTTAAGACGGTGCCAGTGCAGCCGAGAGCACTGAAGTTGGCAGAGCTACCACAACTCTTGGCACTATGGGCAGCGGGCCACGGCAGCAGCAGCAGTTTTGCGCAAATGAATAGTGCTCTTCAGGTCCAACCTGGCATCACTGCAGTGTGTGGGGCCCGGAGTTGAGGGGGCTCCCTGGGTTCCCATCATGGGGTGCCGGCTCTGGTGGCCCCAGAGACTCACTGCCGGCAGGGCATCCCTGCCACTACTGTTCCCCAGAATCAGCCCTGGCTGCTGGTGCCACCTGCAGCATATTATTACGGAGGAAAATCTCCCAGAGTGCCTATTGGCTGGAGACCTGACTCGAAGACAGGGGTGAGTGCTCCCTGGCCAGGTTCTGCTGGACTGGTGGTGACAGCCCACCCTGAACACCCGCGAAGGAGTAGCACCCCTGGCCCTGGCCCTGGTCTGGCTGGGGCCGCCTCTGCTGTCACCACTGGGGCCCAGAGGACGCAGCACCACCAGCAAGCCAAGCTGGACTTGTTGGACGAGAACATCAGCAGCCTGATCGTGCCCTCAGGCTTCCTGACATCCCAAAGTTGTCACTATGCCTCGGGCCAGACCAATGACTTGGGACCAAGTTTTTCAAGAAATTAAACCGCCAAAATTTAGGTTTGCGGGAGCCACGTCCACAAACCACCTCCGGCTTCACCATGCAAGTTTATTTTCCAGAGACTCATTAATAAATCTTGAAAGACATCAAAAGCTGCAGCAAATCTCAGACCTATGTATGGCTGAATAATCTGGGACACAATGGAGGGTGGTGGATTAGCCCAGTGACTGCCCAAATCGAGCCCCCAGTAATTGTTTGATCCCATTAGCCAAAATAGCCACCATGACCCTGGCTAGACTCTACCATCTCGGGACGGACCTCACCAAGATATTAATGTGCTGAAAATTTGTGTATGAGGATTTTGTGACTGAAATCTCCAGGCTTCCTTGGAATCGGAATGGGCTACCTCCCCCCATCTCCCTGTACTTCCAGAAGCCCCTGTAGTCACATCCACACTCCAAAGCTGCCACCCATGTCAAAAAAGCTACTCCAGCTTTATCTTCCCAATAAAAATACTGAACTCCCTGAACAAACACGATGACTGCTTAGTACCTGTATTGCAAACCATAATGAAAAAAGGAGAGAGAAAGAAAGTAGAAAAGGGGGTGTTGGCGGATGTCAGGTGGGAAACTGGGGACACTGGTGTGGGAAATGTACACTGTAGAGGGATGGGTGTTGGAACATTATATAACTGAAATCCAATCATGAATAGCTTTGTAATGGTATATCTGCAATTATTTGGTAAAAAAAAAATTTTTTTTTTATGTAGGAGTACTGCTATTTATTCAGCCACTGATTAGGCTGATTGAACTGTGTATGAACTCCACCTTACTTTTTTCCCCCCATTTTTTATAATTTTATTTATTGAATCACTGTGAGAACAGTTACAAAGCTTTCAGGTTTAAGTCTCGGTCATACAATGAAACACCCATACTTTCACCAGTGCCCATTCTCTACCACCAAAACCCCCAGTATACCCCCATCCCACACCCTCCCCCTCCCTGTGGGGCAGATGATTTTCAAATTACTCTCTCTATACTTTGATTACATTCAACATTTCGACACCACACCCTCCATTGTTATTTGGGTTTTTACCCCAACACTCAGATCTGCCGAAAAGGCAACAGTAGACAATTTGTTTTCTATTTCTGGTTATGAATAAAATATGATGTCACGTGGCTGCAGTAGTGGCTGCGCAATTTTGAAATTCCAAAATTTTAACAATTAAATCCAGAGGGATTTTTTGCCAAAACCTGCTGGATTCCAAGATTTGTTCCTGAGTCTCTGGGATCATGGCCATTAAGCAGCTTGATCAGGAGCCAGAGAGGCCGTTTGTAAGTGGTAACTCGGGGTGTCATTGGGATGGGGAGAAAAGGGAAAAAGACAAATAAATTAAAAATAAGTAAATAAATAAAATGGGGAAAAAAATGTTCTCAGGGGAGAGTGAAAAGTATAGTGGTTACAGTGCTTGCCTGGCACGTGGCTGACCCAGGTACAATCTCAGGCATTCCATTTGGTCCCCCAGCACCACTAGGAGTAATTCCCTAAGCAAAGATCCAGGAGTCAGCCCTGAGCACCACAAGGTGTGACCCAAAATCAAGAAAATTTAAACAAAGTTAAAGAAAAAATCATTCTCAGACTAGAAAGCTAGCTCAATAGGCTAGAGCACATACTTTGCATCTGGGAGTTCAGAGAACCAATCCACCTCCCTGCCCCTGCCAGCAATGGTCCTCAAGCACTACTGAGAGTGACCCCCTAGATACCAAACTAGGCATGTCGAGCATATGCCATGCATGCAAGAGACTTGGGTTCAATTCCCAGCATCACGATCCCCTGAGCACTGATACAGGAGTAGTCCCCAAACCAACACCACCTCCACAAAACAAAGAATTCTCACTATGTTACTATTTGACACTATTTTAGTATCTTACCATATGAATTTACTATCTAATAAAAAGCTTAAATAGGACAATCACTATCCCTAGCAGAAGCCCTACCCTAGGAAACCTGGCCTTATGAGATATTCCAGGCCCAGTCCTCAGAAGCAAACCCTGGAGGCAGAGGGTGGCTGTGCCTTAGTCACCAACTCTACCTGACTTCTCGCTCATGATTCACTTCCAATGATTATGCAGAAAACAGCCCAGGCCCTGCCAGGGTGGGAAGTGTCACCCCCTCTGCGCCCCCACTAACCTGACACCACCAGGCTAGCTTGCTCCGTACCCAGGCACTGTTTCTGAGAGCAACAGGAAGCAAAAGCGTAGGCCTGGGGCTAGCTGCCACTGAACACAGTCTGGTTTTGCTTAGCTCCTGGGTGGGACTGGAAACTGGAGAGTAGAACAGATTCAAAGATTCCAGGGGAGCTGCTGAAGTTACAGAAACAGTTGGGAGGGGCCACCACACTGCAGTGACTGGTGTCTGGGTTTGGAAAACACAATTATCTTGAGTTAGTCAGTAGTGGCAAAGCATTAATAAATATATATAGAGTGAGGGCAATAAGGATGACGTGCAGGATGACATCCCGCCAACACAGCAGTAAAATGATTAAGAATTCAACTCATGGGGGCCAGAGAGAGCACAGGGGGTAGGATGCTTGCCTTGCATTGGCCAACTGGATTCGATCCCAGGCATCCCATATGGTCCCCCAGGCACCGCCAGGATTAATTCCTGAGTGCAGAGCCTGAGTGCAGAGCCAGGAGTAATACCTGAATACTGCCAGGTGTGGCCATTAACATCCCATCCCCCCCCCAAAAAAAACAACACAAAACCAGAGAATTCAACTCAAGGAGTCTGGAGAGACAGTACAGGAGTTAGAGCATTTTATCCCCAGTACCTCATGCCCCCTCACCCACCCACCCAGCACTGCCAAGAGTGACAGAGCCCATAGGAGTCCCTGAGCACCAAAGGGTGTGCACTGCACCCCCCCCCAATAAACAAAACAGAGAAGTGGCCTATTGAAGGTGCAACTTTTTTTTTTTCCTTTTTGGGTCACAGGGGTTGCACAGGGGTTACTCCTGGCTCTGTGCTCAGGAATTACCCCTGGCGGTGCTCAGGGGACCATATGGGATGCTGGGAACCCGGGTCAGCAGCGTGCAAGGCAAACGCCCTACCCGCTGTGCTATTGTTCCAGCCCCAAAGGTGGCAACTTTCACACCAAAAGGAAGAGCACATGGCTGCATCAAAAGTTGTTTTTTGTTTTTTTTCAATAAAGGTAAAGGTAAAGGCCCTCCCGTTGATCGTCGATTTGCTCGAGCGGGCCCAGTAACGTCTCCATTGGAGACTTTGTTGTTACTGTGTCTGGCATATCGAATACTCTCGGTAGCTTGCCGGGCTCTCCTACAAAAAAAAATCCTGCATGCTACACTGTACACTTGCTATACCTGGCTACACCAAGGCATCAAAATACAGTAAGGGTTTGGGGTGGGTACCCAGGAGTGAGTCCTGAGTGAAGAGCCAGGAGTATCTGAGCATAGATAGCTGGGTATGGTCCAAACCACATCTCCCTCCCACCACGCCCCCTGCAAAAACAAGTACAGAGATAGGCTTGAGAAAACCTGCAGGATGCTTGCCTTGCACCTGGCCAAGCAGGGTTCAGTTCCTGGCATCATAAATGGTTCCCTAAGTACCCAGGAGTGATCCCTTAACCCTGAGCACAGAGCAAGGAGTAAGCCCAAGTACTGACAGGTGTGGCTCAAAAAACAAACAAACAAACAAACAAACAAACAAACATATAGATAACACACTCAACACACTGGGTCACAAGAGTCCAGTACGTCAATCACGGGTAAGAGGAGGGAATGCAGAACGAGACTGAAAGAAAGGAAGCTGCCTGGTATCTGAAAGCAGGGAAGAGCGAAAAAGGGTTAGAGACAGAACAGCAAGTGAGGCGCTCGGCTTCCACCCCACCAACCTGGATTCAATTCCCAGTCACCAAGAGTGATCCCCCAGCACTGAGCCAGCAACCAGCCCTGAGCACACTCCACTCCTCAAAAAAAAAAAAAAAAAAAAAAGAGAGAATAGAAAATGCCTCCCTGAGGGCTGGAGAGACTCCTCAGCAGAATCTAGAAGGCCCTCTCCTTGTAGCTGCCACTCCTCCTCTGCCCAAATCCTATTATTCTATATGTTTGGGAAAAGCGGGTAGTGATAGGAGGATGAGGAGTTGGTGACTTCCCCTTTGGGCCCATTACTTTCCCACGCACTCCACTGCCGTCACCCACTCACCTGCACTGGCTCCTCCAAGACTCCGCTGCAAATCGGACAGATCAGGTCTTCATCAACATCCCCCTGGAATCGGGTTACATCATACCCCATGTCTCATCACTGAAACCTGGGTCCTAGAAGGAAGAACAGGAGAAGCGGGCAGTTCAGATGAAGCCTACAAGTACGTGCGAGCTTGGACTCATCTTCACGGTCCAGTCACATATTCACAGCCTACTGTGCGACACTTGGCTGGAGTGACAGCACAGCGGGTAGGGCGTTTGCCTTGCACACGGCTGACCCGGGTTCGATTCCTCTGTCCCCTTGGAGACTGGCAAGCTACTGAGTTTCCCGCCCACACGGCAGAGCCTGGTAAACTAACCTGTGGCATATTTGATATGGCAAAAACAGTAATAATAGTCTCACAATGGAGACATTACTGGTGCCCGCTCGAGCAAATCGATGAACAGGAGGACAGTGCTACCATGCTACTGTGAGACACTCAGGGAGAGTAGAGTCAAGACATTTAGTTCTATTGGGAAATGACATTACATAAACGCACACTAGGAATGCAGAAGTGAGGGCTAGAGTCGTATACAGGAAGTAAGGCACTTGCCTGGCAGGCAGCTGCAGGAAAGATGACCTTGGTTCAAATCCCCTGAGTATCATATGTGATACTCCTAAGAATAGGCATAGCTTCTGAGCAAGTGGGTGTGGTCCACCTCCCCATCCCTCCCCACAGGTGTGCTTACAAACCAACCAAACCAAACCAAACCACAAAGTGATAAAGTGACAGAATAAGCACTAAGCTTTGTGACAGAGATATGGATACCTAATCCAGGCTAAAAGGAAAGCACCTTCCAAACCTAGACGTGACCAATAAGACAAACAAGAGTTAGCAAGTATTGGGGGAAAATAAGGGCACCGGTTAGGAACATTAAATAGAACACTCAGGAACCAGAAAGAGAGTACCTGCATTAAGGCACTTGTCTTGTATAGTGGTTTGATCAGCTGGCAGGTTTGATCCCCTAGCACCATGTACGGTCCCTGAGCAGCGCGAGAAGCGACCCAAACAGAGAGCCAGGACTAAATCCTGAGGAATGCGGATGTGGCTTAAAACAATCCCCACCCCCAATTTTTTTTTAATTCTAAAAAAGAATTAGTACATCTAAAGATCCAGAAAGAGAACCGATGATGGAATAAATTTCGAAAAAGGGCGAAGAGTCCAAGGATGACATGCAACTGCCTGCAATGCCCAGTGACACTCACATGAACCAAGCACAGTTCTGGGCCTGCAGCTCTGCTGTCTAAGACCCGTGAGTGCACAATCCAGATACAAGGTTGGAGTTGGCCCAGAGAAGTCTTATGGAAGGAGTTTAGGCTTGATTGTGAGGGCTGGCTCTGGGAAGCCACTGAAGGACTTAAAAGAATGAAGTGTTGAAAGTTCCCTTCTGTTGTGTCAACTGGGAAAGACTAAAGACAGACGGAACACCTAGGCAGGAGAAATGGTGAAATCTTAGCTTGTTACACAGTGATGATGGTGATAGAACATGATAGATGGTGAAAGAAGGCAAGTACAGGAGAGCCAGGACTGAGAGCAGCGAGGCTGCCACAGGAAGAGGTGACTGAACAACAGCTGAGACTCCCAAACAGTGCAAAAGAGCACGTGGATCGTAACCAGTCCACAAAGCAACCATGTGGTCATCAACCCGTGGTATCTTGCAAATGATGAGCCGTGGTACTAGAGTGAACAGGGGTTTAAGGCGCTTCCTGGCACATTCCCAGCCACAGTTCTAGCCCCAGCACTGTATATGATCCCCTCAACTCCACCAGGAGTGATCCTGAGCACAGAGTGAAGCGTAAGCTCTGCGTACCACCAGGTGTGGCCCTCCAAACAAAACAAAAAACCTAAAACATTGAGCCAAGCACATCCCAGAAATTTAGAATCATGCTGTTCAATTTAAAAGGGTGGGGGCCCGAGAGAGCGAAATGGACTGAGCACAGGCTCTGCATGCAGGAGGCCGAAGATCAACACCCAGTGCCACAGAGACTCCCTTTCACTGGGAACAACACTAAACACAGCTGGGAAGAGCCCTGGACACTGATGGGCATGGGGCCCCCCAAAAAACCCTAAACAAATAAGAGTGGGAGAGAGGAAATGGAAGAGGGATCTTGACATACCAAGGCAAATTAGAGTACCAGCTTGGGTCCAAACTGTCTGGACCCATACACTTCCAGTTCGCATTAGCTATGTGACCTTGCTACATAAACTTCCTAAGTCTAAGTGGGTTTTGTTTGTTTTTTGGGTCACACTCAGTGGTAGTCAGGGATACAGGGTGCTGAGGACTGAACCAGGGCCAACCGCCTGCAAGACAAATGCCCCACCAGCACACTATCTCTCCAGGCCCATGTTTCTTTTTTAATAGATGCAACGAGTACAAATAATAACAGGTAACTCAAGAGATTTCTCAAGGAGATAATGCATATAAAACACTGAGCAGGACTGGAGCGATAGTACAGCAGGTGGGGCAACTGCCTTGCATGAAGCAGACCCAGATTCAATCCCCAGCACCCTGTATTATCCCCTGAGCACCACCAGGAGTAATCACAGAACCAGGAATAAGACCTGAGCAGAGCTGGCTGTGGCCCAAAACCTAAAAATTAGCAAACTATCTGCACATAGTAGGCATTTTAGATGACAGTACTCATATGTACACATTTCATTTCTCCAACTCAAAAATTCCTTAAAAGCAAAGTCGAGGGCTGGAGCAATAAACAGTACAGTGGGTAGCGTGTCTGCCTTGACCCAGGTTCAATCCCATACAGTCCCCCAAGCACTACCAGGAGTGATTCCTGATAGAGGAACTAGAAGTAATCCTTGAGCATTGTGGAGAGTGGCCCCAAAACCAACCAACCAAAAAGAGAGCAGGAATCGACTATTCTGCATGCAAATTAAGTACAAATAAATAAAATGTTTGGTTTGTTTCATTGTTGCTTTATGGGAGGCTACAACAGCAATACAGTGGGTAGAGCCTTTGCCTTGCAAACAGCTGACCCAGGTTCAAAACCCACCAGGAGCCCACCAGGAGTCATCCCTGAGTAGAGCCAGATGTAGCCCCAAAACAAAACAAAATGCTGCTTTATGGACCAGAATGACAGCATAACAAGCTGAGTGCATGCAATGGACGCAGGAGGTACAGGTTCGATTCCTGGCATCACATGGTCCCTGAGCACCATTCAGAGTGACTCCAAGCACAGTAGCTAACACCCCTGGCCTCCACCTCAGCACTGCCAGGTGTGGCTCCAAAACCAAATAAATTGTTTAGGGTGAAAGAGAAAGCTCAAAGGCCTAGAACAGATGTTCTGCACATGGGAGGCCCCCCAAGCCAGAAGGCATAGTCGCCTCTCTAAGTACAGCTAAGAATGGCATCCACCCCATATACCTCCCCCTAAAATATAAATGTTGCTTTAAAGGTGTTTCCCAGAAACCAAGGTACAAGGCACATCTACTATTTTCCCAGGCTAACATCCCTTTCCTAAACAGTACCATAACCCTAGGTCCAACTAGACACACAACCTACCCCAGGTCCCTGAATAATGTCTGACCTCCCCCGGGAGCACTTTCCCCTGACTGCCCAGCGGATGGATGGACAAGCCAGAGTGGCTGCCATTATTAAAGAGCAGACTTAGAGAACGGAGCCAATATTGAAGAAAGTAAAGCGGAAATGGGACACGAGAAACCTTTAAACGCCCTCGGTTCTGCAATGTCTAAAACATTAATAATCTATTGACTATCAGTGAGAGGGCCGTATAAATCCCCCCTTATGTTTAGGCAGGTTTGAGTTGGAGTTAGTCTCCAACTAATCCTGTTTAGGGGCTGGAGTGATAATACAGTAGGCAGGAGTGTTTGCATGGTCGACTGGAGTTCAATTCCTGGCATCCCATATAGTCGCCCAAGTCCATCAGGAGTGATCCTTGGGGACAATGATACCCTCCCAGCACCACTGTTTCTCTATGCACTGCTTCTCCAGCTCAGTGTCTTGTGCTTACTAGCAATTCCTCTAAACATGTTAACAAACTGAGTACTGCCAACCACCTGCCTGAATATATCCTATGACGGAGGGCAAAAAGGGGAACATTTACCGTACATTTTTGTTTCCTCAGGCCCTTGATCTGCCTCTAGTCAACATAATAGTGTGCATATACGTGTGTATATACATACATACATATATATATATAAAGCAAAAAGGGTAGGAGGGATAAAACAGGCATTAAGGTGCATCCCTTGCACACACCCGACGCTGGCTCAATCCGCGGCGCCATAATTGGTTCCCCAAGCACCACCAGGAGCCACTCTTGAGCAGAGGCAGGAGTAAGTCCTGAGTACTACCAGGTGCAGACTCCCATCACCAAACAAACAAAACCCCAATAAAACAGAAGCAAAGGGCATAATTTCCTAGAATAATCTATAAACAGTAGATTAGAGCAGTGCATAACCAGGATTACTGGGGTCATATTGTGAAATCTAACACCCATAACTGAGGCCCCTGTGATTTACTCACTGACTGGTGTTAGGGTGCGAGAGAAAGAGCAGCCAGTGTCCTGGTTCTAGGACATCAGTCACTGAGCTCTGTGCTAGGTGACCATGGCATCCATCCTGCAGCCACATTCTGGGAAGGTCCTCAAGCTCTGCGAGACCTTCCCCTAGATGACAGCTGACTGGGTCGAGGGAAAACATGCTGCCCGAGAGGCTCAAAAATGTACCATCCCGGGGCAGAGAGCTCAAGGGCTGGGTACAAACTTTGCAGGTGGGAACACCAGGTTCGATCCCGAGTGCTACATGCCCTCACCCCTCCCGCACATACTATCTGGAATAGCCCATGGGATTAGTCACACAACTGACTACAAGTTACTACAAGTCCACAAAAAGCTTGACACCAACTAAGTTCAGTTCGTAAGTGCAGTTTATCTTTCTCTGCTGTCACCTGGACAGAAATTCAAGCAACTTTTAAAGGGAAAGGCAAGAGCAAAATAGGGTTGAGAGGGCTGGAGAGAGAGCAAAGAAGGTAAGACGCTTCCCTTGCAACCGCAGACCAGGTTTGATCCCTCGCACCACATACGGTCCTTCCAGCATCAC